GTTGGGGGGGGGGAGGTGATTGAAGCCGCTGAAAGCCCTCTGCACGGTTTCTTCCCCCTTGAGCTGCTCTGATGCTGATCATCCAGTAACTCGAATGAGAAAAAAAACCAACAGATTTTAATAATAAAAAAAACAAATCAAGATGATGCTATCTGCCGTGGATCAATCCGCTTTTTTTTAACACTACGTCTTGATCGAACCTGAAAATGTATATTCAAGATTGTTGTATGCGCGCCGGTTTGATTTTTTCCTTGTCTGGCAGAGAGAGAGAGAGAGAGAGAGAGAGAGAGAGAGAGAGAGAGAGAGAGAGAGAGAGAGAGAGAGAGAGAGAGAGAGAGAGAGAGAGAGAGAGAGAGAGAGAGAGAGAGAGAGAGAGAGAGAGAGAGAGAGAGAGAGAGAGAGAGAGAGAGAGAGAGAGAGAGAGAGAGAGAGAGAGAGAGAGAGAGAGAGAGAGAGAGAGAGAGAGAGAGAGAGAGAGAGAGAGAGAGAGAGAGAGAGAGAGAGAGAGAGAGAGAGAGAGAGAGAGAGAGAGAGAGAGAGAGAGAGAGAGAGAGAGAGAGAGAGAGAGAGAGAGAGAGAGAGAGAGAGAAGGGAGGATATGTAGGTAGGTGATGATTTTGGTGGGCAAATATGTGAGAGCGAGCCGGTTTGGGCGGGGAGGGTCTACCACGAATACAGTGGTAGATGTTTGGGAGCGGATTGTCAGAAGACGCATGGGGCGTGAAAGAATCAAAGTCTTTTCCCCGCGTCGGTTGTGTATGACTGAATATGGCTCTCGTGCCAGGAAACTATGATCTTTTGCTTGGAAGGCCCAGAGCAAGATCAAAGTTCAATTCCAATTCTTGCTCTTGAGTCCTCCAGCCTTGCCTGAGAAATGCAAAGTCATCTTCCCTAAGCCGCAGCCGCAGCCTTTGCAACCACAGCCGGCATTTCGGGGCGATTTTCCTGCTCAAGCGCCTCCTGCAACACCTCCCCGTCAACACCCTGCCTCAACCCAAGCTGCTCATCAGTCCATAGCGGTTCGACTTGCATCTCCTTCCCTTCCACACCAACGCCCACAAACCCGCCCTGCGCCCTCCAATCGCTCGTCCTCTTGATCTTCAACTTCTGCCACACCCCCTCCAACGCCTGCACCAGCTCATCCCTGAACTCCTTGGTATGCCCAGGGGTAGGCGTGATGCGCAATCTCTCCTCGCCACGTGGCACGGTCGGATAGTTGATAGCCTGCACATAGATTCCGTAGTCCGAGAGCAACATATCCGATGCCTTTTTGGCGACCTCTGCATCCCCAACAAGAATAGGAACGATATGGCTCGGGTTGGGGATGACGGGGATATCGCGCTCTGCGAGATCTTGCTTAACAGCACGGGTATGGAGTTGTTGGAGCCGGCGGTCCCCCTGATAATGCGCTTGGTATTCGATGGCGGTTCTGGCGCCAGCCATGGTGGCGGGCGGGAGGGAGGTAGTGAAGATAAATCCTGGAGCGAGGGAGCGGATGGTGTCGACGAGGGAGGCCGAGGCGGCGATGTAGCCGCCGACGCAGCCCCAGGCCTTTCCCAGCGTGCCGGTAATGATATCGATGCGGTCCATTACTGTGCCTTTCTTCGTGGGTGAAGCGGAGGCGCCAGGGCCCGCGGCGGCGTACACATCGTAGTCAAGATGCTCGGCTACACCGGCGCCGTGCGGGCCGTACATGCCTACCGCGTGGACTTCGTCGAGGAAGGTGATGGCACCGTATCTGTCTGCCAGGTCGCAGATTTCTTCGATGGGTGCGACGGAACCGCACATGCTGTATACGGATTCGAAGGCGATGATTTTGGGGATCTCGGGCGGTAGGCTAGCAAGTTTGGCTTCAAGGTCAACAAGGTCGTTGTGCTTGAATACCATCTTCTTGGCGCCTGAATGACGAATCCCTTGGATCATCGAGGCGTGGTTCATGCTGTCGCTCAAAATGACACAATCAGGCAGTTTAGAGCCCAGCGTTGCGAGGGTAGCATCATTGGCCACATAGCAGGAGCTGAAGACTAGCGCTCCGTCCTTGCCATGGAGGTCTGCGATGGTCTTTTCGAGGGCTACAGCGTGCTGATTGTGGCCGGAAATGTTCCGTGTCCCCCCTGCGCCGGCGCCGTACATGTCCAGGGTGTGGTGCATCGTCTTGAGCACTTCTGCATTGCGACCCATCCCGAGATAGTCGTTGGAGCACCAGACCGTGACTCGTTCATCTCTCGCCGACATATGAGCTCGAGGGAATTCCTGGGCAAGACGGTTGATGTTGTTGAAGTAGCGGTAGGATTTGTCTTTGTGCTTTTTGTCCAGCTCCTTGTTGTAGAAGCCTTCGTAGTCGAACTTCGAAGCTGTTGGAGCGCATGGTTTGGGACCGGGTGTGGGTGTATCCTTGGATTTCGCAAAGGCGCTCTCAACTCGACCGGGGAGTACTGCATGGTCAGTCAGTCAGTCAATTGCAATGCACCGCCAGCCAACTGGACAACAACTAACCATCATCGCGCTTCCGGTAAATTCTGGTATCAACATTGGCTTTCTTCTCCGCCGAAGTGTGCAGCTTCTTTGCCAGCATCGATTTGACCACACCAATGCTGGGAGCGGCAGAAGTGTAATTCGAAGTTCGCATACGAGCGCTCTGTACCGCGAGAGCTTTGTTCATGACAGGACATCGGCGAGCAATGAATTGGAGGTTAGTGATGGTACCCCCACCAGGCGAATGGTGAGTGGCGGTGGACAAAGAGCGAAGGGTTGCGGGAGATGTCTTTTTGAGAAAGGGGCACATGGCCTTGGATTGATGTAGAAGAGCTTCCATGATGGACGAGCTGGGCCTGTATCAAGGTCTCAGTGCCTTTTGTTCAACGTATGGAGAGGAGAGTAAAAAAAAAGAATGAGCAGTGAGATGGTGTTGGTCAATTGCAGCCTAAGATCGAGTCTGGGCTCCGGGGCCGGATGACGATCGCTTACTCTTTCTTGTGTCCCCTTGGAGCTGAAGGCCGGGGCCGGTGGTGGTGGTGCTGCTGCTGCTGCTGAGGATCCTTCGGATGCAACAGCACATGCAGCAATTCTGATTCGAGATAATGGCCCGGCGGCAGTGCGTATCCGCTATTAGCTGTATGGATGTTGTGATGGCTGATCGCTGAGACGACAAGCCAGAACAATTTGCCAGAATCATCGTGTTTGGAGTGCATCTGATTGGCTGAACCATGTGCGCAAGCGGAGTTCGGATGACCCCTCGAACAGCATAGTTATGGACATGGGAGGCCATGGTAGGCCATGTTAGGCTATGTTAGGCCATGCCTGTCAACCTGCGGACGGCGGTCAGAATTGCCTGATGGGGATGCATCTATCGCTGGCGGCGACATGGGCAGCAGAACGCGACAACTGGAGAACCCAAGCTGCTCTTTGCACAGAGACTCAGCTTTGCTGGTCCGAATCGATTGTTGCAAGAAAGAAAAGACGTGCTTCCCATCTAACTAGTTGTTGGAAAAAGATACAGGAGCTCGACTGCCCCCTATTTTGCAGACCCAATGCGTCCCATCGCATCCCATGTCTATGGCAGCATGTGTAGCAGCACCAGGCACATTGATTGCACCCAGATTTCCCGCCCGTCCGTCCATCCGTCAGTCCGTCAATCCGTCGCTATGCCCCTTCGCTCAGTGCAATCTGAACCCGACAATGTCCATCCATAATTGTACATCTTATTCCCTCTGACCCCGAAGGATAAGGATAAGGATAAGGAGGAGGGCTGTTTCCTCCCGCAGAGAAGGACAGAATGCTCCGCAAACACAACTACTCAGATCCCACCCATTCCCAGATCCCCATCCGCATCGATCACACGCAGTCGCTCCTGCACCGTTTTCGCCTTCTTGGACACGCCTCGACCTCCGCGAGGTCCTTTTTTCTTCGCCCCAGGCGCTGCCACTTCAACCGCCGAAACGGGTGTCGCTGCACCCGAAGGCTTTGCGCTGGCATCTTCAAAATGTCCCTCACCTGAAAGCTGGCATTAGTAAGAAGCTTCGCCGCGCTCAGCAAGTCCCGCTTACCTTCATGATACATGTCATCCAGGCTCACCTCCCCCCGCTTCCGCTTGGCACTAACCGTCACTCTCTTCCCTTTCTTGCCTTTGCTCTCCTCCTCAGGCTTCTCTGCCGCTTCTTTCTCCTTTTGTTCAATGAGCGCGGCCTGGTCGTCGTCCGCAAGCCAGAGAGCAATGTCCTTGGTACGGTTCTCGCGATGGCGGGTATTGAAGTCAACCCCTCCGCTCGCGCCACCGGAGATGACCACCCTCTGCACTTCTTCCTTCTGTAAAGCTCTCTTGCGGATACGCTCTTCGATCGTGCCACGCGTGATCATTCGGTACACCGTAACCTGCTTGGTTTGTCCCAAACGATGCGCCCGATCCATGGCTTGTGAGTCGATGGTAGGGTTCCAATCAGAGTCATAGAAGATCACCGTGTCCGCCGAGGTCAGATTGATGCCCAGGCCACCGGCACGAGTGGACAGCAAGAAGATAAAAATGTCGGGTCGTGTCTGGAAATCATGCACCGTATCACGCCGGTCTTCGAGTTTGGTGCTTCCATCCAGCCGGCAATACCTGTAGTTGCGGTAAGTGAGATATTCTTCCATCAGGTCAATCATGCGCGTCATCTGGAAGTAGAGAAGCACCCGATGACCGCCATTCTTGAGTTGTGCCAACAAGTGATCCAGTTTCGCCAGTTTGCCCGAATCAGTAACAAAGCGTCTCATCGATGGCACCGAAATATTCGTGTATCGCGCCTTTTCCAATGCAGGCGCAGGAAGCATATCGTGAGGTGGGATGGCACTAGGCTCCACATCATTCTCGAGCATGGCCTCCTCGACCTGCGTTGGCAGAGAGAACAGCGCCTGTCGGGTCGGTACGTGGAAGAGGCACTGCTGGCGTTCGGTGATGGAGCTTTGATCCGAGCAGCTGATTTGGATGGGTGGAGCGCAGGCACCCGGACGCGCTGCAGGTTCCATTTTGGCGAAACCGTCCTCTTCAAACACTTGCGATGAGATGTTCATCAAACTCCCCAAATGACCATCATGCTGAATCTCCGCAGGAGGTGGACGGTCGTGACCTCCAACGATATTGAACATGTTGTGGGTTGCCTGTGGAGTCTCTTCATCATCCTCGTATATCAACGACGACATGAAATGATGGCGTTTGGCTCTTCCCTTCAGCTCAACGGCACGTTCGAGGAAGCCAAGACGAGCGCATCGGGAGGCCTGGGAATAGGATGTGTCAACGAACTGCAGGAATGAGAAGCCGCCGGCGTTGTGACACGATGCCGCTATGTGCTGTGGGTTCCAAATACTCATGAGATGACCAAGATACTTCGTCTCGAACCCTGCTCGCGGATTCTCCGGACCAGCAACACCCAGACGCCCAGCAGGACTGCACAGCATTCGGGGAAGGTCGTATTCGATCATGCTGCGGATCGAGTAGCCAAGATTGACAAACGGCCCCTCTCTCAAGAACGACGCGGTTTCTGCAAAATAAGACAACGAGAAGGGGGACGACGTCTCGGCTCTCTCGAACAAGTCGGGGTGATTACAAACCTTTCTGAACTGCATAACCAGGTTCATCAGTGTGGCCGTGTCTTGGTCATCTCCCAACGTGGCTTTCTCAATAAGGTCCATGATACTGATCCGGCCGCGAAGATTGCTGTAGTAGGCTCGTTGTCGGTAGGTCAAATCACAGAAGACGTCCTTTTCAACCTTGTTCCCAAGTTCCTTTTGCACATGGGACTTGACACGCCGGAGCATGAAAGGCTTGAGAATCATGTGTAGGCGTTTCAGCTGATCCTGGTTCAGCTTCGTATTGCTTTGCGCGTGGCTCTCAATGTCTTTGGAGAACCAGTCGCTAAATTCGTCGTGCGAGTCGAAGAGGGTGGGCATGATGAAATGAAGCAGAGCCCATAACTCCTGCATGTTGTTTTGTATTGGTGTGCCCGTAAGGAGGAGTCGGTTCCGGCAATGGAAGCCCAGCAGCACTTTCCATCTGGAACTGTTCGACGATTTGATGGCTTGCGCCTCATCCAGGATCATGTACTGCCATCGGATCTTTTGGAAATACTGGGCATCTTGCACCACCAACTGGTACGAGGTCACCAAGACATGAAATTCCGAGTCTCTGGAGTAGGTGATGTGCTTTCGATCCCAGAACTTGCGAAGAACTTTCCGGTCTTTCGCACTCCCCCAGTATGGCAACACTTTGATGGATGGGACGAACCGAGCAATTTCCTGTTGCCAATTGTGGAGTGTCGATGATGGAGCAATGACCAGGAAGGGACCCCAGATGTTGTGATGCTCGGCCAGATAGCCCATGACCGAGATAGACTGAACAGTCTTTCCAAGGCCCATCTCGTCCGCTAAGATTCCATTGATACCTTGCTCATACAGATTGACAAGCCAGTTCAGCCCCTTGAGCTGATACTCCTTGAGTTGCGCCTGGAGCATCTCTGGTTGGCTAACCTGAACATCGCCCAGACTGGTAGGATTTTGAAAGTTGAGTTCAGTGTCATCAAATGCCGCCATTTGGTTGTCGCCATTAAAGGCTCGAGCTTTGTCCTGTGCTTCCTGGATGGCGCTCTGAGCGTTCGCCATCGCAGCTTCCTTGAGCGCAGCATCATCCTCGGCATCAAAATCAAGATCCTCGAAATTCGTGACCTTGCTCCTCAAGTCGGCAACAGAGTCTGGTAGGTCCACGGTGGGTGCATCATCTTTGCCAGCCGGCATCTTTTCTCCAGAAGCTGCTACCTCAGGATCATCGGTGGCCCTTTCCACTTCATCAGTTTTGATCTTGCGTCCAATGAAATGGGAGTAGAGTTCTGTCTGCGAGATAAGGAAGTTGAGCTTGCGCTTTTGCCGGTTGGCTTCGCGGTCGGCCTCTGCTTTTTTGGCGTCCTCAATTTCCTTCTTCTCAGCCATTCGTCGAAGATCGCGTTCCTCACGCTCGTTTCTCTTCCAGAAGGACATCATCTCCCGCATGGTGCGCTTAGCTCGCGCTTGGGTATCCTTCAAGCTCTTGTTTGTGCGTTCTTGCCATTTTTTGGCTTGCTTCCCGGCAAGCTGAGCAGTCTTCCGAAGATTTTCCTGCCTTGTACTAAGTGAGTTGACCTTGATACGATAGACTCGAGGAATGTCTTTGCGCGCGAGGTCTCTCCATATCTGCTCATATATCTGCTGATAGCCTTTGGACTCGTAGTTCGTGACCGGTGAAATAGGTGTCATCTCCTTGGACCGAGACGCTTTGGCTTCCTTCTTGATGGACTCTTTCCGTGGATCTTGCTTTGGTGCAATGCGGACTAGCTCCTCGCGTTCCATCGCGGCATACGCAGCCTCAGCAGCGTCTTTTTCGGCCTGTTTCTTTTCTTTGGATTTCTTCGGTCTGGTGACAGGTCCACTAGGTCTGGCCTTCTTTTTAGGTGGTTCTGGAGAAGCTTGGGCGGCAAGGTGGAAGGAGGACGTGGTGCCACCTTCATAGTTAGGCGCAAGCGGTGTTACCTCTGATATCTCATCGGGAGCAGTCCCGCGTTCCATTACGCTTTGTGTGTGGTTGATCTTTTTCTGGCTCTTTTCAATCTCACGCAGGAGTCTCTCCTTTTCAACGACGTCTTCTGTTCTGTTGGCTTTCTCTTCGGCTTCGGCCAATTTCAGCTTTTCCGCGCGAACAGTATTTTCACGTCGACGCTTTCGCTGCATGTCCTTTTTACGCTCCTTTTCCTCTTGGATTTCCTTTTCGTGGATCTCGTTCTGAGCAGCGGCTTCGTATTTTGCGCGGAAGCGATCAGAGGCGCCAGAGTTACGGATCGCAAACGATCGCAGAAGTTGGTCGAGAAGATGGGTTCGTCGTCTCTAGATATCAATCAGCAGAGGTTGGTGGTTATAACCACGAACGCGAACCTTTCTTTTGCTATTTTCCACTTCTTCGAGTTCTAATGCACGTTTCCTGCACTTCTGTGCATATCGCCCTTTTTCAGTAGCAAATTCAGATCCCTCGACATCACTCAGAGGCTGTGATTCGATGGCCTCCATAGCACGAGAAATGCTCTCGTTTTCTTTGGCAGTGAGAGATTTTCGCGGCTTCGCCAAGGGCTTCAGTATAGGTGCATCGATTGTTTGGTCAGCTCCATCCCGAACCGGTTTTGTTGCCGCCAGTGCTGGGGACATAGCAGAGGGCGTGGTCTGCTCAATTTCCATTTTGATTATAGAACCCTTCACGAAAGAGGATTCTACGGTAGTAATCTGGGACGACTTCGAAGCCAAGGGTATTTTGTTCTGGGCAGGAATAGCACGCGTCGCAGGCTCGGATAAAATGCTTGCGAATGACATCGGATCGTTCGCCCTCACAGGTCGCTGTTTTAAGAAACGTCAGTGCACTTTATTTGGACAGGGCCTTGGACTCCATTACCTCCTGAGAAGATGGCTTCGCCGGCTGTGCAATATTTGCCATGTCCCCCATATTGATTCCATTCAACATCTGATTGTTGATAGCAGAATTGTATTCTTGTTTAGGTGAAATTGCTAGCAAGCCTTGTCTGCTTGAAGGGTGCGCATGCGAGGAAGGTATGTTGCTGCCGTAAGAAGAGTAGCCATTTGAGCCTGCCATGGAATTCGACATGGTGCGTGAATGCTGCTGAATGGGCGATGTCGAATTCATGGGGTACTGTGCATTTGTGGCGGTATGTTGGTGACCATTGCCATTCATCAAAGCGGATGGGGAGGAGTCAGCCCCAGGATGACCAAAACGTGGACTTTGCGCAGCAGTCCCTGGAGGGAAAGATGGAGGAGTTTGAGGGGGAGGCTGGTAAGAATCATAGGTGTAATTGTTGGGCTTGCTTGTAGGAGAGTAAGGTACGAAACGGGCGGACTGTGTAGGTGACTGCATGGTGAAGGGCGGACCGCCCGCCATATCGTTCTTGAATTGTTAATGACCGGAAGCAGCGCAGGTGTTGAAGTAGCTTGAGCACCTTTGTTGGCACAAGCCTAATGCTCGAAAACTATGAAGTACATGAGGTGCTTCCAGGCCGGGGCGACCACGTCTCCAGCCAACAATATAGCAATGATGTAGATTTTATGGGGTGAAGAGTCGGTGGAGTGTATCGTATTAGTGGTCTTTTTACATAAAGCGACTCGAGAGTAGGAGGAACGAGCTTTAAAGGAATGGAGTTATGCCGGGTGGTGGCATCAGCGTTGTGGTGGTGATTGTCAAGGTTGATCGCCTGCGAAGGTCAAGGTGGGTAAGGTATGGAAACTAAGCTTGGACAAGGCATTTCTGGTCAATCCTGGTGAGAAGGTTGATGGTGAGAAGCGGTGGAGTGGATGGAAAGGATGGCGTTGAGGTGTTGGCAAAGTCTTCATGGTTCGGATAATGGGGGTGGCCCGGTATCATGATCTTATTATTACTCTTTGGCTGCAAGGGCAATAATTATTCGACTACCACGGGCTTTGGGCTTTTGACGCGCGATCACCCATCGCCAAATCGTCAGAAGTCACGTGTCGCTTGGGGGAGCTCTGCTGAGAAAACGATTCCCCTTCTCCACAGCTTAAATAGATCTATAGTTATTCCTACTTGGACGGATCGAAGAAATGGTCTATTCTTCCGTGTGGTGGTGGAATTGCAATCCTCGATATTCCTCCCAGGGGCCGAATGGGATGACTTTTTCCAGGGCTGATGCTGATCCTCCCTCAGCTTGTCTCCGAGATTTGTGGGAAGAAGCACCGCCAGTGCAACTGCAACTGGTTGCAACCTCTCAGGGAAATATGCCAAGACCGCCCCTCTTCCAGGCTTAGTTTGCTAAGTTACTACTTAGTGACAGCTATCACTGCACTGGGATCTCATGCTATTGTTTTTGCACATGCACCTTGCGGCAGTGCAGCAGAGAGTCAGAGTGACATCTCAATATACGCAGCAAGATGTGGCAACCATTTGGACAGAACCAGAATGATACTTGAACAAGTCTAACCCTCTTCGTTCTGGTCGGAGTTGTGTTTGAGGACTAATAAGTACTAAGTACTCGTAGCCGGTGGTCTTCAGTGCTCCGCCGTGGAGTATTGGGAATTGTGAAACCACGCCTAGCTCGCAACACATATCGCCTCTTTTTCTGACCAGTTTAGCCGGCCCCGCAAGACATGGTCTTCCACATCGAACACCAAAGAAATGCCGAGTACTAACGCCATCTTCCATGCATGCATTGGCACCTGGTATCAGACCGAGCCTCCCTTATTCTGATCAAGTAACAATGTTGGCTTGATAAAATCTTCATCCAGTTGCCGGAACCAGGCCGCATGGTCACCTGCTGATCTCGAAAACAGATCCCGGATTGAGCCATGGGCGTGCGCGTGATGATCTGTGCCTTCTGCAGAACTTGATGCATCAGGCGGCACATATGTGCTTGAAGAATCTACCATATCACCGCCAGGTAAAGTTGAGGGTTTACTCCGTGGTGCCTTTTTGGCGGCTGGAGGCAGATCTCCATCAGAAAATGCTTCATCATCCTCACTAGGCGTGTTACTGCCGGCGTGAAGTAAGTTCTGCGCTGCAGCCTCTCGCTCCCGCTGGCTGAAGGATGAGTTCTTTCTTGAGGACAACCCATTCAATGGCCGGGTTCTTGGGCTATGGCGGTTACCGCTGCTATAGCCCACGCCAGACTTTGGTATCCCATTGGCTTGGCGATCAACTTGATTCAGCGCAATGTTCGTATCTCGTCTGGGCGTGTGGCCGAGTCCGGTGCCTGTACGCTTATAATAGGTGCCGCCGTTCGTAGTCTCAATGTCGAACTCGTCATCAGAATCAATTTCATCCACCACACCAGTTTGAATGCCGAGAATCTCGAGCATACTTGCCGTGGTGCTGCCGAAGATGATGACCGTCAGGACGACAACCACCAGGACTGTGGCTCTCAGCGCAGGACCATTTGTTCCTTCCAAGCCGGCCGCGAGGGCCACCCCAACTGCACCCCGGAGACCTGCCCAGAACAACATTGCCTGATAAGGGTACGGCAATTCGTCTGCAACGTCCTGTCCTCGTCTTTTCGCTCGGTACCGGATGAACCAGTTGATGGCCTTGGAGAGCGGAAAGACGGCCAACCATCTTGCAGCACAAATTCCCACAACCGTGATCAATATGAACAAAGGCTGAAATTTCAGATCCGTTTCAGTTAGCAGCGTAATGCCGAGGTAGATGAATATAAAATTCTCTGATAACTGTGCAAGCACCTGGAACAGAAATTTGGTGGTTAACTGGGTGCGGCGTGACATGTTATAGTAAGCATAATGCTTCAGGGTTATTCCACAGAATAGAAGAGAAACGATGCCTTGAAGTCTTTGTCAGCCACTCTGCTCCTCATCAATCCAGGTGAAGCTTACCGGACATATGGACGCCATTTGAGAAGAAGTAGCTAGCATATGCAATGAGAACAACCAGACAGCTTTCAATTTTGGGAAATCGCCGAACGTGGGTGTACTTTAATGCCAGTGCTGTGCTGATTCCCACCACAACCCCAATCACAAGACTCCCCAGGAAGACCAGCAGGAAGATCCCGATCGCCTCGAAAAGTGTCACAAAGGTTAGATTTCCCACGGCACTGCCTTCTTTATACCGCTGGGCAGTCTCGAACAAGACAATTGCAATAGCGTCATTAAGGATGGATTCACCAAAGATCACTGTATAGAGTTTAGGCTCAACCTTGTACAGATTGAAAATTGCAAGGATCGTCACTGGATCCGTCGCGGACAATGTAGCACCGACGGAGAATGCTTCTACAAAAGTGATGTTCAGGCCATCCAAGGGAACCCTGGTCCAGAGCCAGAGTATTACACCCAGAACAACTGCAGAGATGAAGGTGCCAGCAAAGGCAAACGTGAGGATTGTACCGATGTTCCGGAAAAAGTTCGCCTGTCATGTATTGTCAGGTAGGGAACGCGGCTCATGTTCATGAGTGCTGACCTGGTGTAATTCGTAGCCGGATGCGAGGATGATAGGAGGTAGTAACAAGTTGAAGAAGAACTGATAATTGAACGTGACGCTGTCCTGGATAGCACTTCCAGGAGACACCCGTATGACGAGGCCGACAAACATCCCTACACACAGGTGAGCACGGCTTTATTCAGGCAGTACGGAACGTGGAATACCTACCAGCAATGATTGAGATTACAGTCTCATGGACCGCTTGTATCTTTTTGGATTGAAGAATATAACTTGTAAAGAGAGCCAGAATCAGAAGCGTGATTAGAATGAACAGTGCCCATGATGAGAATATCTCTTTCTGGCCGGCTTCCGCAGGTGCTACAAGCGGTTGGTCAGCGCAATCGCGTGGATGTAGAGGAGTGAGCGAACCATCAGGATCTGGCTCATCTGCTTGTCTTCCTATAGATACTGGGTCAGCAAGCCTGGAAAGAAAATACGCAGCAGAGGACAATGCATACGAAGCAGGTCGGAGGCCTCTGCCTGAAACCATGAAGCCATAGTGGTACTTGGGAACACTAGCGAGCTTGAAGGGAATGCTCCTGTTGCTGATTGCGATCATCACCTCACCCAAGGTAGGGAGTGGGTAAAGTAGTACATAATCAATAATGTTTTGTGCTTGCAACCTTTACAAAAGAGTGTCATTCAGAAGTTGAGGAATAGAATGGTGTATCTCCATCTCAAAAACCTATGCAACTCTTTACATAGATGCTTGGCAGTCGCCCCGCTTGACGCACTCGGATTCTTGCTTCTTACATGCTGGGCTGAGCCGACGATTTCGTCTCCTTTCCACATATTATCATTTCTAGGTGTGGTAGGATATGGCCATTCAATTCAAGAAACCGTTGCCAGTGTTCTCTCGTCAATCGAATGGTGGCTACTGGTGCAAATATGAGAAGGGATGAGGTCCTCCATTTGCTACCATACAGTCCCCTAGTTTCTGCAAGCACGGTGCAGGTTCAAATGCATACATCTTGTTAAGATACGAGTCATATAGCTCAAAAGCTCAGTCAAAGATGTCTCAGTAATATCGTCTGAGACAAGTTCTTTACGATAATGATGACTGGCTTTTTAAATGGAATAAGGTGTGGCAAGTATATTCTCTTTTTGTAAGATGAGAAGGCGTGTAGCTCTTGTTCCTTGTTGTTTGTTCTAAAATTTTCTCCGTTTGTCTATTCACTTTTCTCTCCTTACCTTGACGCTTAAGGTAGCGCTATTCGGTCTATACTTCAAGCAACAGGCAATTTTTTACTATCATTGCTTAAGATGAACGATGTCAGCGAATACGAAGTGATCAAAGCACCTCTGACTAGCTTATCGCGTCGGCGCTATGCACGCATACCAAATACAAGCGAATTCTGGCACGACCTCTTTCTTGCCAAGTCTGCCAGTCGATCTTCCTCCGTAAGTATAGCCTCGATAGCCAGGGTCTTTTGCGGTTCTGATGAGACTCGCTTAGATTGAGGTTCGAGCAGCATGTCTCTATGCGACGAAGTGGCGGGCCCAAGATGATACTGGCCGGCCCAGAACAATTTGGGATGATATCTTGGTGGAGGTAAAGTGGTTACGGGAAGACTACAAATGTGACATCGAAAGGAAAAAGGATTTTATGCGTGAGGTGGCTAACCCCTGCGCTGAGGAAGCCCTACAGCGGCTTCAGCGCATCTGCTCGAGACGTGAGGAGGAAGACTCGGGTCAAAACCTGAGGAATGAATCCACTATTCCTGAATGGGCGAAGGAAGAGTACTCTGCTCAACGGGTTCTGGCCAATGAGCATCGACCAGAACCGTTGTCTGAGGAAGGAGTATCAGAGCACGATATAGCTTCACAATCCCCCAACCAGCTTCCAGCAGGTGGCAAGAGAAAGGCAGCCACGCTTCGGGGGGGCCGCAAGTCGAAACGCCTTTGCTACTTGGCTGATGCCGGCAGCAGGTAACCACACAAGTACAGGGAAAGGACAAAGCTTGACAAGATATTTCACAGTCATGTTGAGTGTTCACGGTTCCAGGCTACGCATTCCTCGAATGTGACACCATTGCCTCCAAAAATATCCAATGCGCTACCAATCGTCAAATCCACTCTCCCGCCACTCCGCGTCCTGACGAGATCAAGATCACCTAGGCTTCGGCCACCGCCAGCGTACGTTACCGGTATTGAGCACCACTCAGCCAACCTCGACACGAGGTCTTCATCGATTCCTCTTTGAAGGCCCTCATTGTCCGCTGCATGGATCAGGAACTCAGAGCAGTACGGCTCAAGCATGCTAATAGATTCTATTAGGAGAATAAGTGTACAAACGGGATATGATGAACACCCGGCTAACCTTTGGTTATTTCCATCTCTGTAATTGTTTGCCACTTGTCCATAGCAACGAACCACTTTCCTTCTTTCCTTCGGCAGCTCAGGTCAATCACGAGCTTGTTTCGATTATCGCCGAGAGTTTCCAGGACTCTTTCCAGGCGCGGAAGCGAGAAGCGGCCCGAGGGAAACAGGAAGGAGGTGATGATGACCTATTATCGATCGAAGGTGGTCAATGAGAGAGCTTCACAGACCACGCTATCTACAAAGCTAGGCAGAAGACTGTAGCTTTATAGAGGCCACCTGCTGCAGGAGAATCACCTTTTCAGCACCTCTCTCGATCCACTCTTCAGCATTCTGGTCAGTAATTCCACCCCCAACTTGTAGACCACCAGGCCACGTAGTCAAAGCCTCTCTTGCTGCCTCCTCGTTGCCTGGGCCTAGCATGATAACGTGAGCTCCACGACAACCATGGTCTCGATATAATTCAGCAAAGTGGCTTGCGGAATGGGATGAGATGTGATTGGTTTTTAGGTCAGAGTCATTCCTTGTGCCTAGTGTGCCGCCCACGATCTGCTTAACCTGACCAGAATGAATGTCTATGCATGGACGAAATCGTGTCATTCCCGATATTGAAAGGCAAAAGAAGCAGGATTGTACAACTGAAGACTGGACCTTGTCAATGTCAACTGCTAGGACTACCAATACTACTCCGTACGTTCGCCATAATTTATTTGATTGATTAGAAAATGGCGAACTTTCCGCCAAGCTGCGATGATGCAACGCCACTTGGGCTGGGGTAACTACTAAGTAGCTGCTCTACCTCGTAAATGACGTCACAGCAGCAGAAGCCGCCGTGGTCACATACCCTAATTCAACACTCAATTTATGGGATGCTCTCGTCAACCAAGCGGATGATTGTTCACTCACGTGGCAGGGTCGTGACAAAGAAGACACATCTACTATTCGACCAAAACGACAACGCTTTAGGTTTCGAACCTAACTGGTAGATATATTTTCAGTGGCACACTGTGACAACAAAGATTGGAGTACAGCTTCAAAGAGAGGTAAGAGAACGACAGCGATGACTCCATCACTCTGCATAAGTAGGCTATCTGTGTATGGTAGGATGGTACCCCACTGGTAGCTGGCATGTAATCTGTTGGCACGGCAAAGACATGATACAACTTCTAGCGTGCGCGGGAAGGTGGGGGAAACCATTCATTACGACACGTATGGAATGGAGGTCTTAGAAATGGAATGCTCCTAGGAACCTGGGAGCAGATTCTAGGAACCAACTATTCCTAGCCAAATCATCCTGGATGACTCAAATTATCAGTGTCAATTTTCTGGGCCTCCTTTGCAGCGTAACCTATTACCAATTTGCATAATACCGATGGTGGTAAGGTAAACCCGGAGTAGTAGCGATTGTAGTACTACAATTCGGAGTGATGGGGATTGTAGTACTACAGTTCAGCCCACTATCCACCATTCTGGCGTAAAATCGGCCTATTTTCTAATTCGCTAACATAACCGCTAGCGTCTACTCAAATTGACATTAGGTTCTAAAACATACTTCTCATTAGATGGCGCCTGTTTAAGGTGCGCTTGCGGCTGTAGTAACTAATTAGAAAATAGGCCGATTTTACGCCAAAATGGTGGATAACGCCGCAGAGCGGTTAAATTTAGACGCGGGTGACAGAAGGCCAGGGACAGGTCACATGACCATCTGGAGTACACGGGGGGTGGCACCGGGTGTCAAAAGCGGCCGCAAAGACTGCCGAAACAGTAAGCTTTGACCTACAGATTCGACGTTTAGCCGCATGAGGTAACAAGTCCTCCGCTCCAATGGCTGAGCAACTAGAATCAACCCAATCTAGCAACAAGAATCTTCCTAATATTGGCCTCGGAATGCTTCAAGAGATTAAGGAGTACCCTCAGGTTGTTACGACAGTACTGGCGGTGATAATCTTGTATGAGTGATTGGTTATTGCCGGACCTGGCTAAATTTGGAACATGAAGCATGCTTGCTGACCCCTCCAGGGCCTACATCACCTACCCATGATGGACCGCTCTCCTTACATGTCCACAGCCTAGAATAATAGTATCGGGTACCTCCTTCAACAGATTCCAGCAATAGATATCATGAGAATGTCTGCCTGGATCTGAAGGATCCTTTCTTGAAGATGAGTCGCAAGGGGACCAGGTGAGAGCACTCGTGAGAGGCAGAGCGGTTTTCTCCGTCCAGTGTTGGCTGGACAGAAAGTAATCTGTTTAGAACAATCTCTGTTCTTCGATTTTGCATGGCCGTGTCATGAATGAGGTCTAAGTTGAGCTATTCCCTGCCATACAAGCCAGTGCTGTTTGCTCGGTTTCAGCGGTTTCGTCCGTATTTACTGGCCCTCACGGTCTTGAGCTGCGTAGTGACCAGTTTCCAGATCACCTCGCCTCGGAGCGCCTATAAGGGCTAGCGCTTGATGTAGCTGATCAATTGGGTCGTTCTGTGAACGTGCTATATCATGCTCGTCCAGCACGATGTAGTCCCTCCGCTGGTGACCGGGTGGGCTTTTGGAACCATTCCAAATCTCCAAGCTGGTGTTCTCACTATTGTACTCATTCGACCATCGGTTGCCAAGGACTGAGATTTCTATCTGCTTTTTGGTATCAGTTGCTCCTGGCTTTAGCACTGGCTTAGTCTCCAAGCTAGACTTAGATGAGAGGAGAGTCTGAGAGACTTTAGGACCAACATGTTGGAAGAATCTTGGAATGACCGGCAGGCAGCTGACAATTATGCCGGTTGTTATTTCAGCCCATGTCCAGAGACCCATGATAATCACGTTGTAGGTGATATCTGGCGATGATACGATTTTGGAGGTATAATATGTACGCAGAATCGATGTTAGACAAGCGCTAAGCGAATGAGGGCGTCAGTGTGTCTGCCTTAGGGTATGGGAAAGGGTCTCGGTGACAAGAAGATTCAGGTTATGGGACCTAGCCTCAAGTCTTGGGGGCTCCAAGAGGAAAATCTGGAAGAGAACTCACAAGAGCCCTGTTGCAAAGATGGCTATCATCAAGATCTTCTTTTTTAACGGCATCTTCAATTTCCATATAGGTGCCATGGGAAGAAGTAGAATTAAGAAGTCGGATATGATATTGAACAAGCCGCTGGCTTGATACAAAATAGTGGTGTCAAAACAGCGACCGGTGGTCATCAATGGATTCCAAATCTTTTCACGTGGGCTGCATAGGAATATGTCGAAACCAGTACCGATGGAATAAAACAATACAATAGTCCAGATCAGGAAATGAATGGCCACGAACAGTAGCATATTCTCTTTTCGGATTGGGACGAAGATTCTTAGAAATTGTAGCAAGATGGAAACCTTTATCAAGCAGACGATCACACCATAAAGAATGGCTGTAACGTTGAACCACTAGAAGACTCTTTAGCGTCGATACTGTTGTAGCTGTTGTAGAAAGACATACATAGAGTAATATAAAGAAGTCCTTCAGCTTGATGTCCCACATGTGGATTCCTTCACCGAGTGTGAAATCGCACACTGAAGGCGCAGTAAACCCAAGTAAGCCCACCTGCTTCGGTTAGCAAGAAGAGTGGGCAAGACGGATATAAATCTTACCCAAGCAACCACAATCAAATCTGATATATATTCAGCATAGTTACAAAGTGGAAAGTAAAATTTTTTGAAGGCTTACAGTCCTCATATGCTATAGACCGCATAATGAGCAACTTGGTGTACGCGCGAGCGAGAACAGCCAGAGTGGCAAGCAGCAGACAGAGACTCAAGATGGGAATGATAACTGAATGTAAATTTGCTGGGTTATCAAAATTGGGCGAAACCCCAGCGGGCGGTGGTGCAGCTGGCCCATTGAGAAGCACTTGGATCTGCTCTGGCGCTGGGGAGATAGACGGAGCTGCCATTTTCGTGGAACTCAATGACCGAGAAGATCACTCTTACATGTGAGGTTGACGGTGGAGACGAGAGCAGAAGAATTAATTTGATGGTACACTTTCTGGACATGTCCATTGATATAGCACCCAGGATGGTGAGAGAAGACAACTGACGCTAGAAGAGGTGAAGATGCACGAGCTGTCACATTCCTGATTATCTGAAACTGATTGACGTAGCCCTTTGGGCTGTGCTCTGCCAAAGCAACCAGGTGAGCCACGCTACCAGTAAAAGCAGACCTAGATGAGTGACATAGGGCTAGGTCGGTCTCGATATTTGACTTCAGGATGACGCTAACAAGTACAAGCCTGGCAAGGCTGAACATTAATGGTGATACCCGACATTTGTAGGAATCAAACTGAGAAAATGAAACGCTGATGATTGTAGGCCTCTTGACCTACTGTAGTAGCCAATCAAATATCGGCGCTTTGGAACGTTATCTCTTGGGAACAGCTGAGCCACGTTAGAACCGAAACCATTTTGGCTAGATAAGCAGAGTGCATACGTAGTATTGAAGGGAAAGCTGGCATGACTTGAACTACGTAGGTCGTCGTCCAATACAGTACGTTTGATACCCGCGGAGGATACAGTACTACTACGTAGCAGGAGAATGATAATCTGGCCGAGACCGGGTGACAGATTACGTGGCCGCCTAGACATAAATAATTAAATCGCTGAGTCAAAATAATTCAAGAAGGCCCCAAAATCTAGCGCGAGGCCGAAGGGCCCGTCGGCCCCCAGACTCTTTCCTTCCACTGCATTGCTACAAATTGTGCCTCTCCCGCTAAGTTAGGCATACTTTTCTTTCCAAGCTCAACCCAATACAGGAATTAGCTCCTTCGTTCATCTCATGAGGTATCATTAAACCGAGACGAGCAAGGCTCAGCCCTGCACGTTAGCAACGTGGGTCAGCAAATACCAAAAGAATAGGTCACCGCAGGTGCATTCCAGCATTTCATCCTTGTCATTCAGAACGCCTGCGACGATAAAGCATGACCCTCCCTGGTCCAAGTGCGATCCACAGCCTGCTCCGGTAATATCGCCGATGCCTCTCTCTGGCGGTTTGCTTTGATGCAGGACACTGTTTCTGAATATATCTTTATCACTATCAATATTACTGTGTACTATCGCAATTCTCCATTTCTTTTTCCCTACCATTTTGTTGTTCTCTAATGTTCCTTTGCAATAACATTGCCCCTCGGGTGCTCTCAAATTGCCCGCTATTCGACGGCCATGTAATGTAGAGAACTATCAGCGGGGCCATGAAGAAGTGTTCAACGAGAATTTAACATCGACTCCATGAGGCAGTTTTCAACATCTAAAAGCACAAACACCCGAAAGGACCTGCCCCTAAATGACTCCTGCTTACTAAGCCCACCCACACCGTCGACTCCCATCCTACTCACTGAGTGATAGCCTTCGAGGCTTCTTTAAAAGCTGAAATCTGCCTCTTCGTTTGAAGGTCGGATGGGCGGCATCTCAACAGACAAGTCTGAGATAGGCTCGGGCTACAGCATTTTCCCAGACAAGCAAATGAATGGACCAGCAACCGCGCGTACAGCAATAATGCTCCCCAGGCTTGTCCTGGTAGCTGCTTTGCTATCTCTGATATACCAAATCGTCTCCCCAGCACCAGTCAATCACACTTCTCCACCGAACCTTGTTAAGGTGTATATGTCGATTGGTCAGCCACCTTACTTCGTCCAGAAAAGTTTTCACCCTGTTTGGGGTTGAAGGTATTTTTGTCAGGCGGCAGTAAAGACAGATAAGTACTAGCTTAGAAGCTTCTGTTATTCTTGCCTAGTACGGAGTAATTACAAGAAAAGCTAAATTTGCCCTCATCCCAGTTAGCGTATCCACCTTTCTGGCGTATATTTTGACATTTTTCTCATTGGTTGCTGTAAAGCGATGACGAATAAGAGCTTATGATTGGCAGATTAAAGCGCGTCTCACTGAATTGTGCCTAATCAGTGTTGCAGTTGAAAAACAACTGTGAACCTAGGTGACCTAGCAAACATCTTTAATAAGCTTAAGGTTGAAATAGGTGTTTGTAATTCGTTGAGAGAATTTAGACATCTTGAGAAAAATGTCAAAATTTACGCCATAAAGGTGGATATTGACAACTTGGATCCACGACTTCGTACACACTGTAAGCGTATCGGCCTTATTGCCATATTTCCTTTTTGGATTCATCTCTTCTATATGCACATTCTCCACTTATTCAGATGTGCCTTTCAGAGCTTGCACTGACACACTTTGCTAATCTATTGACTTCCTGTGACACTGGCACTTGGTCGCGATCAGCTACAATGGCCAAGAATACGCACAAAAGACGCAGTACTAGGATCCCGAATGCCTCAGTGGTCTTATACGACCCAATCAGCTCTGGTTTTGGCCATGTCTGGGCCGCTAATTGAGATGAAGTCTACCGATCAGTGGCACAGTCTTTTACGTCGTAGTGAGAAATAAAGTATGTGCCCGTGGTATAAGTAAAGTTGAAAGCAGGCATCCCTTACTTGTTTCTATCAATCAATGCTTCTTTACCATATTCATACCCTGTTGAGCACCATGCAGTTTTTACCATATATTTTCGTGTTCCTCCTGTCCTTTCAACCGCAGAGGACTTGTGCCGCCCTTCGTTCATACAGTCTCACGTTACATACTGGCACTAGATCTCCAGGTTAGTGATCGAGTTGAGCATGTTTTGTTTGTCTATCTTTGACAGTATTATAGATGGGCTGTCCCGCGAGGTCTATCTCATCAACGATCAACAGCCTGGCCCATTGATTGAGGCTGAGGAAGGAGACGACCTAGAGATCTTCGTGCAAAATAATCTACCCGTTGAGCAAACAATCCATTGGCATGGTTGGTCCCTCTCTCAAGGCGGGATCTTTGGCTCGTGATACTCGCATCGCAGAAAAGAGTGACAGAGACATAAGTTGTAGGCCTTCTTCAACGTGGTACATCAGACATGGACGGCGTTCCCAGTGTCACCCAGGTCAGTTGATCTAGTGTAGCCCTTTCGCTTTTACGTTGCTGATATTGATGCAGTTTCCGATTCCGCCCCAGTGAAGTTTTACTTATCAGTCCCGACAGGGTCTCAATACGGGCTTTTATTGGTATCATTCTCATTTCCGAGCCTATTACAACGATGCGGTACGCGGGTCACTTCTCATACACCCTTCCCCGGCGCGCCGCCGTCCTTTCGAGAGCCTTGCTTGAGATAACACAGAGTTAGAGGCGATGCGACAAGCTGAGCGAGCCGCCATACCGCTCTTGTTGACCGACTGGTATCATCGGCCCTCAGATGTTATCTACGATGCATACTTCACCACCGGCGCGTTCCCTCAGTGTGTCGACAGCCTTCTGGCCAATGGATTTGGCAGAGTACAGTGTTTGTCTGAAAGTGTCCTTCAAGCCGGTCGAGGGTTGGGATTGGATTCCATCGTGGCGAACGATCCGCATGATCCTCTGACTACAGCGATGCCTATGGCGTCTGACAGCATGTCTGACATGCTCATGGACACAGCCTCGGGCAGCAAAATGCCGATGGAAGCAGTGTCATCGTCCTCCATCTCGACGAGCTCGATGTCGATGGATCCAATGTCGATGGACTCAATGGAAACGGACATGTCCATGAGCATGCGCAAACGTTCTGATCATGCAACAACCACGGCAGCAGATTCTACAACCTCTGGTATGAGCATGGCGTCGGCAAGCAGCACGTCCATGTCACCAATGGCCACCATGTCAGGCATGGCAGACATGCCCAATCTCGGTCCTAACGGTTGCAGTATGCCGATGATGTGTAGACCAGGCTTTGGCGCAAGTTCCCTGCCACCAGAGACATGCAGCAACACCATGTCAGAGCTTCTCATGTCAAGTGTCACCGCTTCTCAAGGTTGGGCAGCTTTCCATCTGGTAAACGCAGGTGCTGTGAGTAGGCTGAGCAGCTCACTTGACGGTCATTCCATGTTCGTTTATGCTGCAGACGGACTCTATGTGGAGCCGCAAGAGGTCCAGGGCAGTTTCCCCGACCGTTGACCGAATGTTGTTATGAAGTATGATAGGGGCTACACCTCTCATTCGGCCAGCGGTATTCAGTGATTGTGGGACTCGATCAGACGCCGGGAAACTACTACGTACGTTTTGCTTCGTATCCATACGGCGATATGCAGCAAGTCATCGAAGGTCAAGCAATTCTGTCATACCAGGTGAGGCGATGAAGCTTCACCTCTTGATAGCAATTTTGCTAACTCATTGAAGACCAATGGGACCAGTATGACCAACATGCACACTGTGGATGATTCCGGTTTGACCTGGATGCTCGTGAACGGGTCGGCAAAGCCTAACGCTACCGAATTGGACGACCAGATGCTTGCACCCTTTAATGGAAATGCACCCCCAAGCGGGCAGTCAGACGTGACAGAACTGTTCGCCATTAATCAAACCGATATTGTAACCTGGGTGATTAACTGCCAACCGTTTTCGGAACCACAAAGCCCCATAATATAGGAAACGCTTCCGATGGCTGGAACGCTGGCACAACTCTCTACATGCCCGGCAACTCGACCGTTGATCTTATCATGTATGTTGCGAACGACTCGATGGATACGGTGAGCTGTATTCCATTCTCAAGGATGCCAAGATGAGTTGCAGCTGACTGAGGCTTGGACAGATGGGGCATCCCATGCACCTTCATGGTCACAAATTCTGGTTTCTGGGATCAGGCGAAGGCGTATTTCCGCACAGCTCTGTCACTGAGGCGCCTTCATCCATGATAAACTTACAAAACCCTCCTTATCGAGACACTAAAGATTTGCCGCCGTCAGGATGGGCTGTTATTAGGTATGACACAAAGACGGCATAGAATTGGAGGTAATTGAGAGCTAATACGTCCTAGATATGTTACCGACAATCCAGGAGCGTGGTTATTCCATTGCCATGTCCAGTGGTATCAAGTGGTATGTTATATAAGCGGACATCCGGACTGCAGAAGCTGACCGCTGCCCCTTTACAGATTGGAATGGCAGTTGTTCTTGTTGAAGATGAGGAGCAAATGCAGCGTACAGTAGGTTCGATTGAGGCCGCCGCCAACAATACAGACATGACTGCTTTGGGAACATCTCTGGCCAGACTTACCATGATTCCCACCTTCTCACATTCAGTCGTCTTGTGCATAGTAGTATTGAGCCTTTTTCTTCATTAGCACTGGCATGGACAAGCCAACTCGTCGTGATGCGAGCGACAAAGAGAGGTGGATTGTTTTGTCGATAGGTATAGCATTGTACAGATATTGTTACTTTTACTCTTGCGAGCACCATTTGATGCTAAGCGATTGGAATTCAACGCTAGCAACCGGTTCCAACAGGAAAAAGATGACATATGTGTAGATTATCCAAGTTGTATTTCAGCGGAAGGATGGCAGGATCAATCTAGTGCCAGAATCACCGCTTGCGTGCCAGGTGAACTTCCATATCCTTGGTTAATATAGGGGCAAACGCGATAGAAAAACGGCCACGTATCTACCCCAGCAAAACTGTTTGCATCTCAAACGCAAACAACTACAAGACCAACCTGGCTATATGACAGACTACTTGAAGCTCTTGCAGAAAAAAGGAAGCATCAACCGCTCCGCCAATGATAGAGCGCTCACGGATCTCGAACCGTACAGAAGACCACTCCGGGTCAGTTAGAGACAAAATAGATCAACAAGACATAGAGCAACTTCAGGCCAGTAGACTAGTACTATTCCAAGACAGACGTGGTGATCAAAGACAGGTGAGGCAGAATCTCTCGTGGCATTAGCGCTGTTCTTTTAGGGAAGTGGTGGATGTATTTCTCCCCAATTTAGCCCACCATGCGTTGCGGCTGCTTCGAAAATGACCAGGAATCAATAAGCTCTAGGTAGAGGATAATTGGTATTGGTTGTCCGTTCGACGGCGTGAAGTTCCCGGGCCATGATGATGCGCACAAAGTGCCGTTGCCGCGTAATGCGCACAAATAATGCAGCCATTATCACCCATTACTGGGTCCTCCGGTCCAGGCCCAGTAACCGTTGGCCAAACACCCCTTTTTCTGGAGGTAAGCCCCTCCATACCAGCAATAAAGCCCATGTCCAGATCAGACCGCTTTCCACTGTTTGTGGCTTGGCACCAAATCGATGCACATCCATAGGTTCAGCTGCGTTCAGGTTGTACCTGGGACTCGTCATGGCTTCTCAAGTCCTTGACCCAGCTATTGGAGGAAAAACTTTGAGTTTGGCGATTGGTCCGCTACAAGCGCCTTCAAACACGTCTTGCAGGAGTTCTTCAGCTATATCCGTCACCCGTGAAGCACCAGCCATTGCTCAACCAAGGCGATTTATCGGTCTGCAGGCAGCTATATTACCAAAGCCAATGGATTTCGGCATATTTTTCAACGCGCTGCATTCTCTTTGCCCGCTGGAGTCTTCGTTCTGTCAACGAATCCTTGTCAGAATATCCAGCGAGGGTTCATCAACCTGCATTTCTACACACCCAAGGACGACTCGATGTCGCATGGTATGGACACAAGAAGGAGATACCCAGTTGTGGTGAAATTCATGGCGGAGGTCTGACCCTCGGTCGAGCCAGCGATGACACGAAATGGGTATCTGCCATAGTCGAAGTCGTCCATGCTGTTGCCGTCTGTGTGGAAGATCGCCCAGCACCACAATTTCCTTTTCCTGACGGCCGTGCTAGACGGCACAGATTCTTTATTGTACATCATGCAGAAGGCCGAAAAGCGCAAAGCCGAACGCAGAGAGAATTGGTATAAGCGGCTTCCCTTTAGGTGGCAATATAACGTTGGCCTCTCCATGTTTGTTACGGTGTGAAACCGGACGGATGCAGACGGACTGCAAGTCTGGTGAAGGTAGATTCGCGAGCGCAGCGCCAAGAACTGGGCGATGTGCAGCACTGATTATCAGCTGGTATCCGACAACTGAATACACCACAATTGCAAGAGAAGAACCTAGAAAATGCAATGCTCAACCTGATAAAATTTTCCGCATTCTTTACCGCTTTTCCCGATGCCGGCAAGAGCCACAGATTCCACCACTTCAAGAGATCCTAATGACATGACTTCCCGTTTCGCATCAGGCGTGCGTATGAATTGTAGGGTAGCGGAGTCAAAAAGCGTGCTAGCAGAGAAACTGCTGCTGACATCCAGAATTGAACGCTGTCGAGCACTATGACACCCCCTGTCAGGTAATAATCGACTGTATTTTCGGCAATCTCCATTGCCACCACGGATACCATGCTCATGCCTGCGGCAGTATTGAAGGCCACCCTCCAGGGCATTCGGTCACGCCCAATTCGAAGCAGGATTGATTTTAGTGCCGTGGATGTCACGATACCTGCTACCACTGGTTCGGATGTGTTAGAACGTTTTCTCATAGGGTCAAGACAAGACTCACTTGACAGGCCCATTGTGGTCGCCACACCCTACCCGTGGTAATTCAACTGCAGGGCCCACATTGTACCAAAATCACCCAGGCTACAGCCGGTAAGGCACCTGAGAGTGTTAATGCTGGCTCGTCGCCAAGCATGCCCATATTTCCAAAAACTTTAAGTTAGCATTGAAGTCTGGCGCGGCTCCCGCTCTGATGCCGATGACTCGCGACATGCTCCTCTCGTTAGAGGACGAGGGAAAGATGTTCTAGCCAGTAAAGGTTGAAGCGTCGAAGGACGAGACCAGCGCAAGTTTGCGCGGAGGCTACCTGAAAGCTTGAAGCATGTCACCATTGATATGATTAATAACAACCGTGATGAATGACCTTTGACGATTGCAATTTCTGCGTCAACGCTAATCCGCGAGGTAAGAGTTGAAAACAACAGGCGCAAAAGGTTGCGCTTAGTAAAGCCTTGTCGACGTATATTTTCAGCAAGGACAAGAATGGTTATAGTTAAAAAGACTGGCTTTAGTAGCCGAATAGTAGCAAAGGATCAAAACGCAGGGGTTGCGCGTAGAAATTCTACTCAATCAGCGCTCCTACCGTTCGACACAATCCTTGCAACGCTGACCAATGAGCATGATGCTGAGCTGGGCCGTAGGTGAAACGCGGGGCTGCAGAGACAACTGCAAACAACCTTTGCATCTATCCATAATTGTGATGAGGTTGCGATCTGATTCTATCTATGGACCCTCTCTCAATTGTTGGTGCCGTCGCCTCAGTCAGCAAAACCGTCTACAGCGCATCCACTACCCTCTATACGTTCGTGAGCGAGACCAGAAACGTCGATCAGACTGTCATAGATCTTGCAACAGAAGTCGACGCGCTGAACAGTGCACTTAAGGAGGTCGAAGCGGTTCTCAAAAGTCCGACTATCATAGATGCTGAGAAGCGTGGGTCAGCAGAAGACAATAAGCAACTATGGCAGACTATCTATGGAGCCTTGGATGAATGTCAGATAACTGTCGTCAGAATCGACTCTGCGCTGGACGGTGTCAGGAAGAAACGCTCAAACTGGGCTACACAGACGTTCCGGCAGATGAAGCTTAACCTGGGGAAGGACGAGATAGATTCTCTTAGGGCACAAACTCACACTCATTATAGTGCTCTTAAGATGGCTTTGGCAATGGTTACCATGTTTGTATTATCCTCGCTTATTTAGTTTGGAATCTGACATATAATTAGACGGGCTGCCTATAATGCCCCTGTGGTTGTTATTGCCGACCTCGGCCCTAGGATAGAGAACCTTCAAGGCTCTTTAGACCTCCTGACAACATCTTTGGAAGGCCAGAGAAGAGAAATCGCACTTATGTCAGGCAAGCTGACAAACGCTGACTCTGCGAACACAGAACGACTCCGGTTGTTGGCGAGGCACATTCTTTCCAAAGCCACCACAGTCCATGGATCGACTGTAGCTGGGGGGTCTATTTGTGGCGACCCAGCCGCCGATGAAATTCGAGCTCGGACTATGAACTGGATACCCGCACCAGTGGTCAACGAGCGGGCATCCTCGAGATCATCAGTTACCCAGTCTCGAGATCAAACGCTTTTCAGCGAACCTGATGGTACTGTCGATACGGACCTAACCGAAGGAACTGTGCCGCATAATGAGCCAGAGCTTGCAGACTCTGATTCCGACGGCGAATTTGAGCTTGAAGTCACTCGGAGACTGTTAGACAAAGGCAAGAAGTTATTTGACTTAGATAATTATGCAGAAGCTGTGCGTTTTCTACAGAATAGTGTTGCAAGTTTTAATCGACTCCCGAATAGCCAGAGAACACAGCTAGACCTAGCAGAGGTCCCTATAATGATCGCAACCTGTAAGTATCATTTAAAAGAGCTAAATCAAGCTGAAGGCGATCTTCTTTTACTAGTCCGACAAGAATCTACCAGTGATCGAGACGCCATCCGAACATGTCAGATTTCACATCTCCTATCTCAGATATACCTGATCAAGAATCAACTTGAAGCTTCCGAGGATTACTGCCGAAAAAGTTTGAAAGGACGACGACGCCTTCTAGGTAAAGAACATCAGGACTACTTTGCATCTCTTAGACTGCTCTCCGATATTTGCAATGTACGCGGAAAGGATGAAGAAGCAAGTGTTTACCAAGACATGATACCGCCTGAGATCGCACAGCTGCAGAAAAAGATACGACCGGAACAAAACTGCCCAAATGACGCTGCATTGATCACAAATAACCCGCCTGAGACCGCACAGCTGCAGAAAAAGATGCGACCGGAAGACTACCACCCAAAGGACACTGCATTCTTCGCAAATAACCCAGAGATGAACCAAGAGATATTACAAAGACCAAGGTCTACGCTCAGGGGCCACACGGGGCGGGTCTACAGCGTCACCTTCTCGCCAGATGCCAAGCTGGTATTAACCGGCTCAAGGGACATGACGGCCAGGCTCTGGGACGTGGCAACGAGCATGAAGCGGGTCACGTTTGAGGGCCACACACATGGAGTACGGGATGTCGCTTTCTCGCCAGATGGCAAGTTAGTAGTGACGGGATCGGAGGACCATATAGCTAAACTCTGGGACGCGACAACTGGGGCGAAGCGGGTCACGCTTAAGGGCCACACGAGGGGGGTCTTGGGCGTCGCTTTCTCGCCGGATGGCAAGCTAGTGGCAACGGGGTCAGGGGATAAGACGACTAGACTCTGGGATACAGCAACGGGAGCAAGTCAACTCATACTTAAGGGCCATACAGTTGGAGTTAACTGCGTTGTCTTTTCCCCGGACGGTAAGCTAATAGCAACGGGATCAGGAGACGGGACGGTTAGGCTCTGGGACACAGTAACAGGGACGAGACAGATTTACACTCGAGAGCCATATAGATGGAGTGGAATGTATTGCTTTCTCGCCGGACGGCAAGCTAGGGGCAACAGGATCAGAGGACAGAACAGCCAAAATCTGGGACATAACAAGTAGGACAAGGCGGGCTACACTCGTGGGCCATACGGATATGATCAGGGGCGTTGTCTTCTCGCCAGACGGCAAGTTGGTGATAACAGGATCAGGAGATGGGACAGTTAGGCTCTGGGACGCAGTAACAGGGACAAAGCAGACCACACTTGAAGGTCATAAAAGTGCAATCTTAGGGGTTGCCTTTTCGCCAGATGGCAAGCTAATAGCAACAGGATCAGGAGATCAAACAGCCAGACTCTGGGATATAATACTTAAATAATAGAGTATCCTATCTCTTTATCTATTTTTCTATATACACTTTTTTAATGTAGTCTAGATACTAATACGCTATCTCTTTTAGTTCAGTCCTGCCTAGTCAGACACTATCCACCCCGCGGGCAATGCCTCAATTAGCGTAGAATTCTCCATATTAAGGTTTTAAGCCGCATTTGATCGCCGCAGCTCTCCGCAGCTCACTTTTCGTTTAAATTTTCAACCACAAACAATGCTACGACCACGAAGAGATATACAGATACCTTTGAGATATAGATCAAGCTCACCTCCGCGATTCTCTCAAATCGACAACCAGCTCAAACGACGGCGAATTGACCCAGAAAACGTTGATCGAAATAACGTCGATCAGGGCTTGGCAGTGATTGCTGCAGCGCCGGAATGTACAAATAAACCTCCTACATTGATATCAACAGAACTCCCTCAGTTTCAAGCGAATTACGTTTAAAATCGAGCAGGATATTCTCTATATACTAATCTATTAGAATCAGGCTTTTTTAAGCTCTTTTTCAGCGATTCTGTAGTTGAAATCCTCTCAAACGAGACTAATTCGTACACCAAATTCTATCTTCAAAGTCCTCTCCTCTCTATTCGCCCTTACCGCCCTTAGAAACCTACTACACTAGCAGAAATACGCGTTTATCTTGGTATTAATCTTTATTTCAGTCTATATTCATTGTCAGTTCAAGATGACTACTAGACAGTGCAAAATATAGGTCAGTTTATAAGTGCAATGGCTCGAAACTAGAACAAGTCAATAGTCCATAGATTGCTAAAACGTAAGCTGAGGAGTCTATCTACAGTGCGGCCAGCGCTCTACTCTATATACTCCTCCATCGAACACAAGGGGTGCTACTAGTTAACCTGCGCGGAGGATCCGACGGAGTATCTGCAGGGCCAGAAGCGGTAGCTTCCCTCTGGAGGAGATTGTACTTCCCTAAAGGGGTCGTATCAATCTCCTGTTCTATGGTACTCGTACGGGGAGCCACGTGCCGTACGGATGCCTCTATCGGCGGCATAGTAGCTTGACGGCAAGAGTTCCGCGTGCCGTTGTGGATACGCCATCGGCGCTGCCATCCGAGTGCTGCTATCCGAGTGCGTGGCTGGTCCCGTGTCTTTCCTGCGCCATAGCAGAGGAGATACTCCATCCATCACAATAAGTATAAAGCGATTTCAACAGATACATCATTTTTTTAGCCTTAATAACGAAAATACTGTCCCACCGCCTCTAAATGCACCCTGGTTTCATCGAATTCAACGTATTTCTGACCTTATTCGAACTGCCTGTCGAAATGCCTATACCCCCTTCTTTGATATCGCTATTGACGAAGCTATAGTGGCTTTTAAGGGCCGTCTGAAGGATACTATCAAAATCAAGGGCAAACTAATTGATACAGGCTACAAGCTATAGTGTATTAGCGATTACAGTTATATCTAGACTTGGCTATTTTATTCAAGAATAGAGGGCGTTAAAACGTTCTTAAAAAGCCAACAAACGCGCTGGCCTTAGAGCATTTAAATCGCAGATAAAACTATTGAAAAAAGCACTCTTTTAGCGCCTATATTTGCTCTTGTTTTACGACTTGCAAGCTAGTTACTAAAACAGCTTGATTTCTGCATTTATCTTAATAATCTGTTTCTTAATGTGCCTGTTGTACAGTACCTTCTAGCAATAAGGATTTACTGCATAGGCACTACTTACAAAAAGGCAATAGGCGTACCTGTCATGGGGTAGAACCCATGGAGACCTGGGCCACAGCCTCAGGTCAGCACGTGATGCCTTGGTGCGGCGTCACGTGATAGTGGGCATGTCACTGGGAATGTCCTCAGGGGCTAGGGGCACGGCTCAGGAGGAAGGATAGGGGCACAGCTCAGGAGGAAGGATAGGGGCACGGCTCAGGAGGAAAGATAGAGGCATGGAGACGGGTACAAATAACCTGTACTTCCCCCTTGTATCATGGAACTCCCAAGTTTCGTCTCCTTGTCTATAGGTAGCTAATCGAGAGCTTTTGCCTTCATTCGCGATCCCTCACAGTACCCTAACATCTTCAGAGTTATCTTGACAATAATAGCGACCTTCTATGGGATTCTATAATAGCAGAAGTCGTTGATAAGAATACTTTATGCTTCGTTTGGCAAGATAATAAGCCTGTTGTTGCTATTTTAATAGCTTATAGCGTTCATCGTACAGAAGATCAAATTCAACGCCTTCGCAGATGCCCTAAAATCTCCTTTGAAAATGCACGCATTCTGAACCCTATATTCAAGGGCTTGCCTTTTAAGGAACTCTTTATCCCAGTAGCTATTAATTATTATAACCATTATATAAAGGGCGTAGATCAAGCAGATGCCTTACAAGCAAACTTTACGTGTCATCAGAAGCAGAATTATCGTACTTAGTAGCCCTTATTCTACTTCCTTCTTAACGTTGCTTGTGTAAACGCGTTTTTACTATGGAAACAGAGTTCTACGTAATATAATTCAACAACTCATCGCGGCTATAGAGACTTTATAAGTGCCCTATGCAGTCAATTACTACATTTAGATAAGAAACCAAGGAGGAGGAAGAATCAGACCCTGTACCCCCTGTAGTACTTCAACAACACTATAAACACATACAAAAGAAGTCCTACGGGCGGTGCTAATAGGGAAAACTTCATCCGCCAGGCTGTACACGGAAAAGGGCGCCCAAACGCAAATTTGGAACGGATGTTACAGCGTCAGCCAATAATGGCATTTCTACAGCTATTTTAGGAGGCTCAAAGACCCATTATGAGTGTTCAAAATGCCACGTTTGGCTATGTATCGAAGGAGAATGCTGGGTACACTATCACCACTCAATTGGAGTCAATTGCTAGATAGAATACCCTCAATTCGCTCGAATAGGGCGTTTGTTGACATTTTGAACCTCCCCGCAGCGATCGACAGCGCTAATTGAGGCATTCTACACCCCTGTTTGCCCGCGGGGTGGATACCCTCTTATTACTTAGCCTAAATATAAAGAGCCTATAGGCACTAAAGTCAGACTCTGTACCTCCTTATAAGAGCGCCTGGAAATCTTCACTGTTAAGTAGAAAGCTTACACAGAGATGTATATAAATCACAAGCAAGGAGCATTGTCAGGGATGCCAAGGCTTATCTCCAAGTGCCCTCTACAATGCAAGTATGCCGTAGGCCACATCCCGTTATAGGCGCATTTAGTATCATAGGGATTATGAGGGCTTTCTCTTAAGTAAAGGGAATGCCCACTGAGGCTAAGGGGCTCAGGAATTAGTTTACTGTTATCCATACATCTACCAGTGGTAGTAATCTAAGTCACTGTCGTTGTACCAGTGTTGTGCTAGCGCTCTTCATTCTGCCAGTCAAAACCTTACAAGCAGATAGCTTACAGACGATGAAACAATAGATGAGCTACCTAGCTCTAATAGAAGAGTTAGGAACATAAAAGAAATTACTTAAAAATAAAATTAGGTATCTATTTTTTAATACTAGATGTAACCTTTCTTAAATAAAAAAAGGGATAGAAGGATAGAAGGATAGAAGGATAGAGGGATAGAGGGATAAATAATAAATGATAGGCCTAAAGCACGTCTTTGATGGTTGATAGAAATAGAGAGAAGATGATAGCAAGGGAGCAGATGGAGGTTGAAAACACGAGAAATGCAACGAAAGTGGCAGCAGTTTTTCATTGGCTTCTGGATTTGTTAGATTTGGTGCTATCACATGCAAATTTCTAAGCTACAAGCACTCTTCGAGGTCCTGCTCAAGTCGGTTTGCTGTCTAAACAGGGTAACTGATTGTCCTCCATAATGGTTGATTATCATCATTTCTATGGAACAGCGGTAGTGGCATTATCGCGCGGGGTCGATCATATTCCCAACATGGCGTCCGCACCAAAGTCGTGGCAAGTTGTCTCTGAAAGATAGATGGCGGTGGCCTACTGGTGCTCCCGTTCAGCAGTTGCCGCCGAGGCCAGTTTCTGGGCAATGTCGTTGAGAAAGTCACCGCTAGTCCACCTCATCACGTTGTCGACCACCATAAAAAATTCTGTCACTCCTTTTAAAATGGACGCATGGCAGGTTCTTAAGATGTTCATATTGTACGTGCAGATCCTCTCCTCCGATGTAGTATGATGGACCCACAGCTCCATGTGGGGTCCTTCGGTACAGATCGAGAAGGCCAGAGGTGCTTTTTGGGGAGAAGAGGACTCGGAAGAGGTGCAACCGGCGAGATAAGCAAGATCTTGTTGTAATTTGATCATGCAGCTTCCGGACACAGCGGCATGATTTTGCGCGTCAAATATCGGCTTGCCAGTTGCGTATGACTTGCCCTCGATGACCATCGTCGGGAAGCGGATCGGTAGGTCGTGCTGGGTAGGATTAGAATAAAGTACCTGCTGCATTTGTAAGTTTTTCAAGAACAATGTGGCTCTAAGGCTCCCAAGACCTCGCGCTGCCAATGCCTCTAACACAGTCTCGTGAAGAAGACCGACCGTAATATCCGGACGAGCGGTTTTCACGGCCAGGACTTTCGGTTCGGATTGGACTGGGGTGCAAGAGGGCTCGACGGCAAGCTGGGATGCATTGGAGGAAAGCGTAGATTTGTTGGCTTTTCGTTTCTTCGACGAGGTAATAGCGTTATTTGCTACTTTTTTGAACTTTGCAAGGAAATTCAAATTCAAACTCAACGAGGATGGCTCGATATTGGGTTTTAGGCTTGCTTCCCAGTCTAAGATGGCGTGAGCACGACTCTAGACAAGCCGGTAAAGGAGGAAGTACGATACCTGTTTTTCTTGGAAAATGGAACTTCCTATCACTGTCCATTGAAGATAGGGCGCGTTGGATCGGTTCGATGTAATCATCCTCCCTGCCTGCTCCACAGAGACAATCGATAATATCGCGGTGTAGAGACTGGGCGATGCGCTCTAGTTCGCGCTTCCTATCTTCATTGATTTTACGCTGGATGACAGCGTCGACCAGAGATTGAATTTTCTTGGGCGGAGGTCCAGGCCTAATGAAGATTCTTGCATATTCGAGCGTACCGAAGCGGTAATGAGCTGCGGTTGATGCATACGTGCGTCCTGATTCTGTGTCCCGGGTCATGCTGGTATTACTTGATGACTGCAACCGTCTCTTCGCTGGGCGTCTCGTTTCGTCAGCTGTTCCCGATCGCAGAAGTCTATTGTGTTCTTCCAAGTTTGCTTTACTGAGTTGCTTGCTGGACTTTGACGTGTGTTGTGGATCTTTCCGTAGTTGCTTGTCTGGATGCTCTTCTATGGACTCTTCTACGTGCTTGTCAGGGTGGATGTCAGGGTGGTTGTCTGGATGCTTACCTATGGGCTTGTCTGACTGCTTGTCTTCAGGAACAGATCTTCGCTTCTGTCCTCTGGGCGGAGGGGGACCGATCAGGTTTTGGGAGGCTGCAGAGGGCTCTGAGGGGTTTTCGGGAGGGCTAGAATTGATAGCCGACGTGCTTGGAGAGCGTACTGCTTTTGATCGAGTGTTCTTTCGAGAGGGAGCTAGCTTCCTCTTCTTCTGTACGCCTTTAGAATTGTTTCCCACCATTTTCTTAAGAGGTATGTTGAATGGCAGAGAAGATAATGAAACGATAAATCACGCAGCCGGCCAACTTGCAGTGGTTAGCAATTGCCTTGGCAGGAGAAAGAGAATATTGAGGTGCGAGAAGGTTCAATGGACGCGTCTACTGATGGTGTGGAGGGTTGTATCGCAGGGTTTTCAGCATTCCTTTGTGCGAATGCGGGTTACCATCACCCCTTGCTTGGCCAACGGCATGAAAGGGAAATGCTGAAGGCTCCGGTATAGATGCATAAAATGTTTGCAGTTAGTAAAATGGAGAACAAAATTCCCAGAGAGAAATCACCTTGGAGATAAGGAAGACAAACGTGGTTAGTTATAAAAAAAAGGTAAATAAAAGAAATATTTTCATCTCTAACTTACTCGGTACTTTTTAGTGTTGCATCGTGTGACTGTCACAACATACGGTGGACTATTATTGGGTTGACGACACGTCAAGATTTTGAAGTTGAAAATCAATTTTGAGGTTGTAATTTGTATCGTTGGATTACTACTGTTGAAGTGCTATAGCAGCTTTTAACAGTAAATAATAATAGCCTGTCTGTACCTGGACTACCTATTGTAGTTATCTCAAGTAGATGGAAAGGATGCAATTCTTGGCGCCAAGGCCTACCCCGTACTACGGTGGGTAAGAGTACGCTTGCAACCATAATCAAAGACAAGTCTCAAAAGGCGCTGGAAGAATTCTTATAGAAAGAAGTCGGAGTAGATGTGAAGGTGATAAGTCTGAGTGATTAATTCTCTTTATTTAGGTGCGGGTTGTCAGAATCCCTGCGCATACGATACGTATCTGTTACGTATTAGCAGGATGATACAGGGGTCCCCACATGCGAAACGCACGAAACGCTCTTGTAACTTTTACGCCCTGTTATTTATGGCAGTGAGCATTGCTATACGAATTGAACGCCAAATGCTGTTTCTGAGCTGTTGCAGTAATGCGCTTCTATAGCTATTAGTATGAGCAAATACTCCTCTTGATAGGAGTAACTCAATAAAGTGAATTGGCACCTCCGTACGCTGTTTGCTACCATCCTCTAACACGGGTCTCTGGTTGTTCTTATCTTCACTTCTGATATCCGCCGTCTCAGATCCCCAGTGTCCAATAGCAAAAGTTAAATAGGCCACCAGGCGTGGTGGCGGTAAAGTATACCGCCGATTAGAAATGCGGCGTAGGGATGGCAGGATTGCAGGATGGAGGTATAAGTGTTCTGCGTCTTACATTCTCTGACAAAGGCAAAAAGGTGTGCTTGAGCTCGCATCGAATCAGAACCATGTTCCCACCTTCGGACGTTAGAACTGTACCTCCAGCTGTAAGGATACGAACACAGCACCTCCAGCTGCAAAGTCTTTGAAGCGGAATCAATCTCGCATTCCAAGGGCCACATTACAACACAGTCAGGCTCGACCGATCGAGAGTGTAAGGCTCGTGCCTAAGCCATCAATGAGCAAGACTCTCCGTCTTTAATTCTCTTTGACATGGCCGCGCCGTTGATGGAGTCAGGAGCGCAACCGGGGCAAGGTCCAGACGACATCGGCGTTCTATACCGACAAGGCTTATCACACGTGAAAGAGGACAAGACCCGGAGGCCCGTACAGCAAGGCCAAGGCCAGCCCGACGCCGCTCTCGAGATTGTTGCAGCCACTGCTTCACCAGACTCCCCACCCGTCGCCATCCCTACGCCCAGCGAAGTGAAGCATGGAGATGGCAACGAGGCGAATATCTGCCCCAGGCGATGAGTCCCAACCCACAGAAGCCGATGCACCATACAGTGCTCTGCCCGAAGTCGAGAAGATATGCCTGTTGCTCGCATCATCCCTTGCCGCCATCATTTCACCCTTTTCCACCTGCATCTATTATCCGTCTGTGAATGCGTTGTCAAGGGATCTCGGTGTCTCGATTTCTCTCATTAACCTGACCATAAGTACATACCAGGTATTCCAAGGTATTGCTTCGTCCGTGACCGCTGCCATCTCCGACACATACAGCCGCCGCCCAGCTTACCTGTTCTGCTTCATCATCTACCTGGGCGCCAACCTCGGCCTGGCGCTGCAGGATGTTCACGCCGCCTTGCTCGTCCTACGGTGCGTACAGAGCTCTGGCAGCAGCGGAACCGTCGTTCTAGGCCAGGCGGTCGTCTGGGATCTTACGACACGAGCAGAGCGCGGCAAGTACATCGCATCTACGATTATAGGTTCGTTTATTAAGATAAAATTTAACCGAGACGCCTTCTAGACACATGTTAACGTCTAGCAGGTATTTCTGCCTGCCTGGCATCTCAATGGAGATATCATGGAATTGTACCCTGACATCCTGCAGGCTATACGCTGGGTCCAGCTCTAGGTCCGCTTGTTGGCGGGCTGCTATCCCAATGTCTCCACTGGCGGGCAATGTTCTGGTTCCTCCTGATCTTATGCAGCGTCCTCGCATCCGTAATGTTCATCTTCTTCCGCGAGACCAGGCGTTCAATCGTAGGAAACGGATCTGTGCCGCCGCCCACATGGAATCGCTCGCTTCTACAGATGATTCGCCCGGACTCAACCACGCCGGAAGCCAAGACCCTCGAGAAGCGACGGCCCGTTGTCAATCCTTTCCGATCGGTACCAATTCTTGGGGATAGAGAGAGCTGCGTCATTATCATGTACGGCGGTCTTTTGTACGCTGGCTAAGCATCTGTATCGAGCGTCTTATCTTCACAGCTCTACGCCCGGTATGGTTTTAATGAGGTTCAGATCGGGCTTTGCTATATACCTGTTGGAATTGGTAGCCTGTCCTCCCGGTGGACCACAGCATTATTAATTGATTGGAATTTCAAACGTGAGGCAAGAAAGCAAGGTGGTTCAATGTACCTCGAGCCTTGAGAACTGTCTTGTTGGTAACGTTAGGCTAAGAATATTACAGGTCTTCCTATTGTGAAGAACCGGCAACAAGACATATCGAACTTCAGCATTAAACGCGCGCGCTTGGCTATGGCGTTCCCGATGATACTCGCTGGTTGCTGCTTCATCCTCGCGTATGGATGGCTAATGGAGTATGGAACCTAGCAGCAGTCCTTGTGGTGCTCTTTTAATTGCCAACGTCCTGACAGGGTGTCTCGTCGCCAATGCAGCACTACTTACAGACATCAATCGAGAAAGTGCTGCGTCCGCCGGAGCGGCAATCAATTTAGCTACGTGCCTACTTGGTGCGGGTGGTGTTGGGGCTGCCACACCCTTGATTGACGCCATCGGTATTGGACCCACCGCGACCTTGACTGCGGGTCTATGGATTGTAACGGCACCAGCTCTATGGTCGGTCTACCGACATGGGCATCGCTGGAGAATTGCCAAAGCAGCGAAGCGTAAGAAGAAAAAGGAAAGTGCTGGGGATGAGCCAGCCGCAGACCAACCTGCTTAACTCGAGCCATCTTACCTTTCTTAGCAGATGCTCGTCATACTCCCGCAATAAAGTCGGCATCCGTGGCAACTGGACTGTGCGGGCTTTGCAACACTGGATTACCAATCATTGTATTGATATTCTAGGACAGTGAGGTCGAGGACATATTAGAGATACACTTTCGATTCTTCACGCCGTCAACTACCAAAATTATTAAGCGCTTGTACAGGGCAGGAGGAATTCACTCCCAACCATCGAGGGTTCCTGGGGTACGTTAAAAAAAGCACAATATATCTCGATTCTGATAGCGAAAGTTGTCCTGCAAGAGAGTTCACATCCTTTGAGAGAATCACCTAGACGGGTGCATGACGCTGCGGGTGTTCCGGTACAAAAAAGAACTCTCACGATACCTATAACGCATCCAAAAAACATGTGATGAGGGCTCGGTCATGATTTGTACTTCTGCATGGGCCGCCACATCTTGATCGGGTTACCTGTTGCACTGTGTTAGCGTTATTGCCGAAGCTCTCGTGGCGTTATCCGGTCGCAGAAAATCAGAAGGCCACGCACCCATTGCTTCACGCCAGTGAGCCATAACACCCCCAACTCTCGAGACCATCATGAGCGCAGGAATAATGTCCTTGTGGATTCCCCTCAATATTGTTAGCGCCAACACACTATTCAATTTTCCGCGGCACGATATTGACCACTCACAGAGCCGTATAGATGAAGCAGCTGTAGAAGTCGGCGTTGAGTTTGAGCTCCCGTTCAACGAAATACGGGTCCGTGTTGGCTTGCTTGTCGATTTCCATCGCCACCTGCAGCAACGGGTCCGCCGCAATGGCCTCCTTGTGCTCCTCCATGAGCTCCTCAATCCGCGTCGCGCGCGGGTCTTTAGTCTTGTAGACCCGATGTCCGTAGCCGAACAATCGGAACTTTCTCGCTTTGACGGCCTCGATATAGGCCGGGACATTGTCAACAGTGCCGAGCATTTCTAGGCCCTCATAGCACAGCTCGATCGCTCCGACATGGAGTGGTCCGGCCCCGGCTACCATCATGGCGAGGACGCAGGACAGAGGGTCCGTGAGCGTCGAGGCAGTGTGAAGACTTGCAGCTGTGGAGCACGACAGTTCGTGATCTGCATAGAGGATCCACAAGCGATCCATCGTTCGCGAGATTTTCTTGTCCAGATCATCGATCCCGATCATGAGCAGAAAGTTCTCTACGAGCGAGAAACCCTGCTTGGGCTGGGTGAATTCTATATTCCTCTTGTGACAGTAGGCCACCGCGGTGGCGGTGGCGGTGTATGCGATGGTCCTGATCAGGGCGGCGTCGGTGTGGGCCATGTTGTTATGATACGTCAGAACGGGATTGTGCCGAGACGTGATCATCTCAGTATCGGTGCCAACATATGCAGCGAGTCCGGTGAGAAGGATCGAGTACATGTCGGTTTCGCGGCTGGCCCATGGTTAGATATGCTTCCGCTCGAGGTAAGGTATGCTTGCATACGGCAAGGCTTGGATAGCATCGACAACAGCCCGTGGCGGACTGGCCGCAGCAGCCATCGAGTATTCGAAGCGCTCCTTTTCCTCATTTGTGGGAAGATGTCCCCAGATCAGAAGATACATGGTGGTATCGAAGTCGTAATGACGAAACAAATCCTCTATCCGCATGCCACGGAACCAGAGCTCGCCTTTCTCTCCATCGCTACGAGCAGGAGAAGTCATCATCATGCTCATGTCCAACAAATCAATTTCGGGCACAACTCACATGAGCGTGATTGCCGACTCTTTACAAGCGGTGTGCTGGAAACCAGGATCCAAGACAGCGAGCTTCCGCACTCTCTCAGCTCCCGATTCCTTGCTTTGTCGGACTTCTGGAGCGGAGATGACGCTCAAGTCTGAAGCTCGTACAAAGTTGTCGGAGATTGGAATCTTGTATGTCTTCCACGTACGAGAATCGAGAACGTGCAGGTAGTCACCGATAATTTCGGTTGCGACACCATTTTCTTCATTGGCTTGGGTCTTGACGCCGTTCATCTTCAGGTTCGTCGCGGCTCCACTGACGGCTATGGGAATTGGCTGTACAACGTACAGCCAAATCCTTGGCGGCGCTGCGTGTCACATTAGTACTAAGTACTAGTAACCTGCTGTTGACCTTCTGAGAGGGCTAATTGGCCGCGTTTAATATGCGTAATCCCTGCGTTTCTGCTGCTTCTAATTGGTCAATTTCCGACGCAATTTCGCTTCTAATTTCGCTGTACGGTACAGCCAATTGTACATAGATCTACGCTCTCTACCCCCGTAGCTATCAATCAACTTGCTTTTCTACACACTCTGCACAGCAGGTTGACACCTGCCCACGTGCCACTCCGCGGTATCGTAGCCTCTCCTCCTGAGATAGATTCTGCAGGTATATAGAATTCCATCCATCCACTTCATCATCTTGGTGTAATCTTGAGCTTGTTGTTACTTCCCAAATAAGTACTGAGATAGATATCCTTGGTGTTGTTATTCTTGCTATCCACCACTCTGTCATAAAATGACGGTATTTATCATTGGCTCAAATATCCGCCACAGACGCGAGGTACGCTGCAGGCGCAACTTAAAGAGGCTTAAGGTTGAGATGGTACTTTTTCATTGGTAGGTAGTCACGTGAGATAACTTGGCTGCGGATATTTGAGCCAATGATAAATACCGTCATTTTATGACTGAGTGGTGGATAGCTATAGACTGCCCATCCTGATTGGCCAGAGCACCTTAAACCTTAGCTCGAGAGGCGTATGCGCTCCCTCCCCTCCTCCTGCTTGTTGCCCTCTATCGCCGGTGAGGTAGCGCTAATACAGGGTGTAGGGCAGGGCAAAAGCAAGGGCAAGGGCAGAGGCAAGGGCAGAGAGGCCAGAGCATAAAGCGATTTCTGTAACGCTACCATTTCTATATCTATTTCCTAATAGGGAAGTCACAACAACGTCGATAGAATATGTCAATGTCTGTGTAGAATCTTCATGTTACTTATGGTCAAGGTGGGTGGATTTGCTATCAATTTGTATGACAAAGGACTCGCTAAGATCCAAACGCCGAATATACCGTTGCCGAATATACCGTTCCGAACGCATTTCGCGGCACCTCTAGAGTCCCTCCTAGATACGATGATATCTCTCGTTCACGAGCTAGAGACAAAATTTGATAAATTGCAAGCAGCGAATAACTCGTCAATAAAGACTTTCTATGTAGCTACTTCGTTTCAGAAGAAGACCAGCGATCGAACCTCAATTGATCGCCGGTTAGGAGCATCATCGGGGGTGCTGTTATCCCAGAAAGCCGAGTGAGGCATCGCCAATTTCGGGTCCGAGTCGAAAGAGCAGAACACTAAGCATTCCTAAACAGAAGGTTGTAAGCCATGCATGTCTTAGGATGGATCATACAACTTTCACACTCACCGCCGGCCTAAGGCTACTGACGTAGTGGTAGTCATATCGATCGTCATGTTTCACTACGCAAACGTAGGGCTTTGCTCCTCTGTCTGCGACAAGGGGATCATTCTTAGAGAAGATATGGCCCACGTGGGTGTCGTAGTCCCAGTTAGGGATACGGTCATGATTGATGAAGCACAAAGGCCATTTCGTAGCTGGGTTACCTAGACGCGATAGTTTATAAGCTATCCACCTCTCGATATGGAGTCACTGCCTTGTTCTACTTACCGATTGGCCGCCACGTGTTCACCTGAGCCCAGTGCTTGTACTTAGACAGTAACTCATCGGCTTTCTCCGCACCAACGGTCTCCTTCAAAAGCATTATAGCAGTTGGGGTATCTCTATCGAGATGTGCAACAGGCCTGGGGGCATATCTGGCCTCGACTTCACCCAACTTCTCGTTCGTGCTTTGTTTCGTGTTCCCCTTCTGCTCACGAAGCCGAAAGGAGGTAGGAATCACCAGCCCCACGCCACCCGTAATTTTTTCAATGATCTTGGCGCATTCTGGGAAGTAAACATCCTCAATGTGCTTCTTGCCCTCAGGGGTTTGGCTGTTGAGGAATTCTTCTGTTGTCACACTCGTGGGAATGTCGGTTAATTGGTAGCCATTTTTCAACAGGGTAGGCTGGCCACACGTCAGCATGAAATTGAATGGAGAGGGTTTTATATTCGTACTTACCTGAGGACTGATATGTCTAATATCATGCGCAACAATGTCGACTTCTTTCGGACGATTCATATTAGTGTTTCCAGTCGCATAGTCTGCAGTTCAGGACTAGATTAGCGATGCGTATCTAATGGTAGCTTATGACTTTTTAAGTTCACCAATATATCCGGCCTCGCCATCCTTAGTCCCATTCCACAAACCGAGAGTACCTGTCGTAGTTGGTGGTAGCACAACTGCGGCCATCATAGAAGACGCGGCAGCGTATCAAATAGTGCTGAAGTGGATAAGTATGAATCCTGTGAACACGGTGTGTTTGTCAACGGGATAGTGTTGTGTGGAAATGAACTAGGTGGACTATATAGATGGCGAATAAGCAGCACCAAAGACGGCCGGGTTGTAGACATATTAGAGAGATGATTTCTTCTCTAATATAAACTCACTATTAAGCTTTATTATTCAGTTGAAATAAAGGTGAGTGTAACAGGCAAAGGCTATCACGTCTTTATAGTTGAGAGGAACTTCATGACTACTAGTGATGCTGCTGACAAGGTGCAAGTGTAGTGCATTAAAGGGAGCAGTTTCTGACGGTGGGGAAACCAGGGGCCTAGGAAAGGGAAAGGGTGGAGTACTACGTAAAATGGTTTTTGAAGGTGAAGTTAGTAAAATTAGACTAGGTAACCAGAAAGAAGCGGTAGCACGTCACATGACACGTGGGGCAACAGACGCCAAAAGCGGCGTTAAAGTCTGCCTAAAATAGCGTCCTATGTCCCAGAACCTAGAGTTGTAGCGTAGTGAGAAATTCTATGCTTAGGCGGGCTCCGTGCTGCCTCATAAGCTCACGCACATCTCTTACAGTGATCTCACTGTAAAGCAGGCGGATTCTGTGTACCACGCTGATACATTATGATCGGCAAGCGCAAACGGGAGACCAGAGGAATTGCCAGATCAGTAGAAGCTCACTCCCTGGTTATAGCTCAGACCCGCGACCGGGACATCTTCCGGCGGTGTTTTGAGAGTCGATTCGAGCCTCTACAAGAAGTTTGTACACAGATAGACGGATCGCTAAAGACGTCTGACGATCTGGGGACTTCGTCTGATGCTGCGAGCCTATCTGACTGGGATGGTCTTTCTGAGGGGGACTCGACTCCTGGAATTGAGATCATCGAGCATGGGAAGAGGGAGCCCCCAACGTCAGCTAACGATGGACAGCATGCAAAGAAATTCATGGTGAGTCTAAAGGCGGATCAGAACCGACCAATGCTGATATCCTTGTAAGAGTTCGAAGCCGCCACTGTTGGGTGCCTCAGCAAAAATAAATGGCAAAAGGCAAGATCAACCCTCAGCAGAAGAGACTGCAGCGGAAGCCATTAACCTCAAGCATGACATTGAGCTGCAACGGCTCTTGAAAGAATCACATTTCCTCAACAGATCGTTGGGCTCGAACCTTACCCCCAGTAGCCGGCATAAGGCCATCGACGTGCGAATGCAATCACTAGGCGCCAAATCTTCTTTGTTCAAGCAGGCAAAAATGCCTCTATCTCATCATAAAGGTATCATAGCTCGAAACAACCAAAGAAAAGCCTCCCGTCGAACCGAAGCGAAAGAAAACGGCATCGTCTTAGAAAAAGACAATAAAGAGAGAGACGCTAAGAATGTGAGGCGAGAGCGTGGAGTGGGAGCACCTACTGTAGGGAAGTTCAAAGACGGGACGTTGAAGTTGAGCAGACAGGACATCAGTGCCATCCAAGGGACCCAAAGTAGTCGCTACGTGGCTCGAAGGAACGCAAGGTGATTGCATCGCACAGGCTAGCATGCAATGTGGATCACTGTGCTTCTCTCTATACCAGAACCCCAACGTCAGAGATTCACTCCTATTCTTTGATCCTTGGCCGGATACTCGAGCACAGCGGTAGACCTGAAATCTCAGATGTACCACACCATGGCTCTGGTCTCCACCTTTCTACCACATTCTACTACTAATGTCCTTGTGCCACTGTCGACATAGGAAAAACCATCTCAGGTGGAAGAGTGGCTAATGCAGCCAAAAATAGGTCTCTTGGCCTCTACGACAATAATTAAACCACTGGGGAAGCTGCTTGACTCCCTTGCTCTAATCGAAACGATCACGTTGAGGGCACATTGGTACTCTTCACTCCCAGTTCGGCGTCGACAAATCGACTGCAAGTGCAGAAGAACTAGTAACCGGAGATGACCGCACGTGGAAGGCTAAGTTCTCGTCCGCAATGGTGTGCATGATATGATCCGAACTTCACTTGTCAAGGGTAAGCATTTGCTAAGCAGGCTCAATTTTGACCGTGGCGCACCCGTCAATTCAAAGGTGGTCGAAGAGAGTAGTGACTAGGGCAAAGGAAGTTTGCAAGCTGGCGAAAGGTCCGGCCTAAGCAACTATGCCTCTACGTGAGTATGCGGTCGAGCGCGAATCCAGACTAGTTGGAATCATCCGAGGTGCGACTCGGTACCGAATCGGACAGTTGACGCAAGGACCAAATCTCGATCGAACACCTTGGTGGAAGCTGGATGACCTTCTAGATCTACATGAATTTTCGGTTTTGGTTCTAGGGCCATCCACAGCAAGTATGAAAAAACTGTTTCTTCAACATTTCATACTTCCTGGCTCCATGTTCAATTGGGGAGAACGTCCATAGAGGCGAACGTGGTCTGTGCTGCGACTCGTTCTAATCAAACCATACGTAACATTTTTGCCCTGATGGGATTGGCTCGCCGTTCGAATGGGCGTATGTTGGCGGGAGCAGGGTGCAAAGATGAGCCAGTTGTTGGTGCCGATGGCAGTACTAGGTGAAACAGAGGCGCGAGCTAATGGCGTGCTTCAGAAATCAGGGCACAGGCAAAACGAATTCTAGCTAAGAGTCTAACGTGAATGGTGGAGTTCTAGCCCACTGTCCCAGCTTCATTAGCCTCTCAGACGCGCCAGTTTTAGAAATCCCTCCGCCATTTCCCCAGCACCCGCAACGCCGCTAGGAGGTGGATACCAAGGGTACCAGGCACTGAATTCCGAATACATGACCCATTCACCCGCCCAGCAGATCATCGTTCTAGCGCTTGCATGATGAATGGCTGGGAAGCAACTAGAGCTCCTAATGCATCACATTCTTGCGCCGCTGATCTCACAACGCTCAGCGCTTTAGCCATCATATTCGTGCCAGGGTAAAGGATCTAGGAAGCTCTCACAAGAAGCGCTCAGTCACTGCTCCAATTTTGGGCTGACCATGTTAGGTGAGCTTGGTGCATGTTCGAAGGCCCTCACTCCATGATCTAGGACCTATCATATACCGCCATTCCTGGTCTCTACATGAGCGAATATGCGTTGTCCTTTAGAGTACATAATATGCTCCGGTGCCTGCATTTTGCCTTTCACTATCCTTTCCTCTTACGTAGTAGAGGATGGTTGAACAGACGTCTTAACTTAGCTGGAATGCACGTTCTGCAACCATGCTCTACCTCTTGTCACTTATGCTCGTCTGATCAGCGACTTGGTCGCTAGAGCATTATTATTGTTGTGCTGGTGCACGGTGCCTCAGACCAGAATTACAGTCTAGCCGTTGGCCACCCGGCAAACAATTTGCCCGGCGGCTGTTTCTGATCGAATAGATCTGAAGCAAGTGGACTAGCCGCCATGACAGCAGCATTTTTGGTCATCTCATGGCCATTCGTTACTATCTTGGGCGCGAAAAAGTATGACGCCGCCAAAGGACATGATAAAGTATTGGAATGGACGGTTGTGAGATGTTGTGGTGGTTGTTGTCCAACTGATTCAGCATGGGTAGGACAGAGACTTTCAGCGCCCTGGAAAGTGCCCAGGGGGGTGACAAGCTGAGTTATTAATCACGTCGACGCTGGAAGGATAATGCACGGCTTGTACGGAATATACCCGGCTGATCCAGGATCAAGCTCAGATACTAATAGACAAAGTAGAGTAGCGACTGAAAGATAGAAGACCTGGCTGCTGAAGATGTTGCACATACACAGTAGTATGCTGATGACATTAGTGTAAGAGGTAAAAGGTGAGACCTCAGCCCTGGTAAAGGTTGACCTGTAACATGGTCATTTTTGGCACCAGCACACTTAACCAGAAGGCCAGACCCAGGTGGGCTTAGACAGTCGGCTCTTGCATGGAAGCCGAGCCACTCAGATCAATTATCCACCCACCGAATTTCTCAAACAACAACCTAGGCAGCCTAAAGCTGTCTCTAACACCGTAAACGAGCCGCCCCCCGGTCGCATGTCGCAGCTTGACTGCCCCAAAATACATCTACCCACCTCATTATCCCCCCTTCCAACTCTCAAACCCTCCAAACCTTGTCTGCTCCCGAATCCTCCTCCCAACTCTTATCCATTCGCATTCGCCCTTATTCTCAAACCCACTTGTCGTTGATCGGGGTATCAACTAGGTTTTCCCTCCTTCTCTCATCTTCTCACACCTGTTACCTTCCCAATTTCATCATCGCCTCTCATAATTCTCTGCGTGTGCCAGAGGAGATCTCACAGGCAGGCCTGTTAAACCTCCTCGACAACAGCAAGTGCAATCCACGTGTGATTCCTGATCGAAGCAGGTCCTTTCGACTACCTTCTCTTGCCTCGACTCTCGACTGTGACAGATGAGGATTGATCGTGTTGGTCTCGAGTCGCCTGTGTTCATCCACCAAAGCTCGCAGAACAGAGGCATACTTGAGGAAAACTAGACTGCGTATCTGCCACAACATTCAGCTAGCAAGGCATTGTTTTGTCTCTTCACCATATCCATTTCTCTATCAGGATGTATCCGAGTAATGGTGGTCCAATGGCACCACCTCAAAAGCCAGAGACATTTATGCTCTCCAACGAAGCTCAACAAAGCTTGCCACAAGATGCGCAAGTCGCTTTACAGCAGGTGGACAATCGTATGTCATGATCATTTCATGTTCTTCAATGGCAATTGTATTGCAGGTCAATTGGTACTGACGACTATCATCAGTCAAATATTTCTTGATTTCTGCCCCGGTCGATTGGACTCCTGATTCTCTCATTCGACGCTTTCTCCTCCCAACTGGTGAATATGTTTCTTGTGTCCTATGGTATGTACAGTTCTACTTAGCTATCGAGCTTATTCTGACATTGTTCAGGAACAATCTTTTTCACATCTCCGGCACTGATATCGTCCGATGCCTCTCCTTCCGCTTCCAAGCATTTGGTCGACCTGTGAAGAATTCTAAGAAATTTGAGGAAGGCATCTTCTCTGATCTCCGTAATCTCAAATCTGGTACAGACGCGTCCTTGGAAGAGCCCAAGAGTCCTTTCCTGGACTTTCTCTATAAAAACAACTGCATCCGCACTCAGAAGAAGCAAAAGGTGTTCTACTGGTATAGCGTCCCTCATGATCGTCTTTTCCTTGACGCACTGGAACGAGACTTGAAGCGCGAAAAGATGAGCCAAGAAGCTACCACGGTCGCAGTCAGCGAACCGGCACTGTCTTTCGAATTCGACTCCTCTCAATCACTTTTCGAACAATTGACCAAAGCTCAACAAGCCAACTCCTCCTCGTTCTCAGCCAACCAATCCTACTCTCAATCAACATCGCCGGTCATGCGGGCAGTCGATTCAATGCCGCCACCACAAATGATCCCTCAGTCCATGCCGCCTGTTCCCGAGGAGCAGAACCAGGGCCTGTACGGTGCCATGACAATGCAGAACAACATGAACCCTGGAATGATGAAGCGAGAGCAAGAATACTCCCAGCAACTCCAGTATGATCGAAATGGCATCCCACTGTCTAGAGCACATCAACGCCATACCTCAATGCCTACATATATGGAATATTCTCCCGCCCCGTCCTTCGTCTCCTCTCAAATGGATGATTACAGCCGCGGAATCTCTTTCGAGCCTGTCACGCCACCGCAGCATTCAATGACCCTTGGCTCTGAGCCAACTTACGTTGCGAATGAAGACACTGGTTTGTACTCGGTGCTTCCGGATATGAATACGACAAACTATAACCCGATGGCACAGCTGCCTCCTTCCAATCTTGCAGGCCCTCAATTCACTGCTGCAACAAGGCCGTTTCCTACAAACAACGTGTACTCTGTCATCGAGGGATCTCCTACGTATAAACAGCGCAGACGACGCTCTTCCATTCCCACTGCCATCATGAACGCTGTTGCTGCAAATGCCGCCGCTGCTCAGGCGAAGGTTCATGCTGCTCATCGGCCCAGCGATCTACGGAGATCCATGTCCAGCTCAGTCCTCCCTGTTGCCGAGGGGGACGAGACGCCAGAGGACTCACCCCCAGGATTGACTCATAGCTACGCCTCTACGATTGTGCAGCAAAAAGATATGCAAGAACTCTCTCGACATGGTACGCCATTGCCAAGCCTGGAAGAAAGCCCTACCCAGCTATCAATGTCGCTCATCAGCCCGCAAGATGACCTGAGCAATCTGATAAACGAAGACATGACTTGTCAGTCCTTGGACACCAGCCCTGCTCTACGGCAAGAACGGCCAGGTCCCATCCGGCGGGCCAGGAGTGCGACCATGATGGAGCTGGGCCCCTACCCACACAAATCGCACTCTTGCCCCATTCCAACCTGCGGTCGCGTGTTCAAGAGGTTAGAGCATCTGAAACGGTACGTCCACATCCGACTTTCTTGGCACGGTTTCATTCGCCCCCCCCCTGCAACTGCGCCCCCTTTTCCCTTTCCAACTGCAAGCGCTTACTAACTCGGGCGGTTAGACATGTGAGGACCCACACTCAAGAACGACCATACGTCTGCCCTTACTGCAGCAAAGCCTTCTCTAGATCTGACAACCTTGCACAGTAAGTCCACCCATAGTGGTTGTCACTTGGCAGCGTGACGCTGAGCTGATTCGTATTTTGCAGGCATCGTCGAACACACGAAGTTCAAGCGGATGGCCAACCAGCCCCCAGTTTCAGCGACGAAGATCTTGAAGCCGAGGAAAATGAATTTGGCTCTCTCGACGAATCATCACCGGAAAACCCATACTTGCCGCCAATGCTCGACATGCCTAGTATGAACAACACCTCTAGTTCGTCTGGCCTGAATCTGCACATGCAGTCAGGCATGCAGCATATGGAGCAATCAGGCATGCAGCACCTGGACTTTTCTCATGGCATGATCCAGCCACAGCTACTTCAGCAGCAAATGTGAGGAGGTCCGTGCTTGTTTCAAAACCTTCGATTCACATTTCTCGCGTCTTGATTTGCGTGAGCTATAGACTCTTTGGGAGGGAATCATATGAGCTTGACGCGCTACGGTGACGTCGCTTGATGAGCATGATATGCATGATTATGGCTCTTCCCTGCTGGTATTGTACATTATGTACTTTCTTACCATCTGGTGTTTGGGTCTCTCGTTCCTGGGCGGCATTTGTCATGTTGAGCAGTTTCCATTCCTTCTCATCTGGGCTGCTCATCTGTATATACCTATGTTTGATACTGAGATGAGATCTAGTCAGAAAAAACTCGTTCATACTATAAATCTAACCGGACAACACCGTCCGCAGTCTCTATCGTTCAACCGTTCTTAATCTGAGACCGTTTCCCATACAATACCACAGAAACTCAATGCAAGAAAACAGGGCCTAATGCAAGGGCACAAGCTCAAAAGAGAGACTACAGTACCAATGTGGACCAGCGATTCTGATTCAGCACTGGGGCTATTTTTCGAACCACTGAACAATTCTCCGCGCTGCAATCCTGCCTCAGATAGCAGCTCGCCCCCAGATATGATGTGTGACAGATCTTTGCTTAGAAAAAAAAGCCGTTGGGCTTGGAAAAAGTGGAGATCCAACAATCTACTAGCAGTAAGTGACTACTATTCTATACATTTTTTCCCCATCTTGAGACGTGTGGCCCAGCTTAGTCTGGGCATGTACATCTTGGGGCTTGCCCGTTGACAAAGATCTGTGACTGGACGAGTCTCAGAGGTAACTTAGTTAGATCCCACGACGAGTCACATGGGGGGGGGGGGGGGGCGGCTCTGCCGCCGCCCAACAAGGGGTTTGGCGGGTTCATTCGCCGCGTTGCTTTGCTTGCTTGATTGCTTGCTTGCTTGCTAGATAGAGGCACTTGATGGAGGGGAGAAGCGGGTGGCGCTATATCTCTGGCCTGGCCCCCAACTCGATGTTGCTTCTCGATCAGGACATGTTGCCACGGAAGGAAGGCAACCGCTGACCTGGACAGTCTCACCCAGCTTTCACAACTACTACGACACTCGTCTTTCTTGGCCGTGTCCGTCAAGCTGGCGCGCCTTGACTGTTGTCTCACCCACCCCATGCCCACCACTTCTGTGTGCACTGTTCTAGGCCCATTCAACTGATTGGGGTGTGTGACTGGTTTCCTTTTCGCCATGGGTGCCATGATTACCCCCATCCCAACAGGTTGGAGCGTCGGCGGGCGGGCTCAACGCTACATACACTAAAGGAACTCGCCTTGACACATGCTCTCCACGATGCCATGTTTTTCTGTCCTAGTCTTCCTGCGCAGCCTGGCTTGCCTTCCGTCCCCATCAAGCCTCTTCCCAGGGAGCCTATCTTCATCCGGCAAAGGTTGATGGAGATGAATCACGAACCCTTGCTCCCACTCACGATGGACGATGTGAGCCTAAGGGCCCTTCGTCTTCTGCCTTCAATGCCATCACGCAGGATGTTCTGTGTGTCGATGACCCGGACGGGTTTGCTATCGAATCCTCGACAGCTGCGCAAGGATACACCGTCTTCCGTCCTGCGTGGGCAGACTCAGACGTCCATGGTGGTTGTGTCGAACAATGCATGTCGCTTCCTATTCAATATCTCTCTCACGTACGAGCCTGAGAAAACTATCTGTAAATACCTGCCATGAGATACGTCAGCTCAGCGCCCTTGGTTTGTGCAAGACTTCTTTTTGTTTCCTCTCCTGGTCAGTTTTGGTTTGTCTACTTGTCGTCACAAACTATACCAAACACAGACTCGTCCTCCAATCCCAAACTAACCAAGTCAGCACTTGTGTTTTGTTATACTTCTATCTCTGTCCAAACTGCATCTTTCTGACCTTCTTCTCTCTCAATCTCCGTCTCACTTCTACAAGCAACCGGTCCTGCTCTCCTTGTCCCTCCGCACTATTCATTCCAACTCCACTTCAGTCATTTTATAGGTTCAGACCCAGCACCGCGAGAACTAGAGCGACAATTTGCGGACATCAGCTCGCCAACCAGCCTCGAATCATTTACCTACAAACCGCTATCCTTGGGGTAACAAAACATTTCATCAACAGTTTTCGTAAGCACAAAGGCTATCGAAGAACCAGGAACTTGCTTGCATTACTTTGCTCTCGATACCCGAGCTGCGTAATGCCATCTCACGATGTCTGAGAAGCTTCATGCTAGGTATTAGATGCGACATTCTTGATCTTGGAGGCATCCAGAATAAATGTCTCAAAACTTGCTTTTGTATTGTCGTATGGCCGTCCATCGTTCAATCATCATCACTTTCGCTGTCTCCACCTGTGTCCTGGGCATTCTCTAGCATCTTGCTCATGTAAGGCCCGTCCAGCCAGTATCCTAGCCTTTCATAATAGCCTCTGACACCAACTCCACTGATGACAGCTATCTTCGTGCTGCCATGTTCGTCCCGCGCAATTCTTTCTGCTTCCTTCATCAGAAGCCCGCCGTATCCTTGATGCTGGAATTTCGCCTTATCCCTACCGTGCACAGGTATTGCCATGCCATAAACATGCAGCTCGCGAACCAGGCTGGAAGGCTGTGATATGAGCTCGGCTCGAAATGTAGTAGCCGTGCTACATTTCCGTAAACGAAGCAAAGCGATCAATATGTCCTGCTTCGGGTCTTCATATGCCAGGAAGGTCTCCCATCCTCCATTGGCCACATAGTCTCTCCTTACTAATTCAACTTGCGAAGGTCGAATCTTGTTCTTGACCTCATTGACTCCGACCTCTCTCGTCCTCACGTCTCGACAAGAGGTCCCAAAATCTTTCATTCTTGCAAGGGCTAGCTCGCGCAAATTGCCGTTCTCAACGCCTGAGGTCACAAGGGGCATCGGAATGTCACGCTGTACACGATAGATCCGAGTCCACGGCGGTACGAGGGCAAGAATACGAGCCACGATATCAATGAGTGCATTCGGCGTGTAATTCTTATACCTTCCTGTCCGCCATAATTCGTAGAGTCCTGTCCCACGAATGACTAGAGTAGGATAGATTTTCAACCCGTCAGTCCTAAATGCAGGGTTCTCGAAATACTCCTGAAATTGGTATAGGTCGCGTTCCATGCCAACATTGGGAAGATCTGGCATCATATGGGATACAACTTTGAAGCCAGCATCTTTAGCAAGACAGAATGTGTGAGCCACAGCTGCAACCGTATGGCCTCTGTTGGTGTCACGAGCGACGTCCTCGTACAGAGACTGGACTCCGATCTCTAGCCGAGTGCAGCCGTAACGGAGCATAGATGACAGATGCGTATCCAGGCAATAGTCAGGACGAGTTTCGATAGTGATACCTACACATTTCATCGTTGATTGTGAGGCGGCCAGGACAGCTTCATCGACATTTGTGGTATTTGGATAGCCTGAAAGAGCGTTGTGAAGCTGCGAGATGAAGTTGTCTCGATAATCCTGTGGTAGAGACATGAAAGTGCCACCCATGATGATATATTCAATCTTATCCACAGAGTGACCAAGCGATTTTAATTGATCAACTCGGCCTCGAGCCTGTTCGAAAGGATCATATCGAGCGCGAATGGCACGCATAGAGGTAGGCTCGTATCCAGTGTAAGATTGAGTGCTGTACTCGAAGTCGGAATCCGGTCCACCAGGGCAGTAGACACAAATGTTGCCGGTGAAAGCGATGTGCGGACAGCGATGAGGCTTGCACATCACGGCAACGACCGCGATGCCTGAAGAGGTGCGGATTGGCTTCGCGATCAGCTTTGGCAGGATGTATTTCTTGTAGTGCTCCGGCACAGCAGAGATGATGGCTGTAAGAGGTGGCTGATTGCTAAGACGATGCTTCTTTGCCATCTGTCCTCGGAGCTTGTTGAGGTTGATGTCTTTCTTCGGAATTGATTCATCATATTGTGCGTCATGCTCTTGGATGAGGGTGCTCACAATTTCAGCACATGCACTCATGTATCTCTCATTCTCCGGAGCCAACTTCTCATTTTTACCAATCTTGACTCTCATCTGAGGAGGTACTGTCATCGTTTGAGTTGCCATCTCGGTTTGACCGTGATGGGGAATAGGGGGATTTGTGATAAGCACACAGCAGGAAAGATTGCCAAAACTATGTTAGTGCCCCCCATTGGAGTTCCATTTGTTCACATAAGGTAGCCGCTCGATTAGAGGTGCATAGAATGCATAGGAGTTGCAATTCTGGTCGGTTGAGTGCAAATCGTGCATGAGATAAAATGTCCAAGCGGAATTGTAAGAGATGATGTGGGGTGAGTCTGTAAGACAGAATTCATGAGACAGACTTCATCTAGATCATGCGGAGTACAGTCATTTTATTTCTGTTACAGTATAGTGTTTCGGGAGCTAGCTGTCGGTACGCGGTCGGTTGCGGTAGCCATTCAAGCTTCGACAGCTCACCCCATGAAATCTTGAATAGCTAATGACACACTCTCGCCTTGCTTACCTTCTTCCGCAGCCTTAAAATCTTGCAGCATGCAGGCATTCCGGACCTGCGCTTCTTCAGCGCTGCGGACCGCCTCAAGACGGCAAGGTTATGCTACAGCTTCGTCTCCATATGCTGCCACCGCGGAGAACCTGCGAATCAACAGCGATACAAAGTTGATATACCAGGGCTTCACTGGGAAGCAGGGAACGTGAGTGAAGCTATCATTCATGTTCAAGAGCAATACTAATCACTGCACAGGTTCCATGCTCAGCAAGCAATCGAATACGGTCCGCGCTCGTTCTTCAGAGGGAGGATTGAAAAGAAGCTGATAATGACCAGGCACAAAAGTGGTTGGAGGTACTAACCCTAAGAAAGCTGGAGAGACACATCTTGGGAAACCCGTGTTTGCCTCGGTTGCAGATGCTATCAAGGAGACTGGTGCAACTGCCTCTGCAATCTTCGTGCCGTGAGCAACTACTAGATCCTAGACTCTGCTATCTGCTGACGGCAGTATCAGTCCTCCAGTAGCTGCCAAGTCAATCGAAGAAGCTGTCGCTGCCGAAATACCTCTTGTTGTCTGCATCACCGAAGGCATCCCCCAACATGACATGGTTCGAGTCACCAACATGCTTAAGACCCAAGGAAAGACCCGGCTGGTCGGCCCCAATTGCCCTGGCATGATTGCTCCTGGACAATGCAAGATTGGTATCATGCCCGGTTTTATCCATAAGCGAGGTCGCGTGGGCATTGTGTCGAGATCAGGAACCCTTACATACGAAGCCGTCAACCAGACCACAGAAGCGGGTCTAGGACAGTCACTGGTGGTGGGCATTGGAGGTGATCCGTTCAGCGGGACCAATTTTATCGATTGCTTGAAGGTTTTTTTGGAGGATGAGGAGACCGACGGCATCATCATGATTGGAGAGATCGGAGGGAGTGCAGAAGAGGACGCTGCTGAGTTCCTGAAGAGCGAGAATAAGAAGAATAAACCGGCGGTGAGTTTCATAGCTGGCATCAGTGCGCCGCCAGGGAGAAGAATGGGTCATGCAGGCGCGATTGTGAGCGGTGGCAAGGGCGGAGCAGATTCAAAGATCAGTGCACTAGAGGCAGCAGGTGTGATCGTTGAGCGAAGTCCGGCCATGTTGGGCAAGGCGTTGAAGGAGGAGTTCATGAAGAAAGATCTCATTTAGTTCAAAGTCATGTTGCAGGGTTCACATATTTGCGGGCCCCATTACTCGCGTTTATGCTTCAGCGGCTTATTATACTTTATAGGACGAAAGCCTATATTGTTGTACAGAACAATTGCATTGAAACTGGCGTATCCGCTGGGGCGCCGGACCAGGCATCTAACATGATTGTCCAATGCGCTGGATGTGCTCGGGAACCAGCACATTGAGCTGACATGGCACGAAAAGCATGGATGCGCCAAGTCCTCGAACTCCTTCTATCATTGAGTGCTCGTATATAAACCATCTTTTGCAGACAGCATCCCTGGAAACCTGGTCAATTCAATGAAATTGTTCCCCTGCGACTGTGTCTGATGTGCAGTAGAGCTTGAAAACCGCAGAACACCAGGAAGGCCTGTTCGTATTAGAATCCTGGTCTCTCGACTGCCACCATAGCACTTACAGCGTAGACTGCGACAGCGATGAATATCGATGCTGCAACCGCTCCTCCGTCCTCCGGACTACTAGTAGAGCCCATCATCGAGTGGTGGTCGGTCTGCGGCGAGAGGTCAGTCAGAATTCGCAGTTAGGCCGATACAAGTCTTGTCTTGAGGCATTAAAAGACGTACTTTGAAGAGAGCGCCGAGAATGGAGAGGATGATGATTGCGAAGGCGGAAACGACAACACTAGGGCCAACATGTAAGCTGTGTTGTAAAGATGACTCTATGCGACAGGAACACGTACCAGCTCCATGCATTGAATGCTGATACGACGGGCTTCATGTTGACGTTCAACAAGGGAGACCCTTTGTTTATAGAGTGAGACAACAAGAGCGCAATGGGATGGAGGTTTCCAGATGGTGATGTCGAGTGGAAGGTCTCGGTTCCTGGAAGTTCGTAGGAACAGGAATGTTAAGGGACCAAGAAAGGCGCTGGGACACTCGCAGCCACTATGTAGTCGGATGATATCGATGGTCGTCTGTGTGTCGTGTCTATCTCGACCTGCAGCCGAACTACTTGGAGGTGGTCCCAAGGCGTCGTCAATATGGTAAACAGCCCTCCGGCCCTAAGCTGCCGGACAGTTAGGTAGGTACCAGTAGTAGTCACTAATAGTAGCTACTACGTAGTAGGTGGTAATTAGTGGTACCGAGTAGTGGTACTTATTACGTACGTACTACTACTTAGCAGGAGAAGGCCCTCTGAAAACTATGCTTAAATTACCATCAATGTGTGCTTAGTTTCAGTCTAAGCGTTATATGATCGTATTTACACAAAATTATGCAGCTAAACATCTGAGTTTAATAAAATTATGTTATTTCGGACGTCATTTTATGGAAATGACGCGCAAATTATAGCTAAATTATGGTCATTTGAGCCTCCTGACGATCCTTATTAATAGAATAATAAAACGTCTGCTAAATCACTAAGGACGCTCCGGACCCATACCGCAGTATTTTCGGAGCTCTTCTCCCGGTAAGTACTAGTAGTATGGCGCAGGCTGGGTCTTGGCAGGTGTATCGGCTTACTAGTACTAAGTTAGGTAAGAAGTACGTAAGTTGTGCCTGCCTCCCTGTTCTCCTTTGGGCTTCCTGCACAGTGAGAGCAGCAACATCCGTCATGATGCAGCCATCCTGCTTCGTATCCTCAAGCATGATCCTTCACACCTTGTAGAACAGTCCTCAGCTCTCAGCTATAGAGATCTACATCTAGTCGCTCCTTATTCATATTATCATTCATCTTTTCCACATCCAAGAGAAAAGCCGCTGGTTCGGTCGGATTCGAAAAGGACACATGAGAGCCTACTCTTCAGTGTCGTACCTGCTGGACTTGGGCGCATTGAGACCGAAAGAGAGTTGGCATTGCTTGTGCTTTGTTCCTGTGTCGAGCCCTGCTCGAACTGAGGCATCAACTTGAAATAACTTTGGCCTCGTGAAGCAAGCCGTGGTCGTCTGGTGATCGGACCAGCCTTAATCACAAGGTAGCACCACCCTCACCAAACCTCGTGGTCGACTTTTGTAGCAGAGCCTGTATGCCTATTCAGTCCTCTTGGACTTTGCGTCCTTGATTCCTGGGATTTAAAGGCTTCTATACGCTGTGTACCTGTCCTGGCGTAAAGGTGGTTTCAACTCTGCAGTACGGCGTTCAACTTTGCACTGCTTCTCGTCTCGGCATCAGCGATCGAGTCAACATAAACTGTGATGATCGGGTCAAGGCTTTCAAACGACACTACCAACGAACAGTCACCTTTGGTTTCTCCTGCGAGGCAGCTTGTTGACAATGATGTGGAAGCTACACAGCCTCTCAATGGAGTACTCGACTGGGAAGACGAGACGACCACCGAATCCAAGAGTTCCTGGTATCTTTTCCTCCTCACCTTAAGTATTGGAGGCTTGCAAATTGTTTGGTCGGTGGAGCTCTCACATGGATCGCCGTACCTGCTATCCTTGGGCATGACCAAGGCTCTTCTTGCATTTGTCTGGATTGCAGGCCCTTTGTCAGGTGCTCTTGTTCAGCCCTATGTCGGCATTCGCAGTGACAATTGTCGCATCTCTTGGGGCAAGAGGAAGCCTTTCATGATTGCTGGTGGGCTTGCAACCATCATTTCTCTTCTGCTCCTTGCCTGGATCCGAGAGATCGTGGGCGGATTCTTGGGACTCTTTGGTGTTGCAAGGAATTCTCCGGGAGCCACGGGCACGATTATATTCTTTGCGACCATCTCAATGTACGTTCTCGACTTCTCCATCAACACAGTCCAAGCCGGCATCAGAGCGTTCATCGTTGACAACGCGCCGGCCCACCAACAGGAATCTGCCAATGCTTGGGCCTCAAGGATTGTTGGCATAGGCAACGTGCTGGGATATGTCTTCGGTTACATCAACCTGCCTCGCTATTTTCCTTTCTTTGGACACACTCAGTTCAAGGTCCTATGTGTGATCGCTAGTATATCCCTTGGGTCGACTCTGTTGATTAGTTGTCTTGCCATCAAGGAGCGAGATCCAAGACTTGAAGGGCCACCAGAAAACGATAATCCAGGCGTCTTAGCTTTCTTCAAGCAAGTCTTCAACAGCGTGAAGAGGTTGCCACCGCAGATCCGCAAAGTCTGCGAAGTGCAATTCTTCAGCTGGATTGGCTGGTTTCCCTTCCTTTTCTACATCACCACCTACATCGGACAAATCTACGTCAACCCATTCTTGCTGCCAGACCTGTCAGAAGACGATATTGACAGACTCTGGGAGAAGGCGACGCGAGTTGGGACACTTGCGCTCCTCATTTACGCTATCGTCTCACTACTTGCAAATGTCATCCTGCCGTTCCTGGTCGAGCCAACCTATGTTGCCAAACAGCCGGTTGATAAAGCCGAGAGCATAAGAGAACCCATATCACCAACTCTTTCTCATCGCTCAAGAACATCATCCCTGGGTGCTATTCCCTTCTCAGCATCAACGACGAACCTAGGCTCCTATCCTCCATCCAGTCCAGATGATACTCAACTCTCAACGTCTCGCACCTTCATCTCGCGCTACCTCTCCAAACTTCGAATACCTCATCTCACCCTCCGCCGAACCTGGATCCTCTCCCAACTCTTCTTCGCCATATGCATGTTCGCATCCTTCTTCATTTCCAGCCCCCTTGCCGCAATAATCATGACAGCCTTCGTCGGCATCTCATGGTCCGTCACCCTATGGGTCCCCTTCGCGCTCATCTCAGCCGAGGTAGCGCAGCAGGAAGAATCGCGACGCGAGAAGCTGCGTCAGACTCGCCGAAGAATCGGACGCCAAGCGCGACAGGAGAGAAGTATGCGAAGGACTGACATGGCAGACGGCCAAAGCACACCTTCGCTTAACGAAACAATAAATACCGATACCGACGACGACGACGTCGATGATACCAACGGCAGCGCCTCTAAATCCAACCACGCCTTCCTCCATCCCGAAGAAGCAGACCTCGACTCTCTCCCCACAGAAGATATCCTCTCGGAGGCAGAAGAGGGAGAACAACACCAAGACCAAGCCGGCATGATCCTTGGTCTTCATAATGTCGCCATCAGCACACCGCAGATCTTGGCGACGCTCATCAGTAGCGTCGTGTTCCGCGTGCTGCAGAAGGAGAGGAGTGTGCCCGGTGACACAAGCGTGGGGTGGGTGTTGAGGATTGGTGGGGTGGCGGCATTGATTGCAGCTTGGTGGGCTCGGGGGTTGGGTGAGGGAGGTAGTTAAAGGGAGGGAAGGGTGAGATAGGTTGGTCATGATACAGAATAGATTGGATATTTAAGGTTGGCTGGAACGGGGTTGGGATTCAGCGTCTTTTCTACACTGCTATACTAGGGTCTCTGCATGACTACAGCTCCTTTGATCTCTTCTACTTTTCCTCCTCCCCGTAGATCCCTCTATCTGTCTACCTCCTTCCCGAAGGCGGCCCCTTACTCACCTGAGGAAATACCAACGGCAACCTCAATTTGGCATACTGGGTCTTGACCCCTGCTTTCTCACTCGGCTTCCTTATCCCCCACGTGCTCAACTCCGTCTCCGTCCCCGTGTTCAATTTACAGCCCAGCTCGCGAAAGTATTTCCGTGCATCATGAGGGGAAAGAAGGAGATCTTGTTGGATGTCTGTCGGATCGGTGGCGAGGACATTGAGACCGTGCGTGCCGCTCGGCGGAGGGATGTGGAGCGTCAGAGCTAGGATCGTGGTGTGCAGGAGGATGAGGTCGGATTTGGTCGGGCCCTTGCCACCGGGGCAGTACTTTGTGGTCAGGGCGTTGAGCAAGGGGGTGGGGAAGCTGGGTTGGTCGGTTATCTTCCCGGTTGACCATTTCGTGATCGCAGTGATGTGTTTGTCGGGTCGGAATTTGCTGATGGCGCGGGAGAATTCGATGAGCAGGTGTATGTAGCGGAGGAGCTGGAGGGTGATGGTTTGTGGGGTTTCAGGGGACGGGTGGGTGTTGGCTGCTTGGGTTATGTATGCGACGCGTTCGGCGACGAAGCGGGATGAGCAGCTGACTCTTTTGCCTTCTGAGATGAGCTTGCGCCATTCGGAGATGGGCATTGCTGCAAGGGTGGAATTGTAGGGAGACGGGAAGACGAGATTCGAGAGTGGATAAGCTTGAGATACATCGGTTGCGGTCAGATCTGGTTTTGGCAAGGGTTTGCCGGCTTGGATTGCAGCTGCTGCGTCGATTGTTCTTCCGTCAGATGTCGTGGGCAGAGCTTCTGGTTCGGGCATGGAAGAGAGTAATGCCTCTGAGAGAGGATTTACAGCATTTGGATCTGCATCCCGGGAGTAGAGGACATTCTCCGCTCGAGATTGCACCAGTTTCTTTGATTTTTTGGTGCCAAAGGTGTGCGTCAAGACGCTTCTGGAGGAATAACTCGAGGTTGGCTCGACGGGTGCTTCGTCTTCTTCTACGGCCCCAGCTTGCCGGATTGTCCTCCTTACTGTCATCTTCTTCGCCTCCGTAATATCAAGCTGGCCCCGAATAGGGTCAAAGACTGCGACATAGTGCTTCAGGTGGTTGTCGGCAAATGTACCGCCTTCGGTAGCTGTGAAGTCGATCGTGGGATGATTGGAGGAATGAAGGAGTAGCTCTGATACGTCTTGAGTTTTTCTTTCGTAAGGCTTGAACTCAAGGTCTGTAGATAACGATGTGCCTGGAGAACTTGCTTGGACCTGGTCAGTTCATGTCAAGCAGGCGCTATTGACGCAGAGAACGCAATACCAATAATACATCTCCCGAGATCAGTGTTTTCGTGGTATCTGACTCTGATCTTTGGTTTTGTTGCAGCGAGGGGTGGACTCCTTCGCTTCGGTTGACTATTGAGGTCCGCCTGCGCCTTGCGCTTCTTTTCAGACATTACTTACAACGTCACTGTCAAGAAGAATTCATCGAAGAATTATCGTCTTTAAGCATGGGACGACAAAATTGACGAAATTGGAGAAGCTTTGTGGAGAAAGCTATTTGGAGAAACATGTTCTCCACAAGACGGATGTCTGGCTTGCTACTTACCAAATTGCAGGCCTAACCCTGCATCAATATAGCCAGAAGAGCGGTCATGACTTTTGGATGGACGTTTTCATTAAGTATTGGTCTTGCTTATCAGTACTTGGGATATATATTTCCATCGTGGTCTTGAACAGCAAATATTCATAGGTATACTGCATACAATAGCAGGGAGAGTGAAGCACAAAAGGTACTGAGCATGATTGAGGCAGTCATTGAATATTTTTCTTGCAAATCTTGTGCATTGTGACTGTCAACTGGTGCTTTGGCCGAAGGGCTTAACTCTTTGAGAAGTAAAGCAATGCTATGGAAGCACAGTGACGCTCAAGTAACTCTTCCGAATCCTCCACGGACTTGCTTTCCAGCTCCCACTCCAAATTGATAGCTAGACGAGCTCCAGCCCTTAGCTAATTCCCGTTTTGCCTGGGCACCACATTATCCGCTTACTGATTCCTGGTAAAAAAACAGCTGGTGATGATTCGACCGAGCAAGAATTCATCGTTATCAAACGTGAAATGGTTGAGGTAGTGACTCTGGGTCGTAGAAATGGTAATGCGATGACAAGTGGTGACTTAATGGAGTGGAAAGCCGAGATGGAGGTGTCGACGAGTTTACTTGCTGTTAAGGGAAAATGGGTCAGCGTCTATTGCCTCATGCTTCAAACGTAAAAGACTCACGATCTAGCTCGAGTCTTTCTCCTCTTACGCTTGAGACGGCGAACGCGCTTCTTCCTCCACTTTGCTCTCATCTTCGATCAGCTAGAAGTGTTGCGGAGGGTCAGTATTCTTGCGATGTGCAACGGGTAGTGGTAGCAATCATGAGTCTTTGGGCATTGCAGTGACTTACTTGATTTGAAAGACGAATAGCGTTGGTGTGATAACTTGAAGTTCCAAGGCCAGGGTAACAAGAAGCTGGAGCTGTAATTGTGGGGAGACCCCATCCGATGCTAGGGCTCTACAGTCACGTGTATCAAACAACCATGGCTTGGCATCCGACCCCTTTCTACACGTGTTGGGTGCTTCCTTCCCCCAAATGCAAACTACTACTCCGTACTTATTAGAACAAAACGTCATTACACGCACCTGCCAGGTCATATTGAAGATGAAGAAGGTGAAAGGAACACTAATATTTCATTACATAAGTCCTAGGTCGGCCTTGTTGACTCGGCTCGATGGTTATCTCAATTCTCCTTTTCCTTGACAATCTGTACCATGTTGCTTTGCATGTATCTGTCTCATTATACTTCCTTCTTCTTCTTCTCGCTCCCCTCTCATTTGTTATACGTGGGTGGTATTTCTCATTGTCTTCATTACCTGGATGGCTTCGTTTGCTCCGTTCTGGAGTCAGCCTTCTTCACAACCTTCCCAGTTACGGCTTGTCGGTACGCTGCATGAAAAAGATAGTCTAGGGTGCTCAACCTCAAGTATGGAAAGTTACGGTTGTGTAGGCGAAGAGGTTTGACAGAAATCTGAAGTCCAGAAAGTCTATGCCCACCAAGAGATCGTCATCGGTCGTGACTCAAATAGATGGTGGCTCCTGAGATCACAACCATCGACTGCTAGCTAATCCATGTCAGTCAGCACGTCGTCCGCGACGCCGTTGTTTCAAACAAGCACCTTCGAATCTACACGATCATCTTTGATGAGGATCATTCAGATGGCATTGCGCCGCTGGTATACGCCGAGGACTTGTCCAGGAATGGTACCTATTGGAACGGTTCACTCATCGGCAAAGGGAATGGTGGTGTACTGCTAAGTGATGGTGACACGTTGAGAGTCTCTCCTCGCATCTACTACCAATTTCGGCAAAGCACAAGACAAGATGCAGAGCGACAGTTTGATCTCACACAGGAATGCGAAATGAAGGTTGGAGAAGACGGCCGGGATTTTACTTTTGATGCTAACGTGACACAGCATTTTGAAAAAGAGTACAATGTGTCCGATCGGAAATTGGGCTCTGGAGCTTGTGGTGCAGTCTTCATGGCTATCGAGCAATCAAGGCGTACTCAACTTGCATGCAAGATTGTGGATCTACGCAGATTGGGCGTTGCGCCTCGAACACAGACTAGCAGATGTGAGACCGCAGCCGCTACAGAAGAGGTTGACAGTCGAGCGCAAATGGCTAAAATCAAGCTTTGGGCTGAAAGAAAGCAAAATGAATACCGCCTCGAACAGCAGCTAAATGCGTACTATCGCGAGGCCAGTATCCTAGCGACTTTGAGTCACGTAAGTAGAACGAGGGACATGGTTGTCTAATGCCACGCTTACATGCACCACAGCCAAACATCATCGGCATCGAAAAGGTTTACATCACAGATAACTCCATGTAAGTGCTTGAAGTACGTTTGGATCAGACAGCTAACTTTGCCAGCTACATCTTTCAGGACCTTATCACTGGTGGCGATTTGTTCTCATTCCTGGAGCGCAAGAACGGAAAGCTTTCAGAAGTCGAAGCGGCTGTGATCGTCCGACAAATCGTGATCGCTCTCGAATATCTCCATGACCAGAACATCGTCCATAGAGACCTCAAACCCGAGAACATCCTAATGACATCTTTGGCAAACGGGTGTCGGGTGGTGCTGACCGATTTTGGGCACTCGAAGAAGGTCGAAAATGATCGCACACGCATGACTACGATGGCTGGAACTGAACAGTACATCGCTCCGTTAGTATTGCTTGGTTCTCCTCTGCCCATGGCTAATGCCATTATAGTGAAATTTCTGGACTTGGCAGGCACTTCAACGGCAAGAACGGTTACACCAAAGCTATCGATATGTGGTCCTTGGGTTGTGTCACTGTTGTGCTGCTAACAGGAGGTTCGCCATTCATAAATCCAAAAACCAACCAATACTGTCAACAGCTGGCACAGGAGTGTAGCCTACAACAACTGGAATGTGTTGCTGAATGGCAGTTTGTTGGCAAAAGACCCAAGGATTTTGTCAGACGGCTCCTTGTTCTCGATGAAGAACAGAGAATGACCCCGAGTGATGCAAAGAAGCATTGCTGGTTCTCAAACGACTCCCACAGGCTGGACTTTGAAGCGGTATACCAGCGGGCAATCCAGCACTGGAGACCACGGACACTAAAACCACCAGTCATCGATGTGATAGACGCGCACCACTCAACGGAGCAATCTATGTTGCAGAAAAGTGACCTTGGGCAGCGCATCAGCCGCAGGAAGAACCCCGTCCCTATTGATCCTCCCTACAAACCATATCCCCGCCGGATGAGCTTCTTATTGCTTTCAAAGCGAAGGCCATTTCTGTCAGGTGTGATGTCAGAAGAAGTAAGAACCGCAATACAGGAGAAATGGTCACCTGAAAAGATGCGAGGGCGGGCACCAGATCCGGAAGAGGACAAAGTACCAGCCTTAGTTCCAGATGGGTTGTCTCAATGTAGCGAAACAAGAAACGACCAGGCTTTGATGGGCAAATCTGAGGGTAGTGAAGGCTTTGCACCTACCACGAACCCAGCCATGGCCGAAGACAGGGCTCCTCATTTTAGGGACGATGCTACTGTACTGGATGAAGTAACGTTCAACCGGGAAAGTGAGGATGTGGCAGCCAAAATGTCACCAGGTTTAGCAATGCACAATGCAGGCGAAAAGCCCAAGCCCTCACTAAACGTGAAAGGGGGCCGGCAAACCCCCTTCACGTCAACACTGTCATTACAGGAAGATCCAAACTTCCTGCCCGCTAACCATACGAAACCTTTTACCTATCGAGCCGCAGAAGCTTCTGAAGGGAAAAGTGGTCTGACAAAACTTCAACGGCCTTTGCGAAGTCTGAACATGAGGTTTAAACAAACATCAAAGTCGAAAAGGCGGCGGGGATCCATCTATGACATTGACTCGGATGACGAGTCGGAGCAGGCACACTGTGATCTCAGTACGTTTCGAGTCAACCCTGAGGGCCGATCTGTCCGAACTGGCACAGTCTGGAAGAAGGCCCGAACCAGCATGCACGAGCGAGAGCATTGAGAGTCTTCCGACAGTGAGCAAAACTTGATGTTATAACGATGTATAGCAAGAGGCTAGAGAATTAGGCACATATGCTTCATGCCGAAGATGTCATACCTTCAAGAAGAGAAATTTCCAAGAGGAGGATCAATCCCAGAGATTGCAGAATATTCTTGTAACATTCTTTGTCTACACAGTTAGAGATGGCATACTTCATCCTTGTAGCACTGAGCAATATCACACAAGTACAAAGTAGATATACAAATTGATGCATCTGCCGTTCTCTGTTCACGTAGATCGTAGATCGGGCTTCTGTCACATCAATTCACGAGAACAATAAAGAACGTCTCTTCTAGAGGCTAGAAGGGGGGTTGCTCTGGGATTCGACCCCCGGAGCGCGGACCTCCAGACTTTGGCCGCCGCACCACCTGCGTATTGAGATTGGGAGGCCACATGCCAACTCTCCACGCTAGACGTAGACGTAATTGCTGACTTGAAATATGCTTCCGACAAAGAGTCAGTTATCGAACATGACTTACTCATCAACACAGGAAAGTACATTGATAACACCATGTTGAGCGGCATCCTTTTATTCAACCAGAAAGGAGAGAACCTCATCTTCCGTGCTTTTCGTAGCGATTGTCGACCACGGCTCGCAGATGTCTTCCGCATCCAGGTCATTTCCAACTCTCAAGTCAGGAGCCCTATCCTCACATTGGGCTCCACCACCTTCAGCCATGTCAAACACGAGAATATCTATCTCGTGGCAGTCACGAAGAGCAATGCCAACGCTGCTCTGGTCTTTGAGTTCTTGTACCGTCTGACAGCCCTTGGGAAAGGATATTTTGGAAAGTTTGATGAAGAGGCTGTCAAGAACAATTTCGTGCTCGTCTACGAATTGCTAGACGGTGAGCACATCGATGCTATTGCGAGACCACGAAGCTGACCTCTATCCTGCAGAGATTCTCGATTTTGGGTACCCTCAGAATACAGATGCAGATATATTGAAGATGTACATCACACCCGACAACCTCTCTTCCGCCATCAGATCCTCTCCATCTCATTCCAATGCCTCGAGCGACTCGTCAAAGATCACCATGCAGGCTACCGGCGCCCAGTCCTGGAGAAGAGCGGACATCAAATACAGAAAGAACGAAGCCTTTGTGGATGTGATCGAGGACGTGAACTTGTTGATGAGCGGAACAGGAACCGTGCTACGTGCTGATGTCAATGGTCAAATCGTGATGCGAGCGTACTTGACAGGGACTCCGGAGTGCAAGTTTGGCCTGAACGATCAGATGGTGGTGGACAGTGGTTCGTCAACAGACAAAGAGGGGTCCATGGGGAGTCGAGGCGGGGCTTCCAAAGCTACAAGGGCCGCTGCCGGATCAGTCACTCTTGAAGATTGTCAATTTCATCAATGCGTGCAGCTGGGGAAATTTGACACGGATCGAACCATCTCCTTTGTCCCACCAGACGGAGAATTCGAACTCATGAGATACCGAGCCATCGAGAACGTTAACTTGCCATTTAAAGTCCACCCTATCGTCCGCGAGGTCGGGACTACTAAAGTCGAATATAGCATCGCTATTAAAGCTAATTATGGCAACAAACTCTTTGCCACCAACGTTGTCGTCAAAATCCCTACACCTCTCAATACCGCCAGCGTTGTTCCACGATCAAGCCAGGGCAGGGCCAAATACGAATCCGAGATCAACTGCATTGTCTGGAAGATCGCACGCTTTACGGGCCAAAGCGAGTTCGTGCTATCTGCTGAAGCGCAGCTGACGAGCATGACGAATCAGAAGGCTTGGTCCAGACCGCCTTTGAGTTTGAATTTTTCGCTCCTCATGTTTACAAGCTCGGGTCTGTTGGTCAGGTATCTGAAGGTATTTGAGAAGGGAAATTACAGTAGTGTGAAATGGGTAAGGTATATGACTAGGGGGGGAAGTTATGAGATAAGGTGAGTGTTATTGTGAGAAGTTGAAAAGGTCACTGAGCTGTTCTACAGATTCTGAACAGCAAATATGATCGCGAACGTGTGCGAGTTTCATCAGCAACAAGAAAAGGGCCATAGAGTGTTACAGGGTCCGAAGCAGAGATTACAGCATGGCGACTCTTCAGACATATCATGGGCAGGGCTACGATGATGTTGAGGCCCAGCTCCAAGCAGCAGCCAAATGATTGATGTCCGCTTGGAAGTCCACAACTGATGGTCGCCGGGCTGTCACCCAAAAAGCATCCTTACCGACGAAGACCTTGAACAACGAGTGCTAATCGGTGAAGGTGTAGCGCGGCATCCAGATGTGCATGAAGTGAGGAAGCCAGAAAGGCACAGCAGGAGGGGTGAAAGTATGAACTAAGTAACCAAGCTGTTCTACCACTTGGCGAGAGCACAAAGTCATGCACAGAAATGACATATAGGGAGCACCAAGCTCTTGCCTCTTGAGAATGAAGACTCAAACATTCAAGTTACAAAATGGCTATCTCATACCAAAGACCACCTCCAAAACAACAAGAAGAATACCCCTAATCATCCTAAAACTTCTCTCAGCTCTCAGGCCCTCCAGTCCTCCCTCAGCTCCCCCCTACATCGTCCACCACTGCCCCTCCTCAATCCCGCCTCACAACCCCTATCCCTCACCAAGACCCTCCATCTCTTCCCCAGACTATCCCCATCCTTGGCTATGTTTTCCCTGCCGCACTCATTCCATACCTTGCGTGAGAGGTTGAGTTTGTCGAGGACGGTGGATACGAGGAGACGGTCGTCGGCTGTGGACCATTCATCATCTGTTATGAAGGCGGCTTGTGCAGCTGTGGTGGGAGGGAGATGGATGTTGTGTTCCACCACACCGGGTTTGGAATGGGCTTTGGGTGTAGGGTCGAGACCCTCAAAATCCGAGGCGCTGAGGCCTAGAGGCATGAGGAGGGGGATGCGACGGGGGCGTTTGGGTGTTGAGAAGGTGTCGCGGTCTTGGTCTTGGTTTTGGTCTCTGTATAGCGGTGGTGGTGGTGGGTAGGTTGTCGTAGACATGGAGTGAGGGAAGGAGAAGTGATTGGAATCTATTTTGCCGCTCTTGCTCTTGCTCTCGCTTTTGAAATTGGGAATTCGATTGTTTTCATCTGGTGTCTCGAAGTCTGCACGGGTTCGCTTTCTGGTTCTGCACGGCTCGGAGACTGGTGGCCTCTTCATCTCATGTGGTTGTATATCCGATCTCGTAGGGACCTTTATATTTGGTGTGAGAGGTTGAAGCGGAGGCCGCTGTAATTGTTCATTCCTTGTGCCATAACTGGCTGTCTTCTCCTTGATTGGCTTTGGCGCAGTCGAGAGTATGAATGACAAGGGAGACGCTGGCCTGCTGCCCAAGATGGCTTGTAAAGCGCGGCAGCTGGAGAGAGAGCTGAAGCCACCGGGATTGCATGGAGGAGGCGTGGAGATGCACACAGGTCTATGGGATTGATGAAATGTATCGATGGGAAGAGCAGAGGGAAGCAGCATTGCCTTGGGTGAGGACGAGAGTGGTGCGGCGTAAAGCTTTTTGATGCGATGCGATGCGATACGATGCGACTGAGGTGTTGGTACGTGGGAGGATGTGATTCTCAAATGCGCCGCGTGTGCTCGCGGTCGTTCATTCGTGTCGAGTCGCCTATTGGTAAAGGTAGAGTATCTGTAAGTCTTGCAGTTGATGACCGTGCGATCCTTACGATGGAAAGGCTTGCAGTGTGTGCGCGTTTGTGGGAAGTGAAGAGAGCAGTAAGCAGACCAACCTGGGTCCTGTCGCAAACGTTGGTTTTAGGAAAGGTGGGAGTCAAGCTAGGACCTACTTTCAGTCGTCCGGTCCATGGTCCATGCATGGGGGCACGGGAATCTGCAAGGGGGCGGGTCCATACGTAGTAGGGTAGTAGGGTCATCTGACAAGAGCGCCGGGTCAAACAGGGTCAAACAGGGTCAAACAGTCCGCTAGCAGGACGACATCGAGTCGGGCTATTCTTGCTATCCTTGCTGTGATGGTTTGACGAGCGATGCAGCTACTGTTTCCAGATGCTGGCGGCAGTCGCTGTTGCACTACTATTATGTACCAATTGAGCACCAGGCATTGGGACCACTACCGATATCGCTCCCCAACGGACCGGCTGTGGAAGCTGACAGATACTCAATAAGGATGACTGTGTCATAATACTCGAGCTACTATTACATGAAGCTCTGTTGCACTCCGTACCTCCCTTTTTTACGGATTGCTACTGTCTCGTTCATAGCTCGACCCAACGCGTTGGAAGGAGGACACGCGTAGGTGACGCGACAAGACACGGTCCTCGACTAAGCTAGACTACTTTGGGAATTGTGTACATTCACGCCAAGAAGCACTGTCTTGGCACTATCAAACCTTTCAATCTCATCAAAACGTCCTGATATGCGCTCTGTTCCCTGCTCCAGAACTCTTACTCAGCATGTGGCGATGCAGCATCTGGCGTAATATTGCCACTGCCACCGCCACTGCCACTGCCACGTTAGTCTAGGTGCTCTTGTGCCTTGTGCCAATATGGACAAAATGGATCAGCACAATTCCATATCGGTGCAATCTTTCAATCACGAGTCTATCCATAAAGGCTCATGCGGAGATATCTGTACTCTGCTTTCCGATTCAGGACAATGAAAGTTGAAGAAGCTTGAACTTCTCCCATGCCCTACTCTCGCCGTTTTGGTCAACCACGTGCTCGCTTGCACCAACTTCTTTGTTCTCGCACTGTCAAATCATGGATAGTGCCTGGCAGACTGTCGTTTGCATTCCTATGGCTTGTGCTCACCTCACATGATGCCTACCTAGACCCAGATGGACCACTAGATTGCATTTTTCATCTCTGTCAGCAAACAATGCGCTATGTCTTTGGCTGTTCGCATGCCGAAATCTCATTCGCATCCGCCTCGGGCCAAATTCGTGCGAGTTCAAAGAGATGGGACGATATGTAGAGTCCAGTTTCCCAAGTAGGTAGGTAGGTGGGTGTGAGCACCGCCATCGTTTCATCGACAATCAATATGGCGTTCGCTGTCAAGGCCCTTTTATGGCTTGTTGCTTGTGCCTCATTTACTTTGGTTGATGCCTTCTGGCGTATGAACTGTGCTATCATCCAGACGGGCAGAGTCGATCCCATTGTTAACCCCGGAGCTATCGCCAGCCATGCCCACAAGATTGTTGGGCCCAGCAGTAAGTGTGGACAGATGTTCCCGTAACAGGATATTAACAATCATCTAGATTTCGGCCTCAGCTCAACATATGACTCGCTTCTAGCAGCACCATGTACATCATGCGAGGTACAAAAGGACAAGTCCGCGTACTGGACTCCACAGCTGTACTACAAGCATACGAATGGCTCTTTCCAAGAAGTTTTCGCCAGCGGAACTACGGTCTACTACCTCAGCCGTGGGGATAACAGGAGAAACATCGAACCCTTCCCGCCAGGTTTCCGCATGTTGTCAGGCGACAATGCAGCAAGACGTTATGATAACACAACTCGGACTTATCTCAACGACCGACCGATTGCCGACCGAGTCTCTTTTGCTTGTCTGGACAAAGACCCAATGAAAGAACAGCCCTATCTGTTCCGAACAGACTGCTCAAATGGCCTGCGCGCTCAAATCCACTTCCAGAGTTGCTGGGACGGTGTCAATCTTTGGAAACCAGACCAAAGCCATGTGGCTTACATGTCAGGAATAGACAACGGTCGATGCCCTCCCACACATCCACGTCAATTCGCACATATCTTTTTAGAAGTCCTCTATGGGGTCAATGACATCGATAAAAGCAAAGGTGGGATCTTCACCTTTGCCAACGGCGACGCGACTGGATACGGCTTCCATGGCGACTTCCAAAATGGCTGGGACATGGATGTCCAGACCGCCGCCCTCAAACAATGCATGGATGATGGTTCCTCTGGGGGCATCAGTGACTGTCCGCCTCTTGAAGCCTCGAGAGATCCCTACTTCCCTTGGAATTGCCCTGAGCGGCCGCCAGTCGTCAACGAAAACGCCAAAGGGATGATTGATAAGTTACCAGGCTGCAATCCGATAACTGGATATCAAAATGCAAGAGCTCCCAGCACCAACTGCCCAGCCAATCTAAACACGATTCCTCCTCAGTCTAAAGCTTCGATCTTTAATCCCACCCCAGGGACCATGCTGGGCAAATGGTCCTACCTCGGATGCGCCAAGGATGCTGGCGCTGACCCAGCGTTGACGGGATCCAGATTCAATGACCTTAAGATGACGATTGAAGGCTGTCAGGCCTATTGCACAGATCAAAAATATCCCATTGCAGGTCTGAAGTATGGTCGTGAATGTTGGTGTGGACGCAGCGTATCATCAACCAACCCGATTCAGCCTCCAGCTTCATGTGCTGCTACTGCACAGATGATCTGCGGTGGTAATAGTACTCAGTATTGTGGAGCCCCGAACCTGATCACCTTGTGGAACAGCAGTGCTATTGCATCAACCCAGGCACCAACCACCACTGGCACTGGTTCAGGAACCGGGACTTCTACTACATCTAAGCCCACTGCTGCGACTACTTCCTCCGCTCCTGCCAACATTCCCACTGCTGGGGTCACAACCATTGCAAACGGCCAAGCTCTATACATCGGCTGTTACACGGAGGTCAGCGGCGGCCGTGCACTGTCTGGTGTGTCGTTCTCCAATACCACCGGCATGACTAACGACCTCTGTGCTTCATATTGCATGTCCCGGAACTATGCCCTCTTCGGGACCGAATACTCACAAGAGTGCTACTGCGCCTCCACTCTCGCAAGCCGCAGCACCTTCTCCCCTCAATCCGACTGTTCCCTGCCGTGCAAAGGCGACCCCTCGCAAAGATGTGGTGGCAACGCCCGTCTCTCCCTCTGGAACAACACAAACTACATCGCACCCCGCAATCCGCCCACGCCAAATAACCAGTTCAGCTACATCGGCTGTTTCACCGAGGGCAAAACCGGCAGAGCCTTAGGCGCCACCGCCAGGAATACCGCTTATTCGAAATCAGACTTGACTGCCATGACGGTCGAGGTGTGCGCGTCGATTTGCTTCAACAAGGGCTACAACTGGATGGGCGTCGAGTATGGTCAGGAATGCTATTGCAATCAGGAGGGCCCGATCAATGGTGCCGCGGTGGCGCCGAATGGGAATAGGGAGTGCAATATGGTGTGTAAGGGTGATAACAAGGAGTTCTGTGGGGCTGGGTCGAGGTTGAATGTTTATAGAAGGATTGGTTCGACGTCGACGAATAAGCTGGTCAATGGTGGAAGGGTGGCAAGGTTTGTAAGGAGTTATCAGGCTTGAGGCCGAAAAGGTCCTGAAGAGAAGTAGAAGCAAGCAAAATGGGCACAATGGAATGAAATGATGCGGCATTTCCTACGTATCTATTGTTCTGTTTTCTGACCGAATGGTAGTTATATCATCTGGTTACTTCTGACAATTACTTACAAGGTCGTTTGTAAGGAATACCATCGAAGCTGATGCCGTGATCTATCTCAACATCTTTACTAAACCACAAACCCTAGTCTCCTACTTTGGCAGCAGCTCCTGACTTCCGGTCGTACGCGAGTGGGCATCACTCCACCACAAGTTGAGCATGCGCTGTCTCTGAAGGAACCTATCTTGACATAGCCTCGCGTGATGACCGCGAACCCAAGCATAGTCAACGTAGAGGCTCCATGAGCGTAAATCAGTCTTCCCTTCTCACACAACTGCTCGGGTTGTGCTTTGCCCAGATAGATGTGTGTGTGTGTGTGTGTGTATTCACAACTTGTGGCCACTGAGCCTGCTCTGTTAAAATGGTCATTACTTGGAGCATAGCCAGCAGATTGGGTAATCCAGCTCCGTTCCATCTTGAAAAAGATCCAGGCCAACACTAGCCGGGCTCAGAGCTCTCTCTCTTGCCTTATGCCGTCCACAATCACTAAAGTCATCTCTTCGCCTTCAGCATGCCGGGACCTTTGCCCTTTCGACTTATGGAAGGGAAGACAATGGAATTCCTCGCCTTCCTGTGCGCTTTCTTCTTCTCGATCTGTGAACCGTGATGGCTGTGCTTCTTCTTTAAAGCAGTTTTTTGAGCATCTGGGTCCGTGTATATTCTGTCAGCATTGCGTCTACCACCCTCCTTGCCAGCTCAAAGCATACCATCGCCAATATTTGTATCACCGGTGCTTCTTTGCTCCTTCACGTCTTCACCCGTGCTGTCTACCTCCATCATTCTCTCCACTGAAGGTTTGGATCTGGACACGAGCTCTTGCAGCTTGGCTGATAGACGCTCCGTGCGTGCATCAACTGCAGGACCGAAAATTTTGGCTCGCAAGGCGGCATTGTTGCGTTTTCGTGTGGATGCACGCGCACCTTTTGCCATGCTGATGACTAGATATCTTGTGATAGATTCCGTTTCCGCTTGCCGAATGAGATGGGAGAAATAGCTGGAAATTGGATTGTAGAAGTATTATATGTAATAATTCAGCAGCAGAACGTGCGACTTGTAAATTTCCGGGATAGGTGTGGGGGAGGCAAGGAAATGGCGGCCGAGATGGCTTGGTAACATTGTCTTTGTGAACAGAATCCCCGTCAACTTCACAGTGGGAGTGGTGCCTTCTAGACATTCTTGGTCAGGACAAGTATGATTATAGACTTTGTCTAGAATATGAAGGCTGTTCCTACCTCCACTGTCTGCCAATTCTCTACTATCAGGCTTGCATATTGTGAGATCCAGCATGGCCAACGCAACCGATCTCCGCTCGGTGGAAGCCAGGATCAAGCTGCTATTGAATGCTCAACTCAAGGCAGTACTCCGCGATCAGCATCTAGCGGTTTCTGGTGTTAAGAGCGAACTCCAAATCAGACTACTGGCTCGTACGGCTGCCTGATGTGCTTGTCAGGACTTGGAAGGGCATGCTGACGAGTGATATAGACCTCAACAAGCTTGCCGCTGCTGGTGATGTTGCTCGGATAGACCGCATACGAAGTCTGGTAAATGGCTCAGCCGATGCTAATGCTCCTGCTCCCTCCTCTTCCCTGTATACACCCACTCCACCTTCGTCTTCCTCGCCATATCGACCTGCTTCGTTGACACAGCAATCTCCACCCACTGGCTACGGCATGCCTCCCAACCCTTCGTTCGGCAGTGGTACGAGTCTCCTCTGGCTACCGTCTGAAGTTGCTAATGATAGTGCAGGCCAAGTGCATTTTAAAACGAGTCCTTTCTTTACTATTGTTCAACCTCTGACCGAAGTGGTGGAATGCAAAGGTTGCCTCACTTTTCCGTCAGGGAATCGTTAGAGCTGATAAGGAGAATAGCGAGAGAGAGCACTAGAGACCATGTCGATGTTTCAGTCACATTATCAGCAGAAGTTGCTACACAACTACAAAATGATGAGCTGTATAGGGTCATGGTCTTCTGTGCTCACGACACTGGTCTGAACCATTTCTCAGCCTCTGAGATTGCTTTCCCCCATCAAGTTGAGCTCAAAGTGAATCTTGATGATGTGAAGGCGAATCTAAGAGGCTTGAAGAATAAGCCGGGATCAACCCGGCCAGCAGATATCACATCCTTCATACGAAAGAAGGCTGGCTATAACAACCAAGTCACTTTGACCTATGCATTGACTCAAAAGGTGCCCCCCCCTTTTCATTCTTCCGCTTGTCCATCTCCTAGAGTTCGAATGTCATACTGAGCAGGGAGTCGCTTATCAGAAGTTTTTTCTGGTCGTCAACCTCGTTCGAAAGACACCGGTAGAAATGCTTGTGGAGAAGCTCAAAGCAGGAAGATTGATCAGCAAGGAGCAGGTGCTACGAGAAAGTGAGGCTCTGTGCGACCCTACTTGTACCTATCTCACAATTTTGCAGTGAGAACCAAAGCACAAGATCCGGATATCGTGGCTACCTCGACAATAATGTCGCTGAAATGTCCATTATCTACGCTGAGGATAGACGTACCTTGTCGATCTGTCAGTTGCAAGCACAATCAGTGCTTTGATGCCTCCTCATACCTACAACTCCAAGAACAGGGGCCGACATGGACTTGTCCTGTCTGTAATAAGACTGCCACCTTCGAAACACTTCTGATTGATCAGTATGCGGACTGACGATGTCAGATGGACACAGCTAATTGTGTATAGATATGTGGACGACATTCTTCGTTCCACCTCACGCAATGTCGAACAAGTCACAATAGAACCAGAAGGCCAATGGTCGAAAACTGCCGTTCCAGACACACCAGCGCCGTCTAATGGCTCGGCATCTACCGCAGAAGATGAAGACGACTTTCTGGAAATCCAAGACACACGTGTTTCTTCAATGAAGCAGGAGTCAGCCCCGGTAACAGCAACACCACCTAATCCTTTCGCTACGTCAGCGTCAGCCCGAACACCCCCTCTTTCTTCTCGCGAGCAGTCGGTCGTGTCTTCTGCTCACAGGGCAACTAAACGTCCAGCAAGCACGGTGATCGATCTCACTTTAAGTGATGATGAGGACGAGGCTCCACGATCCAAGATCCCTCGCCCCTCATTAAGAGGTGGAGGGGGTCCTTCGATGAGTCCTTGGAATGGCGAAGTCCATTTTCAGCTGCCTCGACCCGCCCCTTCCACATCAGCGTACGATCCCAATTATTTTCCGTCTCCTTTACGGTGATCTGCAGCGTGGTGTGGTTTGCATAAGCGGTTGGCGTTTGTATCTTTTATAGCATGGGGACAGTGTAAACAGGCTGACTTAGGATGGAAAGCGTTGAAAATATGATGAGGAGCACGGTTGGGATTGCTTCAAACAAGGGTCGGATGGTTAACCCTTCTCTTTGCACGGAGCTGCTCAGAACAGTGGCGCAGTCAGGAAGGTCATATTCAAATTCATCAAGTTCTTGTCCTGCTGGTTAAGAGAGATAGTTCGATCTTACTGCCCGTCGACTATATGCGGATTTTCATTGCTTCTTCTTATGATAAGTAATCATCTTCTTTGAGACATCTCTTGGAGTGTCTTCCTAAGACATCCTTTTAGGACACTCTTAGAGTATCATCCTAGGCTATCCTTCTGGGACACGCGCTAGAATACCTCTCAAGATACTCTCAAAGATGCTCTTCGAAAACGTCCTCTAAGGCATCCCTTAAGACATCCTTTAAAGGACACTCCTTTGCGATGTTTTTTCATTATATGCTTATTAGTCAGTTGACATTTTAAATACCCTGTTGGATACATCTTATTGTACCAATCTTAATTTAGGTCCCTAATATTCTGTAATATTATACACCTATAATTCATGAGAAGAATGCCGGGGTATGCTGTCAGGGCAGCGTTGGATGGCCCTCTGCAATGGCGGTTTGTGATTTTGAAGTTCCAAATTGTCCGCTACTATGATAGACATTGAATCGCAAGTGACTTACTGACCACCAACAAGGCACAATTGTAGTCCTTTTTCTTACACTGGAAACGGACGCGTGTTACAAGACCTCTTGCTCGTCATAGACCAGCTACCAACGTCTACAAAACCGTCGCAGCTGTTTTGAAGCTCCATGGCAGTTCCTCCTCTGTCTCAAGAGTACCAATCGCCATAAAACCCTTTGCTGGCTCAAGTGGACGGTACATCACTCTCTACAGGGAGGGCGATTTCGTCGCTCCGCTTCTTCCTTCCACCTTTCTTGCACATCACCGACCCAGCACCACGAAGATCACCTTGATCGAGCACCACACATGAACCTACCCAGACTGGACTCCCTCTCTCAGCGTCCTGACCCAAGTTCCCAATGTCCTTCGACGCCCCCCTCCCACCATACACCGCCTCAGACTCCCACGCCACCTTTCTGAACGTCTCCTGTCTGGACCTGCTGCTCATTGAGATGGTGCCGCTGGCGGAGAGGATGGCTCGGAGGGCCGAGAGGATCTAGCGGGGTGAGGAGCCAAGGGAAGAAGACGATGGCGGCGGCGGAGTTGGGGGAACAAAGGGGGATGGGAAGAAGGGGAGGGTGGAGGCGAAGAGGGAGGAGGTGGACGGTGGTGCTGTTCTCGATGAGGAGGTGTATAGGGATGCTATCTTCATTCGCTTGGATGGGTTGGGATATCGCGTTGGACAGGGGTTAAGCGAGAGGTATGTTCTTTCTCTCAGAGTTGCTTCTCATGTCGAAGAGATTGTGGGAGCTGGGGGCTGAGTGGAGATGTGAACCCTTACGATACGTTCGCATACCATCCCTCTTGCCGTTGGTCCCCCAGATTGGAGACTCCCAGGCAAGGGCATGCATTGCAAGCCTTCCGAAGGCCATCGAAACATCGAAACGCAGGGTTACTGGACAAACCAACTATCACCTAGAGCGAAAGTCCACCCTTATATCACCGAGCCATCGCTCTCCCTCCAGGACACAACTAAACAGGAACAAGATCAGGCTGACTTGGTATCTGTGTCTTTTCCAGATTCTCCCGCGACCGGCCCCGCTTCCTCGACAATCTAGACGTGATCAAATTCCTCTGCAAGGACCTCTGGACCATCCTCTTCAAGAAGCAGATTGACAATCTCAAGACCAATCATCGGGTACGTTTTTCTTTCACCATCTGATTCGAAAGAAAAAAACCCCTGTCCGGTTCCTTTTGAAGCTCCATTTCATTTCCGTCATATTCATCGAGTTCGTGTAGCCTATGAAGTGTCAAAAGCACAACCTGTAAGATTTCCATACTCACCTCGCCCCACGCTTCCCCATCCCCTTCTCCTTCCCCCCGGGCCATCCCCACCCTTCTCTCTCTCAGATCCCACCGTCTCTGTCACCCATCGATCACCACCACCCTTCCCTGTGACCCCCAAAAAAGTAGCCCTAGCTAAATCCAAAGCACAGTACCTCTTCTTCCCCTGCGGCATCATCCGAGGCGCCCTGTCCAGCCTAGGAATCAACGCCACCGTTCAGGCCGAGAGCACCGATCTGCCCATAGCCGTCTTCCAGATCAAGACTCTCGCCACCGCTGCTGCTGCTAAACCTTGAAGGGAAAAAAAAATGTGGTCCAAGAGAAGCTCAATAAGCGTGTGATTTGGTCCCCTGTGAAAGGTTCAACCCGCTGAGGGGCATGGGCCCAAAACAGGGGGAAGCCCATATGTCCTCGGCCAAATCTGCTGCATTGCAGAAATCGAGATGGGATCGTGGGCTCGATGTTATGGCCTGCGCCTGCGATGCCGATCTAGTTAGCCGGAACAAGCGAGCAAGATATGGCTTTTTGGGGCGGGGGGGCGGACAGATCCCGGAATTCTCCTACAAGCAAAAATATGGGTTGGTGCTGTGTATTTCTGGGAAGAAGGGGACGGTTGGGGGTAACATGGATACAAATCTACACAGAAAAGTGCTCAGGGAGGCAAAGGGCTGTTATGGAAACGGCTGGCTGGCTGGCTGGCTGGCTGGCTGGCTGGCTTGATCGGTTGAGCTGGGGAGTGTGGCAGAAGCTTACCCTTTTGGCTACATGGTCTTAAGAAAAGTGGCGGAGGTAGAAAGTTGGTGGGCAAAGCAGAGTCATCGGTGTCGCAAGGCACGTCCCAACGCCAATAAGGGAAGAGTGACAAATGGTCGTGTTATAATAGTCCGCTTCAAGGTGGAAACGTGAAATCGGCTGCTATAAGGCTGGAGACAGATGACAGGCAATGAACCTCTGCAGATAGCGAAAAGGCGGACACGACCAAATTAGAAGATCTATTTTTCTGATGCTATGCTAGCTGCTTGTCATGTGCCTGAAGAGTGACTGAAACCATGGAAGGCCCAAAAAGCACTAGTATTCGCTATGCTGGGAGATCTTTGGATCATAGCCTGCGGATGAAAAGAGGCACCAAGTCAGCTTGCCTTCTTGTTGATGAAGTCATCCTGCGAGTAAGCTTCAACCAGCCAACAGATTCGCGCATTTGTGCAAATTTGAAGGGACGAGAGAAGCTCGCTGACTGAGAGACCTCACGCTGGACAAGATTTTGCTCCTTTTACTTTTGTGCAGGTGGTGGTGGGTTCTTGACGAACTCGACACCTTTCTCAATGTTGCCTTTGAGACCCTTGATAGCAGCTTCGATCAGCTGCTTCTCCTTCTCGGTGACGTTGCCCAGAGGGTTGGTGGCTTTTTCTGCACCGGATTGCTTGAATGTGGTTAGTAACAAGAATGTGCGGAATGGGATTTCAAAAGCTTACTCCTAGCTCAACCGGTACGGAGAAATAGTCGCAACCGGTCTCTTTGGCAATAGCATCACCACCGTCGATGCCTGGCAGGTAGACGAAGGTTGGCTCGACAATTCCACTCTCACCCTTTGAGGCCTTCAACAGGCGTTCAGCGAAACTACAAAGATTAGCGTGGTGTCCCATTTGACCAGGAGACCCATGTTACCGGAAGCCTGCGTATGCCATGGAAAGAGTTGCAGATCCAGCACCATCCTTGGCCTTGACGACCTCATCACCACCGAATTGGACACCTATGATTGCGTCAGAACTGGCCTGCTGTGTGGAAGGCTCCTTACATACGGTGGACAAGATCATCATACTTGTCTTGTGGGATCTCAACGGTTGGCTTTGCTTGGCTGAACAGGGGAACGATCGTCTCGCCAGAATGTCCACCAATGACTGGGATAACGGTCTTTGAAGGATCACGCTCCCCAGTAATGTCCTGGACAAAGGTCTCGGCTCGAACCACATCAAGAGTGGTGACACCAAACAATTTTTTGGGATTGAAGACACCAGCCTGCTTTAGGGTCTCGGCTGCGATAGGTACGGTGGAATTGACTGGGTTAGAGATGACGAGGATGAATGAATTGGGGCAGAATTCAGCAATTCCCTTGATGAGGCCTTGAACAATTCCAGCATTGATCTTGAAGAGGTCATCTCTTGTCATTCCAGGCTTTCCTACAAAATCGTCAGTCCAGAACCGCTTGAGTAATCTAAGTGCTAATCTCACTTGGGATGCCCGCTGGGATGATGCAGATATCAGCGCCAGTCAGAGCATGCTTCATGCCATCATCTTTGGGTAGGTAACCGGAGATTTTCTGCGTCCTTGTCAGATGTGCCCCACAATCTCTGGATTTTCAGGTTCCTACTGCAATAGAGGAGATGTGTGATAGATCAGCTGCAACACCTGGCGTGTTGACAACATCGTAGAGAGCAAGCTCATCGATGAGCGGGGACGCTTTGCACAGGAGGGACAGAGGCTGGAGAGCTGGTCAGTTGCTGTGGCAGCAGAGGAGTCTTTAGAGCAAGCTCACCTGTCCAATGCCACCGGATGCTCCAAGAACAACTGTGAAGAGGTCAGAGACATAACATGCATGTCAGATGAACTCGCTCACCAGCTTTGACCATGGTGAACTGAGATCCCAGTCAGTGTGAACTTAGATGAGAGAGTACAGACAGCTTACTGTGAGAAATGCTTTGGAAGAGAGAACAAGCCTGGCAATTTCCTGAGGTTCGTCGCCAATGCAGAATTTGCAATACGAAAGTTGTGTAGATGGTGTTGAGGTGTTTTTTGTTTTTCGAAAGTGGGGGTGGAGAACGAGATGATGCCAGCGCTGCGGGGCACTTTCCAATGGGCGGAACCGTGAAAAAATTGGGGTGGGTTCAGTGAGCAGTATAATTTCGTATGGGGGCAGCCACTACGGAACAATAACCACGTGTGGGGGCTGGGTTTGGGTGCGCCTGAGCAATATGAGACATGAACCTGTTTGACAGCCTTGAAGCATTTGAGGCTTTTGAGCTTTCAGACCCTTTCACTCATATTTACTATATTCACGCCATGGTGGATATTAGAGCGTCTCCTTCGCAATGTAATACTTGAAGCCATACGTTAGTAGTTCCAGACATGCGCTACATATTAGAACACTTGATCTGGTGAGGAGTTTGAGTTAAAATAAAAAAATAATAAAAAGAGAAGAGCAAGAGAGAGAAAAGGGGGAGAGAGGAAAGGGAGGAGGAAGGAAAGGAGAAAGAGACTTCGAAACATTCGAAGTATGTTTAAGTAGAAATTTAATATAGTTATTCTTGAGCTTTTTAACTTACTTTATATTATACGTGTAGATCTATTTGTAAAGAACAAGATTATTTAGATTTTTATATTTGTTTATATACAGTTGCAGGTTTATTTATAATGTACATACTATAACTATATGTTTTTGTGCTTTAGAGTTCATAAAATCCTCTTATTGTTAGGGTGCTCCATACCTCCGCAGACCACTGCGCCAAAAGGACAGAATGATCCAAATCTCTTGGATCATGGAGCACAACCACTTATATAGCCCTTGGCATTCCTAACACTTATTTCTGAGTCAGATCATCATTCCAGTTGATTAAGTATCACATAATAATAAGGTTTGAGTACTCCGAAGACCATCCTCCCTAATCGCATATTTTTCGAAGATCTTATCGTCGTTAGCTGGCAAAATATTGAGTACCGCCCCTTCGAAAAGAATGAGTGCCGTACGCTTCTTCATTAGACTAATATCAAGAAGATTATGTCGAAACCGTTCAAGAAAGAACTCAGAGCTCTAAAAGTTTGAAGATGAAGAATCAAAATCCTGATTTTAGACGCGTAAAGTACGAAGTTAAGACTTACTATAGGGGGGCCATTAAGTATTGTTAGCTCGACGCTTGTTACACTATGTAATTGCCAAGGTAGAACGCCACCCAATCGCTCAAATTAGGACTAATCTGGTTTTTTCCTAATATCGAGTTACGAGTATGCCGTCCTTCTGCATCTATTACTACCTAGCACCTCTCTGGCATCGACTCAAGAAGCTCAATAAGATAGCTCTCAGGGACTACATTCCAAGCTAGAAATACCAAGAGAATCCATACGAAATTCATCGAAATTCATCAAAGGTAACGCGTAGAATCAATAGAAACGCGTAGAGCAGTGAGATCATAGCACTGTACTAGAGGTTCTGTCAAGAGGGCGTTTCGTGAGGATTTTACTAGCGCAGAGCTAACAATACTTATGGCCCCCCCGTAGTACGATCAGTTGGGTTGCCCGCATGTCAATTTGATCATCCACTAAGACCCGATGAAAATATATCCAAATCCATGGTCTAGAAGGCATTTCCCGGCGGCACTTGAATGGCGTCGATGGGGCGGGACAAAGTTAGAGAGCGGTTAAAGCGTCAGACAGATTTTCAAGGAATCTCATAAATTTCAAAATTTCAGCCACTTTTTCTTGCGGATTGAAGTAATTTAAATCTCAGTCATGTTAAGCTAAATCAAGTCACAGGATTACAATCCTTCTGAATTTTGATATCCTGTGCCAAGATAAGTAACGTCTCAACCGAAATATATCATGAAAACAGTTTTGAAATTTCTGTAAATTTGAACGAAAACAGGTTTCATCTCAATGATTCGAAAAGGTCCCTACCGATCGGACTATTTAGAGAAGTGACGCGAGGCTGAACCCCTTTCCACCACCATGCAACGAGTCAACGACATTGCTGCTGCCCACGTGTTGAATTGATAGGATACCTTGTCTTCTCAGCGCCCCAGCCAGCCACAAACTCTTGCCAATACAGCAACAGCCAAAAGGATGAACATTTCTGTATCAAGAAGACAGCCGTTTCAGGTGTCAAATCTAATTGGTGTTTTTCTCTCCAGGAAGTAGACCGTTCTGGCCTTTTCTGACACTATCACTGTGACATTGAATCTATCGTCTGAGCCTCAATCTTTTCTTCATTCCCTGGACTACCTTCTCTGATTTCAGGCAGAGCCTCATCCAGGGTCAAGTAGAACCATAGCTTATAAGCATGCCGTCCTTTCTCCATGCAAGAGTGCCGAAGATGCTCATATTGATTAATCTTTGTTGTTCATTTTACTGCACTCAGCGAGAGCAGAATGTCTCGAAAAGTAAAAATTGTCTGTCTTTCCCTTTTAAGCACCACACCTGTTGTCACGGCTGCAATCTCCACCCTTGATGACATCCGCAGGTCCAATCTCACCTGGGTGGGAGGATTCAATCGGACGGTCTGCTATTCCCGAACCCTCGACTATCTCAACAAGAACATCCTAGCCAATGACAGTGAGGTATTCTTTCGCGATGGTAGTGGCCGACCAATGTCGGGAAAGCAAGATATCACTCTCACCCTGCCTGGATGCCAGGCGTTGTGCGGTGAACGCCAGGCTTGGTATTGGGACATTGGCCCACGGATCACGACCTGGCTCATCCCAATCCTCCTTCTCATCAGCAACGTGGAGCTTTCCCCGCTGGACAAAAGGCGATTCTTCGCCATCATCCATCTGATGGGGGACCCAATCGACTCCATCTGGTCTCTTGTGCACAAGATCGATGCCTGGGACCGGTGCTACAGGCTTGCAGCTGAGCAATATGCCGACGATCCAGACCGCGTCCAAAGGGTGATTGCCACAGTATTTGCAGGCTTTGAAGAGATCAAAGGACCTGACATCACATTAAATTACCTCCTCCAGACGCTCATCATGACAGCGAACCCCTTCCAAGAGGCAATTTACCGCCAATGGAGACTCGCTGCCGTCGAGCTAGCCGATAGCAGATCTGATGAAATCCTCCGGACTACCCTGGCAGTCATTCTATATTTCTACCACGTTGTTGCGAGTTTCGTTGAAGAAGTAGGTGGCGATCAAAGCAGCCCGCCAGGTGGAAGGATCGGCACGGCCATGTTCATATCCTGGCTTGTGCCAGTGGTTCTCTTGAGTAACAGCATCGGAGGATTCACCTCTCGTCGATCGGCCTCCAGCATCCTCATTCGCTTTGCACAATCCACCGGTCTGGAACTGGACTTCGCATCAAGGCAATCTACACGCCTTCGACAATCTACGCCTCTCGAGATGATTATTTCGAATCCCTTGGCTGGTCGGGGGCCATTTATACTTTTCGAACATGGAAGACACGGTACCTCACTCACAATCCTGCTGGAAGGGGGACAGCCTTCATCTTCTGCATCTCTATCGCACCAATCGTTATTGGTATGACCGGATCTTTCGTAATCATGTGGCACACTCTGCCCGTCGGATTCGCCTGCCGGCACTTGTGGATAATTGCCGTGTTTACCTTGTATTTTGTCAGCGCTTTCATCACTTGGGCTTCACACTCTCGTCATTTTGCCACTGGAGCATATCACTGGCACTTCGTTCTTTATAAGGACGGTCTCATCGGAGTTACGAGCCTTCTTGCAATATTTCTCTCCAGCAGCGGCGCCTTCAACTCTTGCTATTGCTTCAGTGGTAACCTTTATTATCGTGGTCGCGGTCGTGTCCTTCTAAACTCGGACCCTTTCTATCATCGCAAAAATGACACTGTATATCCCGCCGTCGTTGCTATTTGCTTATTCCTAGAACTCGCTGTTTTCGCTGCAATGGCATGGATCTGGTGGAACGGGCTGCAGGTGATGAGATGGAGTGAGAAGGCAAGGGCCGAGGAGTGGGAGGCTGCAGAAGGCGGCACAAGGCCAATACCCGGACATGCAGCTCGCCCGCAATCCCGTCAACAGCTTATCCATCGGCTGGTGGGAGAAGAGCCCAAGAAATGAGAAACGTACAACCAAGAAAGGTGCATCTTCGACCTGCTTCTGCATAGCGGCGACCTACTGGCAAGAGATATGATCTGATGCTACTGACGCTAATTAGTCAGTAAAACCTCCTGTTGATAGTCAGCTCTTTATGCGGAATAGCTCAGGGCAGCCATATCCAAAGAGAGGCAAAAGATGACTCGACCACGATAGGGCTCAAAGCATTCGAACCTTATCTTCGCCTTAAGCCTCACCCAACAAATATTCCACAACCATTTTCCACGGCAGCCATATTCGAAGGCCGAAAAGACCGAACACAAGCACAAATAGATCATATTTTTGAGCTCTTAGAATAGTAAACGGCCTTGAGGCTCATCACAATTGCCACATTGATCGAAAACCAATGAAAGCCTTCAGAATTAGTAGAACTGGTTGATCAGCAAAATGCCAGTAACATTAGTGCAGATTTGCCGCACTTGCACACAAGTGACTGCCCGCTTTCACCAACGATCTCATTATAGTCAAAGTAGGGGAGCCATGGAGATAACAAGCGGTCTTGGAAGCACCAGCCGCGCTGGAACATAGGGCACCAAGCGGTCGGAGCACTGAACATATAATCATGCCAAAGGAGTTCCCGGGCTTTTAGAGTCCATGTATTTCGGAATGATGAGCTCCGTGCATTCTTCCATTGGCTCCAGGACACAGATGGGGTTGGCATACTAAAACTCTTGGCCTTTAGGTCTTAGCACGCTAAACTAGCTCACCACTCCACACTATATTGGCTCAAATCTTTTAAATCTCTTTCAAATCTCTTATAACTAATTATCTTACGTTAGCAAGCTGATTCTTTTACTATTCAATAGTTTTGCCAGAAGCAAGAATTATCTAGCATTACATACGAAGCAACATACACATCCTACGGAATGAGAACCCAGGACACAAATCGCTGCTTCTTGTTTCTCCTTCGCTTAGCGTCTTTGCTCGAGGAAGTGGCAAAAGCCATGTGAGTTTGGTGGAGAGCATCTTGCGGGCATTGAACAGACTCCGAGCTCGGTTGGCTCGCAGTAAGTGCTTTTGGTTCTGTAGAAATGGAAGAGAAGGGAGGCGTTTGAGGAACAATTGAAAACGGGAAGGAAACCTGCTATGGTTTCGTCAACTTGATTGATTTGTACTATGAAGGATGAAGACTCACGCTCAAGTGGCGGTGGCTAGGTAGCCAAGCATTGTCACATGTAATGCCAAACCTTTCCGCCCAATATCACAGGTGCAAGTTTAAGACTGAAATTCTTAACAGATATTATCTACGTGCGGTATCCCCTAGCCAACAGCTTAATCAATCCTCCTCTACTTCATCTTCCTCATCATCACGCTCATCATGAGCCGCATAAATACGTCTTCCAATTTCTTCCTCTACGCTTTCATCCAACTGCTCTTTTCCCTCAAAGGTTTCCTGTCCAGTCTCACCAAGCAATCGTGCCTCCTCCCCTGCAATTAGGTCCCCTGTACTCTTCGCCAAGACGAGCAACATAGACTGACGTAGGTAGTGTCCGGGCGTTGAGAAGGGCCGCATAGACCCTAATTCCACAAAGTATTTCTCGTATCCCGGTTGGCGATCTCTTTTATTACGAAGCAGTGGGATGACGAAATGATAATAGAGAATCACGCTGCCGGCCTGGAGTCATTCTTAAAGAGGACATTTTTGCCATCCAGCTGGGCGAGATTGGCCGCTATGTTGGTGAGTTGAATCTTCCAGGTTTTGATGGGCGATTCATTCGGGTATGCTGGAATCAAAACAAAGTTTCCATTACCAAAACTTTCCTCAACAAAACTGCAGAGGATGAGGCAATTATCCCAGGTGTGGAGTCGAGAACTTGAGCCTGGTCCAAAGAGGTATTCGACGAGACCAGAACCTAATCTGCGTGGGACAATATGTGCCGCTTTCATTTGCTTGGCGTTGAAATAATCCTGCGCGATTGAGCACCAAAGCTTTCCCTCTGGCGCATCTTTCCTGGACTCATAAACCTGGATCGCAGATTCTCTCATGGCGCTCTGCTTGCTGGAAGACCGCTTAGCTGATGTGTTGGGTTCTTTACAAAGTGTAAGAAGAGTGTGCACAAAAGCGCCTTGCATATCCGGCCCTATTGGTGGTATCACTCCCGACTTCTCTTCCTCCTCCCGGAGACCTCGCTTGTGCTGCCACAGATCCTCCCCCAGACTGATAATGCGCACATTGGTGTTACGCTGAGCCTTGCGGTAGTCGTTGTCAGTCAACTTTTTCTCTCCATGCTCGATGTCAAGAGACAATCTGTTGAGCTTCTCCTCATCGACTTCGGTCTCGATTTCTTCAATCTTCAGTTTCTGGTATGCGATTGGTGAAGATTCGAATGATGTCGATGCAAGTTTGCGCTTGAGCTCTGATCTGCGCTCTCTCAGTCGAATACTTTTCTCCAGTACGAATTTCGAGGAGATTCTTTCTGGAATGGTAATGTTTTTGGAAGCCATGTCGTCTGATGTGTATAGGAAAGATTTTGAACTGACAATCAGGCGAAACTTGTAGTCGGAAGAGTGAGGACCTTTAACAACGAAATGCGAGAACAACCCGGCGAATTACAGACCGTTCTATCACAGTTACCCGCCTGATGGGTGAGGGGTCAAGGTCCTTATAAAGTTCAGGTTGGCGAAACCGTTGCCGTAGTAATTGGCTGCAGTTATCCGCTGATTGTACGCAAGGTCAGTGGGCGCGACAATTATTGAACTATCAGCAAAGCATTCATTCTTTGATTGATGTACGCAGCTGCTATGCCCACACTGCCTGTCCGGAGTATCTGTCAGCCATATGATCTATATTTGTGAGCCATTCGTGGCCGCGGTCCTTTTGGTTCAATACTTATGAGCCTGGACGACTTCTAACGCTAATTCCTACTCAAATTCATCGGACAAAGGCAGTGGCGGAACAGGCACTTGATTGACTGATTACATAGCTTGTAGAAAGATAGATGGAAGAAGAAGTCTAGTTATACGCTATAAGACCATTCCTATGCTAGTGGTAGAGGAATACCGGCACACGACCAACCAACCCAAGCTCATATGTCTGACCTAGCACCCAAGCGTTTTGTCCTTCATTATCAGGTTTGCGTTTTGCGTTATGAGTGTTGATGTTTAATGAGCATTTTCCTTGAAGGAGCTGTAGGGATCAAAATGAAGGGCGAGCAGTCAAACGGATGACTAGAAATTCGAAGACCATCGGCAGCTGATGGCTGTTTAGTCCTTTAGGTTCCACTATGTTGTTGTGAGGATTGTCAACCGATTTCTCGAATATGCCGTGCTTGGAGAGGCATTTGAACGCTTGCTTCTTGTTTCCCAGGTACGATATGTCATGCATCAAGAGGGCGGCGCAGTAGTCGTTGTCTAAATCATTGAGAGATTCAAAGCTTTCGCAATAAGTGTCCATTTTTGCCCGAGGAACTGCAACAAAAAATACGGCCAGCACGGACGTTCTTTGTCTGACGTCTTGCCATTATTGTTCAGGAAGTGGAAACTGGGGAAGATATCTGCATAAGCAGCGGAGGGAGTTGGCTTGGCTCGCCCGGGGGGGTGAAGGCCTCTTATCCTTCGACTGGAATTGAGTATCGTGCATGATAACCATCCCGTCTGCGGTGCTGCCTACAGGGCAAGAGCATGTTGACGCACCAAGGTCATGCAACATAAATTAGAATAATCTCAGGTGGATGAAACTAATGTTAGAAGTCCATATCATACAGTCCTGGAAGCCAGAGCATTCTCTAAGATACATTGCTGGGATCAACGCGTTCTACTCATTCCTATGCACTCTCGCTTTCAATGCAGCCCACAGTCATAGCGAAACGTGGAGGATTCTTGAAGAAAAGAGCAGCTAGAGTGATGTGCTGGGGAAGCTGTTGGCCGGAAACAGAGATCTCTACCACCACCATGATTCTTTGCTGGTCATGAGCCATTATCGAACACCATTCCTGGACCTTAAGAATAATCTGGAGCTGAGGCCTCCGCACGAGCAGCTGATCTGTGTTCGTGATCACGAACGAACCTTCTTCTCATCTTCTGGTGTGAGCTCTTCTTCTGATGAAAACGAATATTCCGACATTATGATGTCCGCGTCTGGGGATGGTGGTACATCACACTGCTCGGCATCGATGAGGTATCCAGCCAGAACGTCATAGTCAAGGGCGATCTCCTCAGCCAAATGAGCACCAGGATAATTGGTTGCAAGGTCTCTGCCAAAGTCCCGGAGATGAAATCTCAAGCATCCAGGCTTAAGGGTGCCATTACTATCTCGTATGATGTCCTGATCAGTGATAGTCTTCATTCTCACAGCATCTCTATTCTCAGACCGACAAAACTCTGGTCGCCAAGCTGAGATCTTAAACAACTTCTTGTTTCCTGTTTCCAGACCAATCACAAGTTGAACTCTGCCACCTGACCTAACAGTAAAGTCGTAAGCTTTTTGTCGTAGCTGTTCGAAGGACTGCGAGTATGCGAATTCAATAATAATTCCTGGATAATAAAAGCCCTTGATGAGGAATTGTTTATCAGGTTCGCGGAAAGTTTTGGGGCCACCAAGTTGGACATGTCTGGAAACCCTAGGTGTGATTTCATGTATAAGTCGCTTTGTGACTTCGTTTGAGGTTTTTTCGCCAATAGCAGCTAGTTGGCTTTTGATCAAATCACCAATCGCCTCAGCAGTCAAATCGTGAATAGTGCTAGGCATCTTTATCACAAGAAACTCGTCGTCAATTAGGTCATGTCTAAGAAGATAAGAGATCAGTAAAGAATCCTGATTTATTAATAAATAATTACCTTAGTTTGTCTAAGACGTATCCCCAAACCTCAGTGTCAGACTCGCACAGAGATTCTAAAGTCTTTGTATATGCTCCTGGCTGAAGAGTAAAGATGTGGTAGCCCTGATGGCTGACAACTCTCTTGGCATTTAGAGAATAAAGGAATCTGCAGAGCAATGAATCCAAAATGTTTCCGTTAAGGTTGCTGTAACTTGAATGTGATGGAGATTGTCTGCTTTGTTCACGAGAGGGAGATAGTGGCTTGTTCCAAGCATCACGTGAAGTGACGCTACCCGGATTCTCTTGAGCAGTTGAGTGGTCCATTTGGTAGCATTCGTCTTCACAGAAAATTGTTTACACGATGGAGGTTTCAAGCTTGAAGACTGTAATATGGTAGGCCTATACAATCATTATGGAGGTCCGTGCGCCCTCTAACGCTTTTCGGTATAGTTGCAGGCTGATCTTTCCCAGGTGCGGAGATCACCATCAGATTGGCAGCAAGATTAGGTTCATTGTGCCAGCAATGCACGTAACAGATGTCCAACCCTCCGTGCTATTGTCAGACTATATCTGGAATTGCCGAAAGGTTCAACGCTGTGCATCTCTGGCAATACGTCGCCGATCGGTGGCTTCCTCACCTCCCTGGAGGACTGCTATGGAAGCTCGAAAGTGTGTGGAAGGAGGCTGAGGCAAGCAAAGCTCAACTTTACGCCGCAAAACAGCTTCGACCTCGTGAGTACCAAGGACCTTCATGGAGTTAGGTGGGCGTGAATGGCAGAATCGATTTCGAGGACTGTCTCTTCCAGTGTCACATGGGCGTAAGGATGAAGCTAGAACTCTCGTCTTTCGGCGGCTATCTAGTGGAAACCTAAGTAAGATACGGAGCAATGAGTTGCAGCTCCCTTTCATGTCGTGTGTGTGTGCGGTCAGCGCTGTGGTTCAACGAGCTTCTTGACAGATCTGTCTCTAGTGGACCTGCACAGCTCTTGCTACTGGATCACCGAGTCGATAGCACCGAAGAACTTCGCCTTGGTGTTGAGGCGGATTGTTTGGAAGATGAATATGTCGACGCCCTAGATGGCACCAGATCCATCTCGGTCTTGTTGGTGGAAGTTCTAGAACACGATGTTGTACAACTCACCGCTCCTGAGATACCTGGGGTCGACGATTCTCTTGGTGCGTTGATCGACACAGCTTTGGGCCCCTTCCTTGGTGAAGGCCCCAGAACTTTCTCGGATTTCTTGACTCCGGAGCGACAGCAGCAGCTGATGGTAGCCCAGAAGCCGAACGAACAGAAAAAGCCGACAGAGTGGCAGACGCGGGGTCTGGCGCTGAGAGAGTTGGCTAATGGCACATTTTCGAGGGCTGGCACCTTTAAACATCAGCGGGGAGTGCCATCGAGTCCCAAGGATGGCAACCTGAGGGTAGCTGCACGAGCACCTCCACCGCCAACATACTCTAATCATGTGGGTGATGCTGGAGACAACTCAGGTGCCGCGGAAGAGAGGTATATTGCAGCGCCAGTGCTCACGACTGGGAGTCAGAGCCTATTCGCTGGGTTGGCAAAGGTTGATCTAACCATTGTTTGGATCTCATCACGCTGCATAATCATACTGTAGTGCTTGCTTCTGTATAAAAGTTCCCTGCCTTGATTACATCTGTCACATGTTGATCCAGTGGGGCATACGTTCGAGCGTGCTATCACTTATGCTGCACTCTGGCTCCTTCTCAACGGCATTCCGTAGTTTGAAATATCAACCCACATTTTGCGATGACAATTGCTTCAATCTAGAAGCGGGAGATTGGACATGATAGAGACATGTCTGGTGAAGAATCAGTATCAATTTGAACATCTTCCCTTGAAATTGTCCCCTCAACAACCTCCGCAAAATACAGGTGTCAAGGTGCTATGGAAGATCCGCCTGTTTGCACCAGGAGGGATATCATATCCATCACTCTCGTACCGTTGAGTTCGAGGGTTTTTCCTCTCGTGTAATCCGTTGGTCTCGAAGAATATGGGATGATGGTGGAGGGTCAAAATAATCCTCCGGAGTCGCGCTTCAAAAGTAGTTGACCATCCCTGAATCGTAGCTTCTTAGCTAGTCATCTTGTGCATAGTCCATCGTATTAACTCCATACATAGCCTGCAGCTTAGGGACATTCTGGCTGTGAGGACGCAGCAAACGCTTATTGGCGATGCTGCGGAAGGTACTAGTAGGAGCACGACTATAACTCAGTGGCAAGGCCATTGTGGGTCATTGGCGCCCACAGAGCTATTTTATCCGAACTTTGTATTAGATTTGTAGAGATAGACGCTTCAGGCTGACAGTGCTACCCAACTTGTCCATTGAGCCGAAAGTACTATCTGGTAGTGCTTCTGAGCTTGATTGATTTGCTTTCATTTTGAGTGAGAATCCTGCCAGAGCAGTGAGTTTGTATTGGCCTTACCGAATAAGGACTAGTACCGCGTTCATGACCTACAGCGATCGAGTCGACTGCTAGAAGCCTAGCATCTATCTATCTATCTATCTATCTCTTCTTCGACAACCCTGCTCATCGATTACAAATCGAGCTTCGGTTGTCATTCAGAGTTATTTCGAATCTCTGAGCGTTCAGAACCCGGCCACAAGCCATATCAAGCGTCAGTCCCTGCTCCAGTTCGACTTCAACCTCCATGGAGATCTCAGACCTTTGAACAATAGCTTAGAGGCCTCCTATGCTAACACCACCGATTGACGCCCTGAGCTTAATAATACTCTCCAACTTGCTTTTCAGGTATCAGTTTTCTGTACTATCAGCTGTAAGAAAAAGTAAGGCAAGGCATTAGTATCGTCATGCTAATCTGGAGCTCCTCTACAGTTGTAGTACACCAGTGATAGTAACTTGAACCTGAGAACCAAGTATAACTGCCCGATTGAGTAGTCAACCCTCAAAGCCGCAAACTTGCTCTATTTTCTCACAAAGATGAAAATAAGACAATAATGCACAAAAAATATCCTCAGTTTCACTTGTTAGCAAAAATATTTATGCGCTGGCCGGGAGTTGAACCCGACTCCCCAGCTTTGTGTTTAATTGTGGAAAACTAGTATTCTACCGATGAACTACCAGCGCGCTTAATTTGAAACTCAATTGCATTGTAATAAATATAAACTATCATTATAGGCATTTGCAATACATATTTCCTGCATCTTGGTATTCCCTGCATCCTTACCCTATATGTCCATGTTTCAATTTAGGCCGGATCAATCAAGCATTTCGCAAGCGTTTTCCAGTGGATGTGAAGTACTAGTAATGTAATACACAACGCTCTCTTGTCCTGTTCTTCAATTGAAGATCAATTAGAGTCTTGGCATGGTTATGGCTTGGCACAGAGGGGTTGTTAAGCATGTGTACGGAGTACAGGCTTATCCCTTCTATAATATCTCACACAACATCATGGAAGCGGCTACAGACAGTGCTAGTGCTCTGGCAACCTTGACTATGCTAGAAGAACGTTTGCATCGCATCGAGTTCTTGCTACACGGCGCTTCTAACGCGTTAGGCATACCTGATTCTGCGCCAGCACAGTCTGCAGGGAATGACGCTGTATCTACGCGTCTGGCAAACCTGGAGAACCATCTGAACCGCCTTGCTTCGAGGAACAGCATTGTTCAAGATGTCTTGGATATTTGTATGAAACCAAGTGCCTTCATCTACTAGTATGCCAATGCGCTGACCGAATGCAAGACAAACATTATCCAGATCTATTTGTTCCAGCAGCCGAAACCCGACCTCCAAGCACTCAAGATATTTCGACCATTACCTCGATTGTGCTCGCACACGCCTCGTCGTTCTCAGAGACGGTATCTCGTCTCATGTCTGTCCAAGAACTCCCTCTTCCAGCAGCTTCGGCGTCAGCCGACTTGATCGCAGTACAACCGCGCCTGAAGAAGGTCCAGGAAGTACAAGCGGCACAGCTCCGTGAGGTGTCAGACCTTCGGGCCAGGAGTGCAAGGTTAGCGGAGCGCTGGCTTGAAGCTGGCGTGGTGGGACAAGCGGAGACTTGGGCAGAATGGGAGGAGAGAGTCAGGGTTGTGGAGAGAGGTGTACGGAGAATGGAATTTCAAAGAGAAAGACAAAAAGTGTGACGGTGACTCCACCCTGCTAAATGTGGAAGTATCTTTATGTGCCGCTCAGCTCGGACAGCACGCAGCACAATGAGCACCGCCATTATGGGAAGACATGGTCCTGTGCTGCAATGCAAGCTGCCGCGAATCCGAGCCCCTAATATTACCAAAGCTAGCACCTCGTGCGGCGCGCACTCCCGAGGACCATGAATTTGGCAAGAGTTACACGACTCTTTGTTTCAGGCAGGACGGTACCAGTGTCCAACCACATCGAAATGCGGCAGTTCCGCACCTCGAATCTATCTTAAGGAACATCACATCGCTGCGGTGCGGAGTCTAGAAGAAGCTCAATCAGCAATCGTGGAGATAGAGGCAATATATGGTAGAAGTGGGAGCGAGAGGAAGTGGGAGCGAGAGCGAGCGAGAGCGTTGTGTGGGGTGTGCTGGTGTCACGAGACACTCGCTATCTTGTCCCTCCATGGACGTCACTAGTCTGGTGGCTCGTCCAGAGCATTTAGACCTCGGGATTGAGCATTCTGCTACCACAGAGATATTTCACATCTTCCTCGCTGGGGGTATGACGCCACGAAATGCTGGGCAAGGCACCAAGCAGACGCAGAAAACAAGAACCTTGCGAAGTGGGAAGAGCCGCATGGCATGCAGCACAGGCACACGCCAAGCTAATTGCTCTACTAGCAGACGTTGTGAATGCAGGACTTTATAAGGAATTACATGCATGTCAATGGCAGCAGTTAGGAGCATCCCATGCAAGGGCAGGACGAGCTGTCATTGTTCCCCTTGGATCATTATTGGAGAGATTCATGCTTCGCCTCACACCGGTCGGCCCCCACACCAGGGGTTAGCTCTTTGGGGAATATAGCGCATTGGTGGCTGTTAACTTGATTGTGCGCAGCCGGTGTGTCAGACATGAGAACGGGGAGAGGGGTGTGTTGAATCTCGTGGAAGCAGTAGGTAGGTCAGTGTACATAAAAGCTGGTAGCAGGACGCCTCTTGATGACTTCGATGAGACTGAATGGTGAAGGATGAACGGTGGTCGATAGTTGCCCATCTCGCCATTGCTGATTTCCGAAGGATTCATTGGCAGCGGGTGGGTCCATCCTTTCTGCATCCATCTGCATCCATCTGCATCCACTTTTCTTCTGCGCGTGGAAGGGTGTCTGAAACAGGCTTGGTTCCAATGTTCCCAATTATTACATAGCAGTAACTTAGTTAAATACCCTTCACCTTTCAGGGCTGGATTTCGGGCCGGAGGCCAAACCCCCAATCCTGCACCCACCCTGAACCCACCCTACAACCCTTCTAGCTTTTCCCGCCCGCGGATCTCCCACCCCATCCCTTCCCTTCCCTTCCCATCTTTCCATTCGTTCCAACGTCCCAATCCCATCTTCATCCGCCTCAGACCTGTTCAACGCCTGTTGTCATCTAAACGATCGTTCTATATTCGTTGCTGCCATGTAAAGCACTTCGAAATCCTTCACGATCGTTTCCTGTGCTCGAGAATTCCTCAAGGCGGCTGGCTGCCACCTATAGGATCTTGCGCAGCTCCAACATTCTTACCCAACTTGGCGCTTGCTCTACATCATCTTCCCAAGTCCAGCCTGTCAGCTCCTTTCTTGTTCTGATACAGACATTCGCGGACTGTTCTGGGTGCGCAAAGGATCCGTCAACAAACACGGCGACAATCACACTCTTTAGCAAGATCCTTCGAAGCGTTCTTCCTTCATGCAATCTTCCAGGTCTTTGAATTCACCATCACTTGAGAAACACTACAACACAATGGACAACCGACGCGGAGGAAAGTTCAGTTTTGGTCACATTATTGGAGATCCCTTCGCGCTCGCAACCATCTCAATTGCAATTGTGAGTTACCGATGGCAAGCCGGTAAACGACCCTGCGCTGACTGTGAAACCAGCTTGCTTGGCTGATAGCATTCATCTCATCCGTTATTGCTGATATCCGATCACCGTATCCCAACTATGCTTGGTGGGCGATTGCGTACATGTTGTGCGCCATTATTGGTGTCACCGTGGTAATAGCATCGGATGCAGCAAATACCTACAGCGTTGCAGTAAGCACAGTCATGATGGATCGACGACGCACCGAATGCTGACCCTTGCAGATCGTTGGATATCTTGCCGCTGGACTCGTTTTCACTACCTCAGCAGTCAACACCCTTGTTTACAGCCCTGAAGGCCCGAAAGAGGCTGCTGCAGCAGGTTTTATCCTTCTATCTATGATCGCGGTATGAGATTGTTTTCACCGCTCTTTGGACAATTGTTGATCGAACGATATACAGATTATCTGGATGTTCTACTTTGGCTCCGCTCCTGGGGCATCTCACAGAGGGTACATCGACTCTTTTGCCTTGCACAAGGACCAACGAACATCGATGAGAAACTCCCGACCAGTTTCTAACAATGCATACGGCAATTTCAATCATCCAGAGACAAGCGGCCCAGGTCGGCAGCCTCCTCAAATGTACACGTCTGCGCAATTGAATGGTTTCGAAACTTCCTCTCCGGTCACAGGTTTTCCTGGTGGTGCTGTGGGAGCCGATGCGCGGAATTCATCGCAGCCTCGTCTCGGAGCCACCAATGGGCTGGGGACGACTGCTGGAGCCGCACCACAGACTGAGCAACCAACAGCCGAAGTCAACCAACCGACAGAGTATCCATACCGAGCAAAGGCCATCTACAGCTATGAAGCCAATCCCGATGACGCCAATGAAATTAGCTTCACCAAACAGGAAGTCCTCGAGGTATCAGATGTGAGCGGAAGATGGTGGCAGGCTAAGAAACAGACTGGAGAGACTGGTATCGCCCCCAGCAACTACCTTATCCTGTTATAATGAACCAGCCGTGGGTCCCTGATATTAGCCGAGCATGCGTCACCTCGAATCTCACCATATGGATACATACCCTGGGTCTCTGCTTTAGCTTTCCGTTGTTGGAATAGCCGGTTGGCGCATGGTTGCTGGATCACGCCCTCATGATACGACGCTTTGCTTTTTTCGCTTTGATTACCCTCTCTTTAGCCTGTCCTGGTCTAATAAGATGGACAGAGATTAGGACATTTGCTTTGCCCTTTGGCTGCACAGCCGGATTCCTCGGGCTTCTGCAGGCATGTCAGCAGCATTAACATTCGCCTGCATTCGACTCAGAATCCACTATTGCATATTCTCGCGGCCTGCGCTGCCACCTAATGTTGCGAACCGTGCAAAAATGCGGTGAAATGGTTGGTTTGGCATAAATTTGACTTGCTTTTGATGTTTGGTTTCTGTCAGGCGCTTGGATTGGTGGACTGGTGCAGGGAGTTCTGCCTTGGCTTGCACCCAAAGAGGACGATTGGGTACATCCCCTGTTCGAGTAAGAAAAGTGAAGAGCGCAGTGCAGGAAGATTGAACAGCAGAACAGCAGAGCAGTACAGAGATGTTCTTTCCTTTTCTATGCAGTCTATCCCTTTGAGCCACTGAACTTTTGCATTTAGTAGACTGCCATTGCAAGCCGGGAGCAAGATGGATTGCCTTACACACCCAACCCAACCCCCTGGCGTCTTCTACCATGCATCCCTTCGCGTCCTGCGCACGTTTCTACCTCTCCTTCTATCAATTTCTTTCGCCCACGAGACACCGCTATCTCACGTCGCCTTGCATCTACTGGCCTATCCTTCCATCCTGTCTTTATCTACGGACCTACAACACATCAACCTGGCAACTTCTTTGGTTCATGTCTGTCTACTCTGCCCGTCTATTCTGACTTGTTGTGCATGCTCCACGCATCAACAGTATAGATCTAGCATACCAATTGCTTCGGCGTGTGCATTGGTTCTCTGAGTTCCGCTTATCTTCATGCCTACTGTACTCTCCGTTTCTTCTTGAAACAGGGCTCTGGATATGTGGAGTTACTGAATCCGAGCGGAGTCAACCTCCTTCCGGTTCTAGTTGGTGCGCATGATGGTTTAGTAGCAAGACTTAGGATATGGTCCCTCCTTCTGGAGCCCGATAGCGGAAGTGTTCGACTTATATCGATATGGGGATGGGTCTTTTCAGGTTTCAGAGCCACGATTGCCGTTTCAGGCAGGTTCTCCAACCTCGATCTGCCTGTCTATCATCAATCGATCATTGCTCCTGCCAAAATAGTCACGGTACATCTTCTAGACAAAGCGGCCAACCAATCAAACTGGGCCATGATTCCCCAAGATTCCCAAGCCAGAAAAAGGTTGTTCCATCACCAATTCTCCCAAACCACATCCGGCAGCACCGTCCTCATGATCCTCCAATGCCCCACCGCACTCCTGCGATGCCACCTCTCCAGCTGCCTCGTCTGACCCCTCTTCAGCACCGGGCCCTCCAATTCAAAGACCTCCTTCTTGATTTCCAGCTCTGGCCTCGGAAAGAGGGATTGCTGACGGGCACCAGATTCGAGGAAGTCAGCTAGGATGGGTTGACGGAAGGTCAGGGGTTTGTTTTCGGAGGAGGGGTGTGTGCAGAAAATGACCATGTTGGTGAAGTCCTCGGTCTTTTCTGACGGTGCTTCTTCGGGTAATGCTTCGCGGAAGATGCGGCAGACGCGAAAGACGGAGAAGATTGTGCGGATTACGTGAGAGGCGGAGGGGAGGGAGAGGTCGCCTGCGTAGTTCTGGATCATTGTTAGCTTGGGTGATGATGGGGGGCCCAGGGAAAGGGGTTGCAAAAGAGTGATCCTACAATAGCGATAACACCATCTTCTTTCAAAAGATACTTCAACCCAGAGAGAAACTCCTGAGTGAATAGATCAACTGGTTCAGCGCCGCCAGTGAAGACGTCGTGAATGATATAGTCGTATTTCGTGGTTATATTTCTCGCTTGCGCGTCCTGCACAAGATGCACAGCATCACCGATTATAGGGGTATGATTGCTTGGTAGGCCGAAGTATTTGACCGCAAAGTCGTAGACGACCGGGTCAAGCTCGACAATGGTTGTATTGATGCCATGGGCAATCAATGCTCCTGGAGCAGTTCCAATCCCCAGGCCGATATTTAGTGCTGTGCTCTCTGGGTCTGGACGACGTGGTTGGCCATTGTTTGTCTCCACCAACCGAACAGCTTCCAGCATTGTAAAGATTGCATAAATGGGTTCTTGTGCTCTTGCGGGCTTTGATCCCTTACGTAGTGGAATCTTCCATTCTCCGCCAAGGAGACTGTGGTCGCACCTCATCACTCGGTAGTGAGCTGCAGAGTTGTCAAGCACTGAGATATACCCAGTGATGGATTCTTGACGGTCGATGAGGGTGAAGTTGTGGAGTTGGAGCGTCGAATTGAGCACGTTTGTGGTCCGCTGTAGTGGGTTATGAACGTTGTAAGTCATCGTGAACGCTATTGATGGGATGATTGGCCATAATACAGCTTTCGGAATAGCAAGCGCATACATGATAGCTATTATAACTTGCAAGCCTATTCTCGACATGACGATATTCGATCCCATATTCCGGAAAAGGATGCTCTTTGCAATCTTCTCAATGGTTGTGAATACGAAGTAAGTACCAACAGAGGGACCCTGTTCAGCAACGGTGCTCCCTAAGCCCGAGAAGTCGACTTCATCAAGAAAGGTGCCGGCTGCAAAGAGTGAAAGTAAGGTCAATGGATAATAGGTAAGAAGCTCCGTGATGACTGGTCCATAAAGTGGGCCAAGAGCCGAACTGTACTTGAATAGTGAAAACTGAAGAGTGGGTATCCAGAATGCAAAAGCTGGCAACCATCTAGCAATATCAGGAGGCAGGATCTTTCGTAGCTGCTTCCAACCAAGAAACCCGATCAAGGAGCTGAGATACTTGCCCAGATTGTGGTAAAGGGCAGACGGTACAGAGCCATAGACTGCAGTCAAAGATAGCCATGATACTGGCGAGTAGACTGCGGCAAGTATGATCAGCTGCAAGGCCTTGTGGAAAGATACATTCGACAATATTGGAATTCGAGGCACTGATGCTGGCGGATCTTCTTTGGAAAGGCCTTGTTCGTTCTTTGGCCTTGCGACCTCTGCCATAACCGCCTTACACTTCTCGTAAACTTCCACGATCAGCCCACCATAAACTGGCTGGAATGATAATGAGAAATAGGATCAAAAGCAACTGCGGATGTGACCTAACGAAAGAGTTTTCGGGACCATCGTTGTGCCACTGCCTGAGAGCGTCAATTTGCAGTTCAAATGATCTTGTTTCACTGAATATCCGCAAGTTCGGTTTAACAGTCCAACTGCAATTCCGTAAGCACGGTGAGCTTGTGAGTGCAAGATGAAGGTTGTTATTTTGTTCTCAAGAGTGTCGAGCAGGACACAAGGACAGGGGTGCCAAGATTGGAAATCCACCCTCTTACCTTTTCAGGTCTAGCTCCCCTTTCCAGCTTGAGTCGTTTCCTCCGTCTAGCCCTCCATCTTCCTTGTCATTCTCCCACACATCGTCTCGCACTCATCCCATTTCATTTACCTTACACCTTCTGGTTCGAAGAACAGGTCACACACTACTATATCGGCGGAGGTGCGATGACCGAAAGCTACTGAGTTTCAATGTACATAATACGCAGCCAACAGCTTGCTAGAGCCTGTCGTTTCAATACACAGATCTTGTAGTAATCTCTCATACAGGTAGATGATTGACATTAAAGAGCCAGATACCGAGGCCGCTGTGGGATGAAGGAGGCATTGTGGAATTGGGTGGGCACCGGCGCTCTTCTCACCAGCCCCATAGCACACTCATAACGGCCACATCGATTATTCACCAGGAGGACGCCGGCATGCTGGTAGGATGAGACCACTTTATGTACCTGTTGGCACGGTATTTGATGACAGCACAAAGGGAGGATGGTAAGATGAAGGCTTATTGATGATGTTGAAATTGCCACGAATGACCTATTGCCCAGCTTGAATTTCTGATATCTCCCGCGATTTCCTGTACCTCTTCCAGGGTAAGTTGAGCTGCTTCACCCGAAGGCATCATCGATGGTAAAGTCAGTTACAAGACTATCTACCTATGCGTAGGCCTGACAAGTCATGAACTGTCTCTTCTTAACGGTCTTGCCACTTATATCTGACCCTGTCTCCTCTGACCGTTTGCGCTTGTAGAAGAGATGCTCGATCTCATCATCCCTTGAAGAACAATCTGAAGCACCAGTACTTGGACTCACTGGCTTGTCCCTCTCACTCCGTGTTGATCTTTCTAGGTTTGGATATTCTGTCATTAGGTGACTGCGCCCTCCAATGGTCCTATTCTTAGCTGCCATCATATGAAGACACCATATACGATTGAAAGCTGCATTCCTTCATGCTCAAAAGGATACTATCCTTCCAAGAGGTCAAAGCAGCGACCGTTCAGGTCTGGAAATGGGACGGGCACTTGGTAAGGACAGTTTTGACGATTGTGTATCCCAGTCAAATGGAACATGTAGCACTGCCTAACAGACCTAAGTACTCAAACACCATCTACCATCCTCCATTCTCCAACCCTCCATAGAACCCCTCCTACCCTCCCAACCATTCAGTAGACGGCAAATGATCACAATGCCCCATCTATGCTTCCCACGTGCAGATAAACTGTTGCATCAACCCTGATCCAACATTGTCACACGGCACATAGTCCGACACCGCGCTCACGCAGTTCTCGATCCTCGCACCCGACGCATCGATCACGGCGACCACGTCGCTGGTCGTCGGCGTAACCGGCGAGGTGCCACATGCCAGGGTCACGTCGACAAGGTTACCAACGCTGAAGGGACTGCCGCAGATAGGGCGGTCTGGGAAACCGGAGTTGTTTACTTGGATCGTTGCCTAGACAGGTTGCACGTGTATGCGTTAGTTTACTGACAAAGGAGGTTTGACGATTGTTTGAGTATTGGGGAGAGGGAGAAGGGAACATCTACATGTGTTCTACAGGCCTCTTGTTGCGTGGTTCTTGATGGCGCCCATGCAACGAATTGATGGCCGCGCGAATATGCGAGGCGGCCGAGCGCGATCTGGTCGGGATGGTCCTGTCTCTCGGCCAAAGGAGTTGCGGTGGTGAGAGAGAGAAGAGCAGCGGCGGCAAGGATCAGTTTGTACATTGCGAGTGATGGGATTGGAAAATAAAGCTGAGTGGAGAAGAGGTAGGTGGAAAATTCTAGATTAGTCGTTTAAGATGATGTAGTCAGGAATAACAGTCGAGAATGAAGTGGTAGAGAGAACGTGAAGAGCAAGAGACCTTATATAGATGAGAGGACCAAGGGAGCATGACAAAACCTCATAGACGCTATGTGGAAGGATCTGATGCAACATCGTATTTCTTTTTGGTAGGATAAACCGATATACAGAGTCCAACATTAGCGTACTAACACGAATAAAAGCTGTTGAAGAACATAAGTGTCATGCGAGCAAATAATCCTAAAGAAATGATGCAAAGATGGATGAATGTCATATGGACATAAACTTCTAGAATTGGTCTATCGTCAAAACTCAAGACGCGCGAGTTCTCGAACAGCGTGATGATTCTAGCAAACAAATAGCGTACAACTTCTAGACATGGAGCTTTTATCGACAATGGCAAAAGAAGGAATCAATCCTGACGTTTACCTGAATGAAACATGGAGAAGATCACCAATCGCATCACGCGGATGAGTAGAATCTATCTCAGAAGGAAGCGAGGTTAACCTACCACTAACAAGTACGCTGCGCAGACAGTCTAGCGACCTCAAGGCTTGGCGCAGCCAAAGCGTACTAGTGGCCAACGCTCTACTAACTCCGACAGTAGATGTATGTCCCTATTACGTACTCCGTAGTTAGTAGATTTTCTTAAATATATACAGCATCGGTTGGCGCTCCTTGGCAGTTGCTGACCTACCATAGTACGGCAACTAATAGTATACGGTCGCATAGATCCGCCCTATGGGAGTGGAGCTGGCTTCAGCGAGGCATGCTCGATGACATCCACCAACCTCTCCCCACATATCGACACCAAAATGCATACACCATGGATAGGATTGCAGGACACAATGTCGTGGCGGTGGTCTTGGCGGAGATGGAAATCAATATGGCTGCCACGGTTGTGAGGTAATTATTCAACGACTTTCCCCTGATCCTATCGTTTGTCTCCTGGTCGGGATTAGAGGAAAATCTGGAAATGAGGGTAAAGATGACATCCGATTCGGTGACGTGGTAGTTAGTAGCCCACAGCCAAGTTTGGGGGATTCGTGCAGTACGATGTGGCAAAGTGACTTGTCGATGGAAGTTCTGCGAGGACCCAACACCTGAACAAGACGCCACTGGTGTTGAGTGCCAAACTGCGGAAGCTGCAGGTTCACCCTCGCGAGTCAGAAATATCCACATGTCGATCGGAGATGATCTAGAGATACCCGAGTACGTAAAGTTCTTTGCATTCAGAGATGCTTTTTTGGGTGGCTCCTAGCTATTGAAGACACAGTCACATTCGGAACCGTAGCAATACCCCACTAGGATTTGGTGGTTTTGTAGAATGTCATCTCGCTCGTATTTCTTTTTATAGGACCTGTAGACCCGAATTTGAATAGGATCTGTAAAGTCCACTAGTGTTTGTAATCAATAGCGTACATGAGAAGTGTTTGAGTAGGCAGATATGACGAAACTCGAAGGCTCAGCTTCAAGTGATCTTGAAACCCGTGGTATAGTATGCAATAAAGACACTGGTGATGTAGACTCTTGGATATACGGGCGCTAACCGAGTGTTGTCCTCCAAGGATTCCAGGCACGACCCTATATGTTCAGCTGTGTATGACCTGAACCTCGGCTCCATGAGTTTCACAATTAAGGAGTCTCACAACCGTCACCACACAGTCTGTGTGTCTGTATCCGCCATCAGTTCTGCGATTATTATATTGACAGAGGATCGCGGGTGAATTGGGGGATAAGGGGAGATCTAGGGCGATAAGAGAGCGAGGAAGCGGATTTTCAAAAACCGTAAGCGGGCGCTCTTAGTTTGCGAGTACAAGTTCTCCGAAGATGTAGAGATATAACTTCGGTAATATAATTAGGCGAGAAGGGAGAGGGAGGCGTGAAAGAGAAGGTGAAGAGAGGTCGCCTTGGTTTGGAAGGGGGCGCTAATGGCTATGGTGGAGACACTTAACAATAGGCCCTCATGAGGCAGGATCACGTAGCGCTCACCCTGGAATACTCAGGATGGATGAGTGGTGGTTGAGCTGGTGATAAAAAGCGGCGTCGAGATGTTGAGGTGTGAGCAATCGGTGAGTGCAGAGCAGATTTTACTTGTATTCTCATGCCAAGAAGCACAAATGCTGAGTAAAATGGGGCTGGTGTTGCAAAGAGAGTCCTCCAGTCGCGTCAAGGATTCAGTCACCGCGAGATATCCATCAAATCAAATCGGCATGCCTTTCTTTCCCGCCACGCATGGGCAGCGCTACTGGTGCTGAGGGTGAGAGATATCTAGACACGGTCATGACCGGTGAAGCTGCCTCCTCACCAGTGTCTCGAACCCGCATTAAAAATCGCAGAAAGCGGTACCTCGACCTTCATCCCGAGTATTTCACATCTGCGAATCTCGAGCTGGCGGGTCTGGCCCCACACAAATCACGCTGAATTTTCTAACCCACAGCACTAACACTTCACCCAGATCCACTCCTCTATGACCGTCTGATCCGCCGTTTCCAGACCCCCGCAGAGCGCGAAGCCGAGGGACGACAAAAAGGCTACAGTGGCACGCTTGAAGCGGATCTGCTTCGATCAGAGGCTAAGCTTAATGCGCTGGCGCATCCGGATCCGAATCAGACGTTTAGCTACAGACGGGGACCAGACGGCGAGATTCTGGCGGAGGAGAAGGATGAGGTTCCAAAGGACAAGGAGGAGGGGTATGCGAAGTGGAAGTGGGAGATGGAGATGCGGTTTGTGAGAGGTGGGGATGCAGATTTTGAGTATGAGAAGGTGGATGAGAGCGAGGAATATGATGATCGGGGGGTTGAGGAACAGGAAGCGGAGGAGAAGTGGTTTGATGAGGAGGAATCGAATTTCGTGAATGAGGAGGGGTTAAGGAGATCGAAGAGTAGAGAGCTGCAGGGCGAAACAGGTATTCAAGATTTTTGATCCAGTACAAAGTATATGAAGAATGAAATCCGGCCGTGTCAGCTTCTGCTACATGGACAAGCAGGAGAAAATGTGTCTCTTAGGCATTCATGAATACCTCCCCCCCAGGACTGTTTTGGTAACCTGCAGGCGATGACGAGAGTGTCTCAGCCCAACCCTGGCCATCCATGACGCTGGTACTTCCCTTTGCTGGCAACAGTGGCCCAACAATGAAATCTGTCTCTCGCCTGCCGTTTGCGGTCGTCAAGTGTGTGGCCCCAAACATCCAAGTGGTAACCTTCTGTCACGAAAACGATACAAATTTCGGATCCCTCGGCAGGCCATCCTCTCCAATGTTGTTCTTCTTAAAGTTCTGCTCCATATACACCCTCCTGGCCTCGTCGAATCCAATGCCACGATTCTTCATGATCCTCTGCACTTCGCGCTTCCCCCTGACATCCAGCCCTGCCCTCGAGTCTCCGTCCATGACATTGCCGCTCAAGTCGAAGTCGTTGGATGTAAAACCGGACTCGACATCTGACATGAAGGAGGTTGGAATTCGGCTGTAGAAGGGTTCGGTGATGTTAGGTGGGAGAAGATGGAACCACCTGGAGCGGGTGGCGTAGAGGACTGTGATGAGTTATGTCAGTAACAACAAAGGCTTGACGGCATAAGAAGAGAAGAATATACGTACGCGTTCCGGCCATGAGGAAGAGGAAGGACACCGCGTAGAGCAGGTAGCCCATGCTGGAGGGGTTGTGGCAGGGCTTCGTCGGGTTATTTGTAGTTAATCAATGGTAGGAGACGATGCTTGTAGGTTTGGTAGGCGCCGTGAAAAGCCGCTCTCTATCAATCATGCGTACATGGTAGGCAGTAATGCTGGCGAAGGCGGTGCAGCCTGGCTCGCATTTCAAACAGTTGACGTTGCAGGCTCGGAGGATGCGAGTCGACTCGGCGGCAGCCAGGGAAGATACTAACTTAGTATGTAAGTAGTAAGTAACAATGAGACTAACTAAATCTGGCGGGATGGTTAGGCCGCGAATGAATCTTGGCGGATCTGCCTCGACGCACAATTGGCAAATACACCAAAAATAAAAACAAGGACGCTCGAGTCCAGAACCTGGACAACACATCTCCACATCCAATCATTCCAAGATGGCAGACCGTTCAAACATATCGTCGGATCTGATCTGGGAGATTGCTCGTGAGACCGTCCTTGCACGCCCCTTATCAACGATCATCCTTACTGACCCGTCCCCCGCCCAGGAAATCAAAATGCATACCTCGTCAAACGAAGAAACGGCAGCCATGCCTACTATTTCTCGCGTGATCCTCTAAATCTCGTCAACCAGCACAGCCGTACACACGCTGGGTTCGTCAACGAGAAGGCTGTCGGTGTTCATGCCGGGCCAAATGGTGAAGGAGTGACCTTGATGACCAAGAAGGCGAAAAAGAATGGCAATGGACCGGCTAGCAGCATGAATACAGTCTCTTGGGGCAAGGGGACGCCTGGCAGGAAGTGAGTCAGACATGAGATTTGGCATGGAGGGTGATTTGTGCCTGAAAATAACAATTTTGTCTGGATAGGATTTACAAGGGAATCGCGAACTACACCGCCAAAAACGGCTACCGATCTGACCTGAGGGGTCCTGCTGTTTCGAGAGCCAGTGCTATCCGAGGCTCACAGAAGGCTAAGAAGGAGACACCAGAGAAGAAATTGAGAGGCTCGAAGGCCAAGAAGGCTGTGAAGACTTGATTGGACATTGGCGGACGAAGGACGGTAACATGGACAGCAGTGCTGCATGACTGGTCCAGGGCTGGTGTGGTTGCATAAAGGAACGATTCTACGTCAGCGAAATGTAATATGGGACCGCCTTTAGAACAATCCACCACCTATCATAGGCATGGCGGCCGTGATTTGAACAGGCACAAGCGCAACTGGCTGGGACCCAGTAACTAGGTCCCGGTGGAGGAGCCATAGATGCAAGAAGTCAGTGAGATTGATGATTGATTGATTGAATCTGGCCTCGTGGCCTTCCATGTATCCCTTGGGCCCGTGGCCAATTAGTCCCATTCCAACCCCCAGAACCAACGAAGCGATACAAGCAGGTGACATTGATTCATGCCAAGCGAACTGCCGCCCCGCTTCCCAGCATAGGAACACCTCTAGGAACGGAAAACAGTCATGATGCAGAAGCAAGTATAGCTGCAATGGCTCCCACGAAAGAAAAACCTGCCAGAGAACATTCAATGCACATGGGAATCTGATAGCACGAGTGTAAGGCCCCAAGCAACTAAACGCCCAAACGATCGCTTGCTAAATGGGGAATCATCTGTGCAAATACGAGAGAAAGGTATCCGATCATGTCAACCACATCGAAGCCTCGCTGGACGCCACCAACCATAATCCAATGCTACCGATACCACAAGTTGGGAAAAAAGGACCAAAATCATTCGCTGTGAGGCACGAAAATACCGAAGAAGGAGAGAAACATGAGGATCAGAATGACCAGCCTCAACAAACCAAACATCGACGAGAGTTAAAAGAGTCAGAACGCTGTTTATAGCCGGGAAACGTTAGCGGCCCATCATATAATCAGGATAGATCCCGCCCACGCCTGGTGGAGATGTTGTCCCGCCCATACTCTGACCCCGCATCGAGGTCATGGCTTGTCGGTCCGAGAACCCTCCATTCATCATCGACGGTGTCATGGGAGCAGCAGGCATGCCCAACCCAGGCGGTACGCTGAGGCCAGGAGGAGGTCCATGCGCTGTAGGAAAACCGCCAGGCGACATAGGACCTAAGCCACTCGATGTGGGCATTGGACCTTGTGGACTAAGAGGTGTGGCAGGATGTCCACCTCCCTGCTGCCCAGCGCGAACACCCAGCGGATTCTTGGAGAAGCTCAAACGAATGCCACCCTTGACGCTGTTGTGAAGTTGAACCCCATAAAGCTCGTTCAGCGCCTTGGTTGCAAAGGATACATCCTCGAACTCGACGAAGCACATGGGACCGTTCTGCTTGGTACGGAAGCAAAGTCTCTTATAACCGCGTTGCTTGGAGAACATTGCTTTGAGTTCGTCTTCGGACGTGTCGATCGGTAAATTTCCAACGTAGAGCGTGTTGCAGGGTGGATTCTGATCAGCAGGATTTACAGGTGGATAGTTGAGCCTAGGATATTGGTGATTGGTCTGATATGGCATATTGGGACCCATGCCTCCTATATTTGGTGACATGGCTGATGTTGGTGTGCGCAGATTCAGATTTGATCGAGGTGATATATAGCTTGTAGGTGGTGGCGAGGCCATATTGGTGTTCAGGGAAAGGTTCGAAAATCTTGAGACGGAAAGCTGAGGATTGGTGGGGCGTCGGGACAATGGAGACATGGGATTTGCCTGATCGTTGTTCATATAAGCCACAGGATCTTTGAGCAGCTCCCCTGTATCGTCGTCGTTGCTGTCTTGACTGATAACTGACTTCCCACTGATGCGTGAGTGTTCGGAGACACCATTACCAAGTGGAGACTGAGGTGAGAAAATGGTCTGGAGATGGGAGCTCCCGTCGGTAGAAGACAAATCCCGCCCGGATGATGCATCTGCACTTGATGGCGTGGGTTTCTCCATGTGGTGAAACGTGTCACCGAATCTTGAAGAGTGCCGAAGAAGCTGCGGATTCGACGGAGGGGAGACGGAATGTGCAGTATTCCGATGTCCTGGATTATCTACCGTATTTCGCCGGCTGAGCGGGTTTCCTGATGATGTATCGATAACTTTGACGATCATGACCTGGCCGGCCGTGACCGATTTGCCGTTCAACATTGTTCGCGCCTCGCTGGCAGCAGCGGCAGTCCGGAAACGTGCAATTGCAGTGGTGAAGCCTCGATCCTCCTCGATTTCGTTCGGAATGAAGTCCACCTCCTTGAGGTCTTTCGCGAAAAGCAGCATACTCCGCAATTCTTCTCGGCTGGTGTTGCGAGGTAGCTTGCGCATGAGAATAGCAGTGCCACCACTGGTAGCAGGCACTCTCGCCTCATGCGAGGCTGGCTGTCCGATTGGCGAAAGGGGATATTGATAGTGATTCGACATGTTGAAATGCTCCTGAACAATAGCGGGTTGAAAAGCGACAGCACTCATCGCATGACTCAGCAGGCCTTGAGCTGTTCAAGTGGTAACGACGTCTGATACTGAATGAAAAGGTAGTCGTTGAGGAACTGACTACTCTATTAGGATCAGACTCAGTGTCCGGGAGTGAGGTTGAAGTCAGGCAATAACCAGGTAAACAGGGTACTAACTTGTAGATTGCGTCGATAACGTTTACCTATCGACAGACTGAGAACACAAGCAAATAACCACAGATATGACTGTGCGAACTGAGATTGTGGTCAGCACGCGCTGAGCCCATAGCTTGCAGGGTGAAAAACCATACTGCGCTGGTGTGAGAGCAGAGGCAGACACTGCAGCCTTGGCCCCCAGCACGTTAGATACTTTTATGGTGATGCAGGAGACGTAGTAAAAAAGCAAGTATGATGTTGCCAACAAGTGATATGTGAAATCCTCTAGATGTCTTGCATCAAAAGCATCGATAGGCGGTCACGACTGGTGCTCCTGGAGAGAACAGCTCGCCGGGCCCAGGCAAGTAGGAAAAAGGACGAAACTATGCGATCGGGAGAGGGGTGGAAAGGTGATCTTAGGGTGGGTTGTTTTTCCAAGGGACGCGGAGGATTTTGGGCGGCGTCAAGTACTCCAGGTATTCCAGTCGATAGATGCGGATAGGAAGCGCTAGTTTGGGGGGACGATTGGCGCAGTCAGCCACCAATCCAGGTCCAGTCGCATTATTTAGTTTAACTGCAGAAAGATGGACACGGGCGCCGTGGGGGGCCAAGGACCATGGGTCAACAGAGGGGTTCCGCCGTTGCAGGTTTCAAGGTAATCGGTTATAGGAGCACTGTTCCTGGATTAAGTGGAAATCAGGACGGTAGGGTCCAGTTCCGGTCGGTCCGTCATGCCGTGTGTGATTTCACAGATAGATTGTGCCCAAGAGAGTATCTAGAAACATTGAATAGAAAGCCTTTGTCCGTGAGTAACACCCCTAGCAATGCGGCTTAGACCCCACCTCTACTGCGCATCTCATCAGCACGGACTCGATGATGGGGAGCACAAGCCTCGTGTTTCGAAACGGCAAGGATCATGCATCAAGCAACTTCCCAGGAACGGCTGATGGGCGATGGCCTTACCTAGTGCTTGGATGTACAGGGACGACAGGCACCGCATGTCGAGTTTCGCATGCACCACTCCCGGCAAACTCACCTAGGCTCCCCGCCTCTTCGCCAAGTGCCTTATCCTCAGGGCTGCGGCTGAATGAGCCGACGTTTCTCGTACCACTACTGTCGCGGCGACGCACGCTCGATCTTGTGACTGTCGGTTAGAAGTCAAACCAGGGAAAAATTTAATCGCAGCGGATGAATCGAGCAAGATTCGAGGTGTATCATCGGCTAGTGATTATCGAGCCACTTGAACGTTCTTCCAGGCTGCAGCGTGGAGGTAGGGCTAAGCAAAGTGCCACACCGGTGCGGCCTTTTAGCGTGCCCGTTACCCCAAACCTGGAATGAGCCATAGGTAGTGCGTAGCTAGCAAGTATTATCTTAGCCGATGTGGCTCAAAAAAAAAGAAATTTCGGGCGGATGTTTCCCCTGAGACTACCCCATGGGTCACCAAGCGCTGCTTTAGTACTTGAACCTGTCAGTCTGGGGCCATTATTGTGCTCCCAACCTGGACTGGAGGGGAGGTTGTGACTAGCGACCCATCCCCAAGCTAAAGAGCTGGATTAGTCAAGCTCAAAGCTCTATCAGGCCTACCCATCGAGGATATTAAAGTTTCTATCTACCGTTTCGATTTGGAAATTTGATTTGACATTGTTAATTGAACAAAAATTCAAGGAATGAGATTGCCTGCTCTGTCCTTTTGTTCGCCTGTGGTGTTATCCACCTGCTTCCAGCGAACATGACTCTCACATCGAGGCCCTTTCAAAGCAGGCGCATCTTTGTAAGAGCTGCAATCAAATCGTGTACGTCGGACAAGTAGCACGACGGTTCGGATACACACTTTGTCTCCTGATCATGCTTCTGTATCAAGTCCATTGTGTTCCACGACGTCCTTGGGGTCAGGACGAACATTTCTTCCGAAAGAACAGATACGATATTGCTGGTCTCCAAGAGAACACAGGCCTGTTGCAAAACGCTGGTTGAACGAAACACATCTTGTCCAGGACGGTCCCGAGCAAGTCCATTGAAGGTCCATTGTTGTCGCTGTACCTGTGGCAGCAGGGTATGTGACCACCTCGCACATGCTTTGCTGGATGATTGTTCTATGTGGTTGCCAAATTCTACACTCCGTTTTATATACTGACATTCTGAATGTACAGTAGCTGTGAGCTTGGCCATGGTAGGGCAAACCACTGTCGAGGTCAGCTAGACACCTTGCAGCTCTGTGCCGACGTGTTATGCTCCCGGTTTGTAAGCAGACAAGATGAAATCCGTGTCACAGTACTCCGTAAGCGTCGGTCCAAGGGACGACGGGACGCAAGATGGAGGCTGACGCCCAAAGCTGCCCTGCCGCGATCATTAATCACGAGCTTTGGCTCACCGCGGGGGCGTATTTAGAGTTCCGAGAAAGTTTGACTAGCGAGGGAGATTTGTGGTTATTTATCCTGCGGCAGCTGACCGCTATCAGAACAAATGAGCTTGCTGCAGCGACGTCGTACTGAATGAATATTGTTTGCAGGCTGAGCTTCGAAAGCGCTAGGCCGGGTATTACCGCCCTCGGCAGTGCAAACACGGACGTTATCACCAGCAAAAGACGTTTTCTGCCTTATCCTGCTTAGAACTTCTGACTTTTGGACTTTTGGGACCACAAGTCCGTGGCTGAGGCTTGGAAATCGTACCGCCCCCGGATCGGACAGAGGGTAGCTGGATCGGCAGCAGCAAACAAGGCCGGCACTACGTAGTAAGTTAGTCGAATGATCCTATCTATCCCAAGATGACACCACTTCCGATACAGCCCAGACAGACCTTGGTCTTGCGTGAAGTTTTCCGATGGCAACCTGCCGACAGCCGGGAGGGATGTTCTCACATGATGGATCCGATCGGTATGGTTATGTGCACGGCAACGCATGACATCCTTCTTCCTGGCTGAGCTACAACTATTGAATCCTTCCAAGCACAAAATCAACATCGTACATACACTGACCACCTCATTCGCGTCACACGAAAGTTGATGCTGGGCTGACAAGGCACAATAGACTCGCACTGTGCTCTGTAGCCTTTTGACCCACCTCAAAAGGTTGGGGCTTTTCAGACATTCAACATTCAAGGTCATTGCAATCCATCTCTTTGTGACCGTCAATTTGCCGTACTCGGATAAAGATGCTATGCTGTTGGCTCTATGCTTTCTAACCCGAACCCAAGCCACATATCATGATAAGCGAGAGCTCTTAAAGCCACCTCTTCATGTCTTGGCCAGCAACATCCGGTAGAACCGGCTCAATCGTGGTAATGGGTTATATCTTGATCCTCGGAAGTTCTGCGGTAGTTAACACTACACCGTCGGCGGATGGGCAATTTCCGCATGCTATCGACGAACCGTTCCCTATTCTCATTGCCACATCCGCCTCTGGTACTCCGCTATATCATCAAGCAATTTTCACTCTGTGCTTGTGTATGTCTTACTGTTAGCACACCGGTTCCCTTTGCCTTCTTGATAGGCAAGCGGAGTGATCTTGCTTGGTCGATTCCTACGATACACCAGTATTCCGCGATACTCTCACAACTTTGCCGATAGCCGGTGAATCAGCAAACACTGTCTGCGGTCTAGGCTCGTATGGAGGAATCCCAGCAGACCATCTGAGTCCCAGGAATACTCTGGGTGGGTGGAGACGTGGCTAAATAAGCAACACGCAGCAGCCCGCTTTCTTGAATTGGAGCAACAGCTGGTGTTCGGAGTCTGAAATTACTTGGATGCGAATAACAATAACGTAGCTTATGGTCCAGGGATAATGGACCAGCCTGTAGGGTCACTCGTTGCAAAACATCCGCCAAGCTCCGCTCGACTGTTCAGCGCTTCCTTCACACCTTGTCATACTATGCACGCTTATTGCTCCTCTGTCCTGAATCCAGTCGCAGACCGCATGTGTCCGTTAGCCGGGGCTGAAAAATGCAGGCGGGTGCACCAGAAGCATTTCTTATTGATCAGCCGTGTGCCAGCATAGCGGAAGACTCGGGTGTGTAAATGTATCGCCCAATACTTCATAAGCGTTCCATGCATGACCTCAATTGCTACCTTCTAGCACCACGCGAGCCTGTTTCTACTCTTACAGGGCTGAGCACAGCTCCTTACTAACTCCTCATGCGACATAGCGCCCTTCAAGAACAAATGCCTGGTGGGGTCGTCTCTCAACCACAGTCTTGTATTTCTTCTACCGTGCAGCGTCATGGCTGGCAATATTGCAGCCCGAGTGCTCTCAATGTTCGACTTTGGCGCAATCTCTCAAACCAATGGCCCAGGTAGACTATGTAGCCTGGAGGCCCCAAGATATCCAGCCTTCCTGAATGATAAAGCGAGCTCGGGCGAGCTTATTTGACTCGCAGAAATAGTGACACTACGCAGGTCAGGTCGTTATCTGCTCGCGACATCTTTGCACCCCATCCTCCTGCGGCTAAATTGTACTCTGCCATTCGAGGATACGATCTTGTCAGGACATTTCCAACTCAGATAGCCTGATCTGGCCCAGCGGAGGAGGCCCATCTACCTGCTAGATTCATTCCGACATCGCTTTGGAGCTCCGCGGCTATGTGAGAAGGTGGCACCCCAAAGTATCTTCAGACATTCACGTCAAGGAAATTTTGCGGGACAAACTTTTTGTCATATTGACCACTTCTTCGACTGTCGCCTGCCTGATAACAGCCCCTCTCCACGATCTTCCCTCGATATGAAGACCTTTTCTCTTGTTCCTGTGCTGCTGGCTGCGAGCCTAGCCACTGCCGGTCCTACCGGGCCTGTAGCTATCTATGGTGTTCTGCGTGGCGGTCCCCCTGTCAAACGTGACATCCTCCAGGGCCGTATCGGCACAAGTGGTCGGTCAATCTAGCACAGATTGTCAGAAATTAGGACACAATCTATACCTAATTCAGGTTGCAACGCAGACAGTGTTCTCCGTACCCTACAGAATCTCACCCGTTCCGCCAGCGCGAGCGTTTTCTGCTCAGAATATCTCTAATCCACCTTGACTACCAGCACCACCACAGGGGGATGAGCGCAACATCAAAGACCGAATCTGCCGCTGCCACTACCACTATCACGGCTCTGACCGCTGCCATGACCACGGCGATGGTCACTTGCGCTGCAGCGCTCACATCACCCCTTACCTGTGGCTCTGCAGCCTACGGCTTCAGTACCTAGCTGATCGGTTCAACGCTTTTCACGGATCCGATCACGTGCCATGAAAATCGCCTTGCGAATTCGAACTGTCAATCGTTTTCAGGTACAACTGGGGGCTCTATTTATTGCAATCTGTTCCGGTCAAGGAGAACAGAGCTTATACCGGCAACACTCCAACTTACCTAGCTACGGTTCCAGCCAGTCGCACCAGCTCTGCATGTAGCTGCTTCATCACAAGCCCCTCCGCCCCGGCTGCCTCCATCGTTACTACGTATGCTACTGTCTCCGTGGCGACAACTACTACTGCCACCGCTATGCAAACAGCAACCCGTATCGTTAGCACAATAGTTGTGGTGATTAACACAGCAGCTCCGTAAGCAAGGGGCGTGTACGGTGATTGTGGTGGTGCTTGTTGCTTGTTGGAAGGGCCAGATGTATTGAGTTCCATTTATATGACCGAAGAGGTAACTGGGCTTTGAAATAATTGGTAGATACTGTACAAAACTACTCTGTCAAATCGCAGATCAATAACGAGTCTTGGATAAACTGATTTAATCCCTAATCACCAAGCCCAGCTACCATTCACAGACTTGGCGTCATCTAGCATGCTTGAGGCTTGATATGGAACTACTGGTACAGTACGTAGTATGGTACAGTACTTACTTCTCGGGAGATCTACGCCTGCGGACATAAGGGTGTTGTCGTATGATTCGGTGCGAATCCAATTCACCGAAATCTGATTAACTTCCAGAGACACATAGCTGAGGAATGACAAGCAACCTAACATCCTGGGCCCTGCCCCATCTACAGCGATTGCTTCCTGTCGACGAGGAATCCCTCAAGGAGACCATAACCTATTCTGCTTCTCTATCGAAGGAAGCTGCCGCAGAGCATCTTAAAAACTTGCTAGGTGACTCGGCCCTAGCTTTAGAATTTATCTCCTCTTTCAACTCCCGCCGACCAGAAACAACCTATACCAACTCTTCGCAGCCTAGCGAACCAGCTGAGCCTTCACGACCTCAGACATCCCATGAGAACGGCCCGAGCCCTAGAAAGAGAAAGAATAAGAAGCCCAAGGCGCCACTTCACAATGCAGGTCCCCTCCGGCGTCCAGATAATTATGGCGATGTCGGGGGCGGGTACAACAAGTCTTCTACAGAGCAGGACTACATGCCCAAAGCATTGCGAGCAACAACGACAGGGCTTTCGCATTCTCTGTCATTATCGCAAGAGCCAGCTGCCTTACAAATCTCTGACCAGACGCATCAGATAGCCTCCTCGCCAACGCACCCCAGAGAGCATAGTCCAACATCACAACCCAAGCTGCCTCCATCCGCCTCAGGTTCTCTTATTTCAGATCTTCCGAACGTCAAATCCAAGGCTGCCAAGAAGCAAGCACACAGTTCTGGCTCCTCAACACCTCAAAAGACGACAACAACCTCCAGCATCAACGACCTTACTTCAGCGATTGCCCTCCTTGAACTCAGCACCAATCCGTCATTGTCCTCGGAACGACGAAGATGTCCATGCAATGCATCGATACATCCATTATTTGAAACTGCCCCCAACTGTTTGTCATGTGGCAAGATCATATGTGCGTTGGAAGGCTTACAGCCGTGCTCTTTTTGCGATAACCTTATACTCTCAAAGGAACAGGTGCAGACCATGATTAGAACGCTGAAGGATGAAAGAGGGCAAGAAAGAATGGCGGCGCATAATGCTGCAGCATCACATTCAGGCAGAGGATCGCCGATGCTCGGATCCCGTGTAGCAACACCCGAAAGTAGCGGAGATGAAGCCTCAGCGGCGGCTGCCAAAGCGCGGGCTCATCGAGACAGACTACTAGCATTTCAGAGAGACAATGCGCAACGTACTAAAGTGCATGACGAAGCTGCCGACTTTGATATGACAGTCACTTCCGGGGCCACGCAATGGATGAGTCCAGTGCAACGAGCAGCAGCACTCAAGAAACAACAGAAGTACTTGAGGGAATTGGGCGAAGCCAACAAGCCAGAGTGGGAGAAGAAGAAGATGGTCATGTCGATGAGTATCAGAAACGGGAAGCTGGTACGTACCTATGAGAACGTCAGAAGCACTGCTCCACCCGAAGCAGATGACGCAGCCGACGCGGCAGACGAGGACCAGGAAGTAGATTCAAGTATGAGCCAGACAGGACAGGGGCTGAGTCGGAACCCGCTACTTGCTGGTGGAGGGCTCATTCGACCCATATGGAAGGCGCCGGATGAAGAGAAAGGGAAAGGAAAGGTACGAGAGCCTACGGAACGACGGGAGACATGGAGAAGGGTTCAAGACGACAATGATGATAATGAGCACTGGATACTAGACGGAGGTATTCATGGATTCGAAGACGGCAGCAACCAGGGAAAGGGTTGAGCTTGAGCTATACGGATCGATCAAAGGGTCTTTCAAAGATAGCAGAGCTGCTGGCATAGCGTGACCACAGAGGACCGTCCATCAGATCTTGCCTGTGGAGGACCCCGCAGCTTGAGGTGCCCCTAGTCCGCCCCCCGAAGTTCAGGTGGGGGTGACTCCCATTGTCATTCGCGGTCCTCCGGTCCTTACCTCTCTCAAAGCCTAATTCAAAACAATTACTTACCCCAGCCTGCCTCTTCCAAGCACGACTGCTGAAAGAACCTGGCTCTCAGGCGACCTGAAATAGTTACTTTCTTCTGACTTCAGTTTGATCTCCTCACGTGCTCTCATCGTTGCCAAATCCTGCCCCTCTCCCCGCCCATGTTCTGCCCCGCTGCGGGCCTGCGAAGCTGGCTTCACGCAGTACAAGATCCAGAACCCCTGTTGCCGCTCACGACCAAAGCACTGGAGAATTCTCTAATCCTTACAAGAGCCGCCGTAAAACATTGGGTGCACAGAAGTTTCCTGCCTATCAACTTCTCCCAGCATTTGTTGTTCTATTGGTTCTAGTTGTCCAATTCTGGCATCCCTCAACTCCGAACCACCTAAGGAGCACTCGACTGAGGCCATTTGGTGATAACGTGCGAAGACAAGAAGCATATTTTGATCAGCTTGAGCCGGGTACACAGTGCAAACCTAGATCTCTTTTCTCCTCCGAGCTACCATATTCCCCAGCTCTGACCAACATGGCGCTCGCTGCAGAAGCAAAGCGGATTGCTGCAGAGTTCGACTACTCAACTGAGGAAGTCGGAAAAGGTGTTAAAGAATTCATCCGGGAAATGGACGAAGGTCTGGAGAAGCAAGGGGCGACAATGAGCCAGATACCCTCCTACGTTACTGCGGTCCCCAATGGAACTGAGAAGGTAGCGCGTCACGCCGGATATTGCAGAGCGTAATTGACAAGTTCTAGGGCATCTATCTTGCGGTTGACCTCGGTGGCACGAACTTTCGTGTTTGCAGCATTGTGCTGCACGGTAACCAGACCTTTTCTCTGACGCAGTCCAAAGTTGCCGTACCTCATGCTTTGATGGAGGCCAAGAAAGCACACGAGCTTTTTGAGTTCCTCGCAAAACAAATTGAGATATTCTTAAAGACCCATCATAACGACAAGTTCGAAGCTCATCGGCGTCGACCATCTCAGCAACAGTATCTCGACCTTGGGTTCACATTCTCCTTCCCAGTGAATCAGTTAGGCATCAACAAGGGAAAATTGATAAGGTGGACGAAAGGGTTCGACATCGAGGAAGCGATTGGCCAGGATGTTTGTGCTCTCCTGCAGAAAGAGATCGATGCCCTCAACCTGCCAGTCATTGTTGCCGCACTGGTCAACGATACTGTCGGAACGCTTATGGCTAGATCTTATACCTCTCCAGGCAAGACAGGAACCCTGATTGGTGCCATCTTTGGGACTGGAACAAACGGCGCATACGTGGAGAAATTGAATAGGGTGAAGAAGATGGCACAGATTGACGCCGAATTGGGCTCAGCGGCATATGACAAATCCACAGGTCTTATGATCATCAACACAGAATGGGGTTCTTTCGATAATAACCTGTCGGTCCTACCTGATACCCCTTATGACCGAGCGCTCGATGCTGAGTCAGTCAATCCTGGCATTCAGATGTTCGAGAAACGTGTCAGTGGTATGTTCCTGGGCGAGATTCTTCGTCGCGCCATTCTTGCTCTTTATAAGCATCAGGATGAAAATATCGCATTGTTTAAGGATACTTCCTCTGCTGATAACGACACATCATCATTGACCACTGTGGCGGAAGACTCCCCCCTGTACAAACAGTGGGGCATCGATACCTCTTTCTTGTCGATCGTCGAGGAGGATGCTTCTGATCGTCTGCGCATTACGAAGCAAACTTTAGAAAAAGACCTCGGCGTTAGTGCACCCAGCATGGAAGATTGTGTTGCCGTCAAAACACTTGTACATGCCATTGGAAAACGAGCGGCACGTCTTGCAGCGGTCGCTCTCGGTGCTGTGGTACTTTCCACCAACAAGCTGCAAGAGGATGATTTGGTTGACATCGGCGTTGATGGATCTCTTGTTGAATATTATCCTGGATTTGAGGATTATATACGGGAGGCATTCCGAGAGATTCCTGAAATTGGAGTGGAAGGCGAGAAGAAGATTAGAATCGGGCTTGCAAAGGATGGAAGTGGATTGGGAGCTGCTCTGATTGCGCTGACAGCGTCCAAAGCGGAGGAGAGGGGAGAGGTAGGGCTGACATGATATGCCTGGACATATCATCTCAAACTATTCAATACTTGGGCTAGGAGATCGACTTGGATCAAACTGTATATATTGAAGCCTAATCTACAACGACTGGATACAGCTCTCTCCACCGATGTAGCTGCAATGCGGTGCGCTTGTAGCCCAGTTCAGAGCTGTTCCTGCCAAGGCTTTTCTCCGAAAGCTCAACTTGAACCTTATAGAGCTATGCTAATTCGCTGAACTTAACTAACACCAAAAGCATATGACTGAACCACAACCCACGACCTAAAGCGTCCGTCTTCGGCTATGAAATAGACCACAGCTTCATTTGACCTACCATATCAAGAAGTCTTTAAGAGATGGGCGCCGGGGGCTCGAAGCCGGAGGGCGCAAGCAAGCATGTTTTCTCGAGGCAGGCAATTAATTCTCTACCCATGTTCTGGAAGCCAAACAGATACCCAGTTCCATGGACCCCTATGAATCCCAAGGAAGCTGACCATCTCTCTCACAGTAATCACCCCGTACAGTTTTCGCAAGAACTAGTCGACTCGCTACAAGCCTCATCTGAAGTACGCTGTGTTCCTCTCCTCGCAAGCACCTGCGCTGCTGCACACTTCCGCCCACCCTGTATATCATTAATAAGGGAGATATACACAGACCAACGCTTCGCGCGCCAAAGCCCTCGAACTGCACATCGCCTCCCGCGTCGCCGCCGAACTAGCCGCCCTCGAGAGAAAAGAAGACGAAACCCTCAGATCGCTGCGCGAATCCCTCTCCTCCGAACTCTCCTCCTCCTCCACCACTCCATCCAAGGACCAATCCAACGAATCTCGTCTTCTAGACCTCCCTTCTATCCCCGCACCCGCCGACGCAGCTGCACGAGAAGATGCGAGACAGGCACAGAGTTCAGCGAAGGTGTTTGAGGAGCTGGAGAAGTTGAGGAAGGGACTCAGTGAAAGGAAGAAGGTGAGGGAGATGCCGAGGGAGGTGGAGAGGACAAGGGAGGATTTGGTGGGCTGTTTGAGGAAGAATGATCGGAGGCCGTTGGATTGTTGGAGGGAGGTCGAGGCATTCAAGGCAGCTGTGGCGAAGATGGAGGAGGATTTTATCGGGAGGGTGTTGTAGGGTTATGATGAGCATGACGAGAGGGGAATACGCTAACAAGAAGCGGGTTGGTGGGGGATGTGTGTATAGTATGCTGGCTAGCATGGAAGAGATCCTATCGAGCCGAACGAAGAATCATCAGACTCATATAACAAGGCAACGTCCTTTTAGGTAACCCATCAAACGCTCATGGAGTCCCCCTCGTCCTTGAAAATGGCCTTTAACCTTGGAGGACGAATAAAGCGGGTGAGCGAACCAGAATAGTCTGCTTAGCTACAGGGGCAATTTGGGGGGGTATATTGATATGGCTACCAGGGCGTGGCCGCAACGTGGATGGTTAAGTTCGTCATATTGGGGGATATAGAATCCCAAAGATGGTGAGAATACCAAGGACGAACATATATTGAGAGCGGGATTCCAATGCCTATTCACCTGGGAGATCTACCCAGGTTTCCAACGGGCCGATCAATCAAGGTCTACTCTAAACACCCGTTCACGACTGATGTCTGTGTATCCGACCTGGCGGCCACGATGCAGTACGGGGCTCTGCTCGCACACAAAAATGTAAATGCTACTACAGTCCATCAATGCTATGCAGGAAGATAGCAGTTGTTCTGGCAATCATGGAGACTTTCTGCGCAAGCGAGTCTATTACATACACCATCCTCTTCCAGCGAAGTTGCGCCGTATCATTTTCAGCAAAAACATAAAAGCCATTGATATCTTCATCGAACTGGAGCAGAGCCAAAAACATGATAACTTCAATCCTGCTGGATACTGTGCATTGCAAAATTGTTGCGAATTCCTTGGCGGGACCCTCGAATTGCTGGCGCCACGGGGCAGAATTGTGGTGAGGGTAGAGGATGGCCATTTACCACCTAATTATCGCAGTAGAATGCCCAAAATTGCCCGGATAGAAAAATAGACCCTCTTGTGACTTTGCTGCTGAAATTTTGAGATAGAAAACTATGGTGTTGAATTGTGAGAAGCGTTTAAACGTAAGGAGAGCTCCAAAGCGCCTTTATAATGCAAATAGAGAGGAGGATAATAAGGAGTACGCGTGCACCACGGACAGCGTTTCGTTCCGTTGCCCTCGAGGGCAAGCAAGACCTGATAGAGGTGTTGGTAAACATCCGTCTTTGACAGGAATACCGATCCGCAACCACGCTTCTCTAGAGGACACATAGGCAACCCATCGTGGTTTCTTGGTAGAGGAATTATGTCACATTTGATGCGATTGTGGTTTCCAGACAAATAAACCCCAATGCGGCGAACCTTATTGAACTCGATATACCATGGGAGCGACGTTGAATCCTCCGTAGTGCCTTCGGTGTTGGGACGTATGGTAGGGAATGGGAATCCAGGCGGCAACGGCGAACCGATTTGTGGCGAAGGATGCTTCGCTGAAGCTGTTGTCCATTCAAGCCGTGCTAGGTCTGATACTCTGGTTGAGAAAGTCGGATTTCGGAACTCAGCTGGGAGTTTTGGGAGTTCGGCTTGACATCTTGCCCAGAGGATTTGGTGCCCAGAGGATTTGGAAAGCATAGCTTTCCCCACTTACCGCCTCATGTATGGTCATGAACCCACTGCTGATTGCTGCAGTTCTGAGTTCTAATGCTAACAGATGTGTAGATTCGATATGTAGGAGGAAAGTATTGAACCCATTTTCTGCTCTCATGATAGACCAACAGAGCGGACACTGAAACAGAGGATGTTTACCTCTCCGCTTGGCAGGAGTAACGTGACGTACCAAATGGTAGATGCCATCAGTTGCAAACGCGTATGGCCATTAGATTCCCTCGGGGCAGAAAGGACAGTGACGGTCTATGGGATCAACGCTCAGGATGTTAGTGAGCAGACAAGCGACAAGCGAATAAGCCGACGGAAAACTGCCTTGAAGTATATCCGGGCAAGCAAAGCTTCCATCTGCTTGGATGACGTCGATACGCCTGTCCCTTATTTGGTGAAACCGTGGGTGAAAATCTGTGCCACCATCCCGAACACAAGAACGACTTGAAGAGCAGGGTCAGAGCGAACCCTAAGATCCGCAGGGTCCTGCCGCTGGATGACAGAAGTATTGCGATGACCCTCGACCGTCGCATTGACAGAGACTTTTGCTCTAGACACCATGATTTTTGAATATGAGATACTAATCATCTGCCGGATAAACGCATGGGCATCAGACTCTCCTTTAGCCTGCAGCACCCCATGTATAGCCAAGAAAAGCTTCTTGATGTTATAACACTGGTCCGGACTCCCTTGAGTGTGGATAAAGTAGTGTAGGTTCAGATCAAGGTAAGGGGCGAAGAAGTTGACGAAACCATATACGTTTGTCCATAGTCCATTTGCCGTACTCACGGCGACAATGACTTCTTCATTGTTGGTCTTAGACTCGTGTAATTGTTTCAAGATCAGGCTCATGCCGAGATATTTGCTGCCCCACGTGGAATGAGGACTTGCGTTGGTGTTGGAAGGAACGCCGTTGAGAGCAACACTGTGCATGGCGTGCTGACAACAACAGGCGGTATGCGTATGAAGATGTACCCCGAAGACATAATTGGCTATGTCTTTGTTTCTATTATCGAGAAATTCGTTGGTGGTGCCGTTCCTCGAACTCATTCTGGAGACTGCGATGATGGCTCTAACACGGCTCATGCTACAACTGGTTCGTCCACCACAGTCGGTAGGAATAAGAGCCGCGAATACCTGTGAGCTGGGTTGATGATGTAAAGCTGTGCTTGGGAGTAGATATATAGAGTAGAGACGTTTGAATGGTAGTGGGTAGGGTGTGATTAGAAGGTTACCCCACTTGACGGTCAGAGGCAGAAAGGTGATTGCTGTTGAAAGTTGAGTGGATTAAGAGGGAGAAAGTCCTATATCATATACTGAGCAAGAGCGTGGCAGATACATTCAAGTTAATATTCTCCATTGAAGGAAGGTGATCATTGAAGGAAGGTGACCATTGAAGAGAGCTGACCATCAAGGAAGGTGACAAGAACAGTAACAAGAGCGACCCATTGAACGAGAAAGCGAAAAGCACGAGCTGGAACGTCTTGCTAATCCTGTACCTAGAAAACGTCGAGAAGGTAGTTGGCACAAACAATGTACTTCTGGATGCAATTGCATGGAGTATGGTACAACACATTTTCTTTATTTGCATTGCGTACTTGGAGGAGCACTCCTGCCTGACGTGGTGGGAACATCCTGAGCCGCTATTATACAACTCCCTTTAGTTTTAGAAGATAGTCGGCCTCTGGATGAACTCCAATCTTCGTACCGTGCATACTGTGCATTGATTGTGTAAGTTTCATAGCACGAGGGAGAGATGGTCATCGAGGTTTACCTATGGCGTGTGCGTGGACTGTTTCTGGCAATTTAGGAGCAAGGTTTTAGGAGGGCACAATAATTATATCTATATCACATGACATACAGAAATGTGCTCTGCAGAACCGATAGAGATTGGTAATTATTTACTCAACGGTATTAGAGAACAGAAGTTGGAAATCTTCATCTGGAATAGTGACAATTTTGGGGTATCTCCGGGTAAAGGTGTTGTGTTTGGGGCTCCTTTGCAATTGAGGATAATCTATGTTAATACAACCAACATTGCATGCCCCGTCTTCCACCGTTGCTCCTCCGCCTCGCAAACAGAGAATCCTACTTGCTCCCCGCTCTCCTACGTGAATGTCGAGACCTTCCTTCTAGTCGTAATGAACTCCGCTGGCTGACTGAACATGCGACCGAACAAGCCGAAAAGCTAAGGACCACTGATCTCGCCAGTTCGCCATCCCGCACTCCTGACTCCAGAAATGTCTCTACACCATCTATTCCCTCTAAAAATATCCCAGGATGGCGGAATTTACTACGCGACTATGTGAAGCGAAGAGAGAAGGGAGAACCTCTTCAGTATATCCTCGGCACACAACCATTCGGAGAGTTGGAGATCCTCTGTAGACCGGGGGTCCTGATCCCAAGATGGGAGACTGAGGTCTACACTTCCAAGATTGGTTTACTAGCGAGAACTTTGCTGGTCGAACAGGTTTGGGAAAATAGAGATCAGGAGCTTGGGAGCTATGAAAGACCGTTGAGAGTGCTAGATCTATGTACGGGAACGGGCTGCATACCGTTGGGGATCTACGGGATACTTAAAAACCTGAAGATAAAGAGCGATGGAAAAAGTGAGTCGAGGGGTGGAGGGAAGCTGAAGCTGGAGTTTTTGGGTGTGGATATCTCGACCACGGCGTTAAACCTGGCGAAAGAGAATCTACGGCACAATATCTCGCTCGGGTACCTACCAGAACAGGCAGCAGATGAAATAGTCTTTTTGCATGCCGACGTGCTATTACCCTCCCCCCCTGCACCTCGACCAGCAGCACCATACCTCATCGATGTTATCGAAGAAGTCCTGGGTAAGGGCATTGGCAAGCCCGAGATTGACATCTTAACCGCGAACCCGCCCTACATCTCTCCTATCCATTTCTCATCCGGCCGTACCACTCGCTCCGTCCGCCAATATGAGCCACGTCTTGCTCTCGTTCCATCATCATGCTCTCCTCAATCCTCCACCTCCACGCGACTTGGGTGGTCCACCCTCACCTCAAGCCCATCACCTGGTGATGAGTTCTACCACCACATCCTACCACTAGCCAAACATCTGAATGCACGACTCACCGTATTAGAGGTCGCAGATACAGAGCAGGCGGAGCGGGTGGCAGAGATTACTAGAAGGGTATTCCTAAAAGAAGGTAAAATGGTTGGAGAGTCTACACACCCAGAAGTCTTGATCGAAATATGGTTCGATGATGGAGGTAGTAAAGTGTGCCTGCCTCCAGATGGTGTTGGTTTGGGCCTTTTCGAGTCGAATGAGGTGAGTGCTCGAGCTGTTGTGGTGTGGACACGGTGTTGGGCGACGTCACGGAGACAGCAGCTGGAGTACAGTAGGAGGTAGGCTTCCAGATGCGCTCAACGATCGAACAAGTAGTCTTCCCTGACGAAAATGAAGCTGGTCGGGTATTGTCGCCCTGGGTCACTCCGAGAAAGAAGTATTATGTCGTGCGCATACACTTAAAGAGTCCAATCATACGCAAACAAGTTTCTACTTTGGTGAAGGTGGGAGGCGGTGGAATGTGCTACCGGAAGATGGATTGATACTTCGTTGACCGACCTGGACATGACTTCGTCATTTGCATCAAGGCCGGATGATATTCAATGGTACGAGAACCGAAGATTGCTAGCATTTGTTCAGGAATCTTCTCAACAGGGCAGGGCGCTCCCAGAGGCAACATCAGGCCTTCATGACTAGCAGATGCCAGTTGATCAGGCTGCAACCGCTGTAGTGACGACTGGTTGGCCTGTCCGTTGTTGTCTGGCACGAGGACTATCCGAAATGTCATAGTCCTGTGAGATGGATTCGCTATAGGGATAGCAATTTCGTTCTCCTCGTCTGTTGCTCCTCCTTTTATGTTCTCGCTATTCTTAGGTCTGCTGTATGTCTAAATACGATGAACGCCGTTATCTACGTTGCTGCGATGCTCGGTCGCATCACAGAATTTGACGTCTATTTAGTCTTGATGAGGTAGTATTGAAGACCCTTAGTTCTGGTTGCTTCCTTGATGCCACTCTAAAGGGGTGTAAATGCCAAGACTTCACTAGAAATGTGGTAAATTCGCTAAAAGCGAAGTTGATTCGTAACTACGAAGTACAGAGTATATAATACTGCTATAACCTAAAATTATTATATGATTGAAACGAAATTTCTGTATGTTGCTTGTTTAGTTTAGTGGTAAAATACGGTCTTCCCACGCCAAGAGTCTGGCCGTGTCGCTGGTTCGATTCCTGCAACAAGCATTGAATATTTTTGCATTGGCCACATAGCCTTGCGTGCATCAACGATTCTTTCCGGAGAAAATTGTGCACTTTGTACTTGTCAGTTGGGTTCCCACTTTGGGTAATTGCTACTTGGCATGCAGGCTTGGCAATTGTTATTGGCGTTGTGAGGCCTTGGCACTTGGCACTACATTCTGTGTATATATTTCATCTTTTGCAGGATCGACCCTAGACTCCTAAGCATCATACGTCAAGCATACCATATCAAATTGCTCCACAGCGTTAACGTTGGGCAAGTTTTTGGCGAAAGAGCATTGGATTGCCTATTGATATGAAGGAGGTCTACACCACCAAAAGCTTATAATGATTGTGCACACCTTCAGCCCTGCCTTGTCCCTGACACTGATGCGGAGTCCACATGGAGAAATTCCATCTATGGCAAAGCTAGCCGAACATGAATTTACTTCCGAATTGCCACTCGACATGAACTATTCATTCCGGGGACGACCCCATGTCCCCTAAGCAATCACCATTCCCTTCATATTTAACCCTCGCAACCCAGTAAAGCACAAGTGTTGCCTGCACCATTGTTGCGATATTGCCAGCACTCATCAAAGTCTACATTACTGTGCATTGGAATTGCTGCCAAACTAGTCAGAGTTTTGAATTGCAGACGATTCCATCGGGACGAGCACATTGTAGGACACAATTCTACGTTGAACTCTAGCTCGTACAATGGAATGAATATGGTGAGTGACTCAGGGTCCACGGCGAGCATCTACTTATTTGCGACACCAACTCCGCCAAGCATTTCTCTTTTCCATCCCTCCGCTTATCTTTCTCCAAGCATCCTCTTGACGAACCATAGAGATGAATCGTTCCTTCATATTATACCTCAAGACGAGCATCACTATATTTATAAGTGGAACGCCAATCCACAGGACGCAGATGTCATTCATAATACAATATACTCGCACCCAAATCTTGACCTCTCCAAATTCCATTTCCACTTCGAGACCTGAGCACACGTGACTATAACCTGAGCGATGAATATGTAGCCTGGAGCTGTGGCTGTGCAAGACTGTTCCGAGCCTGAGCAGCCCTGCGCATCGACTGAGTTCTACCTATATACTCTTAGCATACCTAACATAATCTGTCTCAATCGATATTACCGTCTACACTACTTTGTGATCCTTAAAGCCACGAGTAACTAGTGAATGTAAACAACATTAGAAGACTCACTTCCTAGCGTTGACAGGCTTCTTCAGCCATGGATACGCACGAGGTAGAGGCCCGATGATGAGGTTGAAGGGAAGCCAGTATCCCAAGCCGCGGAACGTCTCAGATGCTTGAAGTTGTTCTAGCAGGGCCAATATTGAAAAGACGGGATAGATTGCCCTAAATGCCACTCCCAGTCTGCGAGAAGAGAGTGAAGGTATTTAGTTCAGCGCCAGTTTGGTGTTGTCCAAGACAGCGAGGTCTCTGTTAGCTCTTAGGGCGTAGTGGTGTGGAGAGAAGCAGAAGTACAGACATTTCTTATTTCTGCTCGCGAAGCTGCTTTTGGGTATTTGACGCTATATCGGAATATGTCGTACGAAATACGTCAGTCTGCTCGGTCGCCTGGTAAGCGAGACCGGGAAGATCCTATACCGGTCAGCCGGGCAGATCTGATAGTGAACAGTCGTCTCGGTTTTGGATACCGCGCAGAAGACATGGCTAGACGCCATCAGGGGCATCCATAACACGAAGATAGGCCTCGCCGCCGCCTTTTTGAACACCATTGACCACATAGCCATGTGGAGGATGGCCAGCAATGCGGCTCCAACAACCCTACAAGCGGTATCACGGTCTTGATCGTCGAGACCGTGAATATTGGCAAAGTGTAATTGGTACCGAGAAGCGGAAATACCGCGCAAGTTGAAAGTACCTCTGTGTTCTGGGGCCGAATCGAAGATGAGAATCTGATGTACCGCTGCTACGCCCGAATATAACGCCATAGCTGCTGCAACGCTGGCAAGCCATAATGCATGATTTTCGTTCAGGACGATGGTAATGATTATGGTCGCTATTAGGAGGCCGCAATAGATGTGGCGCTGGTAGATACAGTACTGACCGCTACGGGGCAAGACGTACAGGCAACCTGCCGGATCGCCCAGAGTGGAAGTGTTGGTAAATTTGGAGGCATTACGTTGAAGATCATGGGGAGATACAGGTGAAAGCGGTAAGACTGGAGATCATTAGAATGAACATACAACAATATCTAGAATAGAAGTCACAGAGCAATGTTGCCCATCTTGCGGGCGTAGTAGTGGGAGGAAGATGGTCTGTCTCTCCGCTGAGGAGCACTAGCAATACGGGGACCTTCGGACCGATCACAAGCGTGGAGCACGGTTACTAAGAGGCCCGGAGGCCTGAAAATTGGGATATCATTGCTTATTTTACCCCACGTGTCTGGCTGCAATGCCTAGAGCTCAGGGCTAGTATTAGCGTGAGAGTATTATTAGGACCTCTGGACCGGAGGACCCTCGATCTCCTTCTCAAAGCCCTCCACCCTATTCCTTGATACCACGTTACATGGATGAGGCTCTACTCATGGAGTGCCTCATCCACATTCCCCTCTCACCCAACAGACTGTGTCCCTTGTTGCTTCATTTCAACTCCAAAAATCCCGTGACGTTCTTCTTTCGGAACGCATCTGCCTGCTGTGCATTGAGGTTGAGCAAAACCAGTCGGCCAGCCTTGTTGTGCCCCCATTCTTCACAAGGTCAATCGCAGATTTGGGCCTGATGCGAGGCTAAAGTAGAAGCGCTTCGGAAAGCTGCCTCTCTCGTACGGCACAAACATGGTATTTATATTTATAGCCTGTTTGTTCGTGGTGCAGCCTCAGCTATCCCAATTCGGCAGCGTTCCTGCATCTAGCCAATTCTGTTGCAGAGGCTCTCCCACGTCGCTGCGCGAGTGAAATGTAAGCCCTCGGTCTAATCCCTCTCCCTCTCCCTCCCCTTCTCTCCTGCTCTCTCCCTATTTCCATTCAGAGCTTCATATTCGAATTTTAACCCTTCTCTTATTGTTTTCTGTCTCGAATCCGACCGAAGCACTACTCCCGCAATCATGCCTTTTGATTTCAAGCAGTTCGACGTCAAATGCTCAGCCATGACAGCCGAAGAGCTTCAAAAAGAATGGGAGCACTATACGCGACTGATATCGGGGGCCGCCACGTCCACTGCGGTCTCGGGCGTTGCCATGCCCCTTACTCTTGGTGTCAGTGCCATTGGAATCGGTTTGGCCGCGCCTGCCATTCATAATGCTCGCAAGAAAAGAGAGATCATCGAGATGCATCTCAACAGACGCGGCACCAAGCACAGTACGAGGAAGCGCGACGTCCTCACCCCTATGGCTATAAGTGGCACGGTCGGCGTGGTAACCCTGGGCGTGGGATCTATGGGCGCAGATGCAATCACCAACAAAGCCGTTGAGCATGGCGTGTGTGCAATAGCGGAGCAGGAGCTGTTAGTCAAGGCTACGACCCATCTCGCTGTCGATGCTGCAGCTATGGCTGGCGAAGAGGCACACATGAAACATAAAAAGGCAGCAGAGGCATACAAGCCTGCCCAAATGCCAGTCGCGCTCAGCACATATGCAGGAAACGCGCCCAGTGTATCACAAGGGGCACCAAACCTATGGAATTCTCTTCCAGCACAACAGAGCACTCCCTTGGATTCGAAATCTCCATACCTCGACCCAAATCAAAAAGCAACTCCTCATATTTCTATGCCTTCAACCCCGATCCCGCCACCATATATGCCCGATCGCCCCGACCTAGAGATTTATAATGCACCAAAGAGCGATTCCATCTCCTATTTTCCACAGCCTCCAACATCTCAACAACCCGGAAATCAATGTTATTCAACTCCAACATTCACTCCAGTTGTTCGGCCTTCGTTTCTCAATGGTGATTCTACTTCAATGAACTACACTTCCAGTATTAGCTCGCAAATGTCGCAGCTTCACCTTGGGAATACGAATTACCCACCACCACCAACGTCACAGTATTCCGAACATCAGCTGACGATGGGCCCCTCGCCCTTCTCACCTTCAGCAAGCCCTTTCTCGGCGAATTCAAACCTTTCACAGTCCTACCGACCTCCATTCCAAACATATACTCTCTCATCACCTCAGAGTGCTTGTGGATCGCAAGCTCCACAAGATTCCTACACTTCGCCCGCCCCGCAACCCTTCTATCCCACCCCAGTCCCAACTCCTCAAGCAGAATCAAAGCAGTACTTTCCCCCACCACCGCAGAGCCCCAACCCGACGCCTCGAACAGACTCAAAACCGCCGTATCTCGCACAGCCTCCACAAAACTTCTATCCCACGCCAATCGCGACCCCTCAAACAGACCTAAAGCAGTATTTTCCGTCGTCTCCCCAAAGCTTTTATTCCACGACAGGCCCGACGCCGGCATCATCACGTCCAACAGAATCCAACCCATATTTCCCGCCACCCCCCCAGTCAGCGACTTAGGGTACTTCTGCTGTAAACACTTCTCAGATCGAACTGAGAAACGTGCGTCAAAAATAAGTAATGCTGTGTGCAGTGAAATAATGGGGTGGAAGAAGAGGCAACCTCATTTTCGAGACCATGATGTCTGGATAGACGAAGGCTAAATTTGGCTAGCTCTCCCACAGAAAGCCATCCCCAGGCAAGGTATGAATATGATTTGTGGATTCTTGCATGAAGAGAGCTGTATGACGCAGTTCAGTGCCAGTACTCAGTAATTAATTCTGTTAATGAAGATGGTCCCTGACTTCCATGTGTTGTCATAATATGTCGAATTGTCAATGTGCTCAGGATTCACGATAGCTCTTTGTCACAGAGAGCACACTGCATGACCAGTGGCCTTTGTTTGTCGGAACTTCTGCCGCAACCTGTGACACCTTACGACACTCTAAATATTTATGTAAAAGATGACTGGGTAGGTGCACATTGCTGTAGTTTATTGCAGTACCTTGACTTCACACTGGGCGGACATGGCAGTGATAAGAGGATTGGAAATGGGTGCACCATGTAGCCAGTCCGAAGATGTTCGCGTTCATTCACTCCCTCGATCTTATATACCTTGGTGTTTTCTGAGCGTGATGATGTGCTATGTCTTTGGAAAGGCGATCGATGCTCTCGGAGGGAGAATCTGCAATGCCGAACCTTGTGGGCTGATTCGTCATGCCATTCGATGATCAGCAGAGTAACATGGTTTTCTTCGCCCTCGATGACTAGGCAGAAGCAAAGGCATCTCAAAGTCGATCCAACATATTACCATATCTTTCAGATGCGTGTTATACAATTACACCTTCTACAAATTTTGGTAAGCATCTCATGTGTCCGCTGTGTTCCAGCACGCTCAGTGCAACTCTTTTCCAACTTTATTGATCTTGGAATAGATCGACCACGCACGTGGCTTTTCTCTTGGGGACGAACTTGCCGATGTTACTGACGGGGCCGCGAGTGGTAAACCCAGGTTCGACAGCAAGAACCCACCATTTTCATTTGAACGCTGGGTGGGGAAGGCAGGTGGCAAGTTCGCAGTTGGTGATAAGATCGCAGCCGATGAACGTAGTGGGGAATCACTGCCTAACGAAACCAGCGATGAATTGTGGTGCTGTGATAACGGAGGTGATGTGGCCTTCACAGAAGACCTCCCGCGTACGTTGGGGCTCTTCTTGGCTTCTTTCAGAAAAGCTTTGATTTCCCGCGACCCACCAACGCCTCTCCTTGCGATACTACCGGGTGTTCGACCCATCAAGTCTTCTACCTCTTGCTCGGCTCCCCAATCCAGTAGAAGCTTCACCGCTCTTGGCCAGCCTGAGTCTACTGCCAGGATCAATGGAGTCCTTTTCCCTGAGTCTCGAGCCTCCAGATCCGCCCCCTGAGTCAATAAGAAATCCATAATAGGTGTATTCCCGCTCTCCGATGCCAAATGGAGTGGGGTCTTTCCCGCGGTGCATTTCGCATTGATAAGGCCTTCGCGGTCCTTCTCCAAAACCATCGCGACAATCTCTCTCCGTGCGGCGTCTACATTGTCAAGCGGCCGGCCCTGAGCACGGTGGAGTGCATTGCGTCCATGCGTATTGTAATCCCTGACATTTGCGCCTTTTGCCAACAACTGCTTCACGATGGAGGTCGATTGTTTCTCAGCAGCTAGCATGAGGGCGGTATCGTTGTTGGAGTCACTGGAAGATCTCGCGTTGACATCGGCACCCTTCCCTAGCAAGAACCGGACCATCTCTTCGTGCCCAAATGCTACCGAAGATATGAGCGGTGTCATGCCGAAGTCATTTTGAGCGTCGACATTGATTCTGATGACCTCGTAATCACTCCACAGAAAAAATACTATCGCTGGTAGGTCCAGTGCCACTGCCCATTGAAAAGTCTTCAATGCCAGGATATCTTTGGCTTTACTATCCTCGAGCTCATCAATGACATTCTGGACATCCTTCTCTGTGGGTTCGTGCTGTAGGGTCATCAGCATCTTCTCATCTGAAGGGCCCTCCTGTCGAATCAGGTGTTTGAGAGCTTCTAGCCTAAACACGGTAGCCTCGGTCCGGTTGGCCATCTTATCATAGATGTTGGACAGGAGCGTTAATGCTTCGATGATCTTGTTGTCACCCACCCCAAAACAGCGTTGTCGTCCATTGTTTGCTCGATTGGCATACCTGGCAGCAGATTCGTACATTCCCTGAGCGAGGTACGTATATGCCAAATCATAGTCAAAGGTCCATGCCTGCGGCGAATCTGGCTCCACGCTACCCAGAAGACGTAGGAGGATCTCCTCGGCATGCTTGTACATACGTCGCTCTAGCTGGATCTTTGCGAGCGTTCGGAGCATGTCATGCTCATCCTTGAACTCAACTCCGTGATTTTGCTCCCTTTCTCGTCCCCATCTGATGGCCTTTTCTTGAGCTTCAGCAGCTCTATCATAATCTTTGGCTTGAAGATATCTCTGGGCCTCGTTTACGGACGTGTTGATCAGATCTAGCAAGAAGTTCTTAGAAAATCCTTCTTGGCGATCTGGTATCGTTTGCAACCTGGTTATTTGATCGCTATCGTACCCGGAGTCACCGCGGCTCTGAGACCGAGTCTCATTCGTATTGCTGATAGTCACAGCGTCCGGTTCCGTCAGACGAACCGGCTCCCAAGACGTTTGTCGCATCACCTCGACATGCCACGCAGGAATGTTACCTGGGCTACAGTGACGAGCGGCTAAAGAGGAGGGTGTAGGTCGGTAACGGGCGGTGTATGCCTCTCGGACGCTTCCAGCGGACTCCAGACACTCTCTTCCGCTGAGCTTTACTGTGTCCTCTTCTAATCGAAATACAGAGCCCTCTAATTTGTGGTCCCGATTTTCAAGGGCATCCTTGAGATTGTCCATCTTCTGGTTCAAGGTAGTGATACCAGCTTCGATAATTTCTTGTCCTCTCTCCTGAGCTTCTCCTATGCCCCGCAATCCGTCCCTGTGATAGTATTTACGGTTATTACTAGAGCTTGCTCTGTTCGCTTGACAAGGGACTTACAGCTGTACCATTTGAAGCCACAACTGTAAGGTAGCCTTCAAAGCTGGGATGTCCTCCCGCAGTTTTGAAAGAACACTGGAACCAAGAAGCGTGTGCAATTGAGTCAGCGTCTGTTGGACAAAATTCCTATTCACGTTTCGCGGCTCTGGAAGCTGCCGCTCGATATCTTCGATTGTCCGTTTGCATTCGTCGACATGTCGTTTCATTGCACGACTCTTGGATCTATCAAACGACCGTTGTAGCCGGAAGTCTGTTCTGGCGCCGAAATTGGCTTCGACCTTCACTAACACATCTTTGAAATCGCAGATCTCGCGATGAAATTTCCTTACTGTCTCGTCCGTATGGGCTGAATCGCGAAGCAGCGGCACTAGCTTGCACACGACAAGATTGCACAATGCGACAATGGAGGCAGCTCCGGCGGCAATGTCCAGGCCACTCATGGTGAGTACAATCTCGCTAACCAAGCAATAACCATTGTCATATCCGTCAGATGAAAAGTTTTTCAAATTATGAGTTCGGCACATGTATCCTTGGCTCGCAGCCTTGTCATGGTGGGGTCACCGCTGGAGGGAACGTGACATTGGGGCCATACATAGCCATGCATGAACACTGGAGGTCGAGGTGCAAAAGACCTCGTGGTAATCGGGACCTTTCCCCGAAACGACAAATGAGCGAGATGGCTTCGCGAGGTAAGGCGCCTTGCAGCATCAAAGTGGAGACAAAGAGGGGGCGGACCTCGACTCTGTGGGGGACCCATGCCACTTCGCTGCCAATCATTCATGCATCTGGTGGGGTTCAAGGTGTGATGAGCAGACGTTAGTGATGTAGCATGCTCGTGGCTGCTGCATGACCGTATGATTATTGCATATGTTTTCATAGCATGCCAGACTTGACTGAACCTAGGATGTGGTTCATCCACATACCCTCCATTATCGACTGATCAGCCTAATTGTGATTGGCATCCAGTTGTCTCATACAGCATACAGTGGCAGTACTAGGCTGTATTGATGTGTTGGCATACTACTCCGGTAGGATGCGTAAATAATGTGAACGTGCTCACAGCTTGTAACACCAGGAAGAAAACGTCACAAATCCCTTGATTGGGACAAGCTTATTTACATGGTGTCAGTGGACATCGAGGAGATAGGCCCCATGTACAACGTTCCAAGTAGCTATTATAATCAGTTACAGTTTTTTATTTATATATTTATAATCATCTTCATATGTAAGTAGACTATTATGTTCATTCAAAGTCACATCATAAGTTGTAGTGGTGAGAACTCTCAAGAATTTCGGCCCCTAGCTCCGGGCCAAGCCGGGCCGGTCGGGCTGGGGGCCGTCGGGCTGGGGGCCGTCGCCCCTCGAGCAATCCTACTACGTACTACGTAATCGCGGGGTACTTTTCAGCCTCAAAAACTCAGCGCATGGTCCAAAAAGGTGCAGATTTTCGACATGCAACGCTAAACTAGACTGCTGACATTCTGTTCTGAGACATGGTGGACCAACCCAAGCTCGATTACGTAGTATTTCCGTGCTACATAAGCAGGGGAAGAAATCTGGTAGGGGCCGTCTAATCGACATTCGTATTCAGATGGACAAGGCGTCCCTCTGATCTCATCGGTGCTCCATGTGTTCTGATGAGGGTCAAGGTACCCAGCTTTGGTCGTCACTTATAAAATGCCCCATTGGCTGATTGCCGAGTTGTGCAAATACCAGTGGCTCGAAGGCACGTCTGGGCTCGGTAAGGACCAAGAAAGCAAGGCAATGTAAGTGTCAAGACGCCACAAACGGATATCAGGTTAGTAAGTCATGGAAGTCCCTTGGGTAGGGACATAATCCAAGAAGCCACAACCCGAATGGTGACCTCAGCACGGTTAGTCATCAGGCTGAGTTGACTCCCATCCCATAGTTGTCCACAATGCTCAGGCACGAGCTTCGTTTCTTGCACCCTTGATGCTATTGCTTTCTACCCGGATTGATAAATCTCTGCGGTCTTAAACAGCGCGTTCACAGAAGGCGTTCTATTTACGCAACCACGAAGATGGCTCTGCCCCTTGGGCCCAGAAACCTCGTGAATTTAATCATACTTCCACTCAGATAACGATGACCCTACTGACACGTTCACAAGCAGGCAACTGTTACTCAGCCTCCAGCCCACTACCCTGAAATTGATATGAATCAGAATACACGGGCCTTCATTGAGAACCCTCTCCGCAAATATACACCAGAAGCCCTGGATGCGCTCGTCAATAGTTTTATTGAAGAGATGGGACTGCACGACCTTGCGGATTCCTTGCACAAAGGTGCCCAAACAGGCCGCGATCCGTTTGCACCGCAAGTGGCGAGAGACCTGGATGAAAACGAGCTGGAAGCTTTGAAGGATGAGAACAGGCATCCGTTTCGGCATCCTCCCAAATTCTGGCTCACAATTTCTCTGCTATGTTGTGGTGCCCTTCTCCAGTAAGACATCGTTCCAGATCAATGCTTCACCTGGCAAGTTGACACTCAAACAGAGGATGGAGCCAGGTCGGTTGCATGCTGTTATCTTCGGTGAAGAAATAATACTGAGCTCGAAAGGTTGGGATAAACGCTGCCAACATCGCATGGCCAGCAGAATTTGGCATTGATGAAACAACAGATTATGGAAACTGGGTATTTGCCCTTGTCAATTCCGCAGTCTACTTTGCCTCTGCGCTGTTTGGTTGTTGGCTTAGCGATCCCCTGAATAACATCTATGGCCGAAGAGGATGTGTACTGTTTGCTGCAGTGTTCAGCTTCGCCGCCTCCTTGGGCGCAGCATTGACGCAGAACTGGTGGCAGTTGCTTCTTTGTCGGATTCTCTTAGGTACCACATTTGTGTCCCTGATTGCTCCTCCCATCCAGGTTACCCATCAAAGGCTCTAACACTCACTTTAGGTCTGGGCATGGGGGTTAAAGCAAGTGGTAAGTATAATCCCAGAGCTCATTTCTTATATCAGAAATTGAGAGTAACGAAAACAATCTTTGCAATAAAGAATCTGTGTTTGACACTTTCCAACCCACATACCTGAATACACTCAATTTGTCATCGATAAGAGTTTCACTAACTCAGAACGCCCATAGTGATTCCCATCTACTCAGCAGAGGTTTCTCCCGCGTCAGTTCGAGGAAGCATCGTGATCGGTTCATGGCAGGTGGGGTGTCTAGTGCCCAATATAATGCTTGAAGCTTACCGCAAATTAGATATGCGTGGCTCTCGGCATTTTTCTGTCTGTTTCCCCAACCCCGAGCATTCTAACCATATCTTCCTTGCTCATCATGTCAAAATGCAGAGGATGGAGCGCGAATTTGGCTATGTATCGGACCGGTAGCATCGCCTGGCGCCTCCAGATAGGCTCGGCTTTCATTCCATCAGTGCCGTTGTTCTTCATCTTTTATTGCCCTGGTAGGAAGATAGCCCAGAATTTTACTACACGCGCTCATCAATCGCAGAGTCGCCGAGATATCTCATCCGGAAACGTTTGTTCCCCAGGCTTGACGAGGGACTTGCTGCCAAAAGCCCCTGTCTGGATCTAGCGGAGGCTGACTCTGGAGCAGATGAATATCGCCAGGCCTACCAAAGTCTTCTACTTCTTCGAAACACGCCTCTACAAGCGAGTAGAGACCTGATGTTGATATCTGCTCAAGTTCGTGTTGAACAAGAGCTTTTCAGAGCTTCAGGAGCCACTGGTAAGTCGTGCGGAGCCTCGCTAGATAGATGCTGACTTTGCATAGGTAGGATGTATGCCAAACGTTTCTTTCAGCTCTTCTCTCAGCCTCGTATAAGAAGAGCGACAATGGGCTCAGCAGCAGTGTAAGTCGCTTTCTATTCATCTTCGCTCATCGTCGTGACTCACTCACGTCTGGTAGGATGCTGTCACAGCAGCTTTGTGGCAGTTTGTCTCCCCATCGAATCTATCGGTCGTTTTGTAGCTAACCTTCTACCATTCAACTGTATCATTTTCTACTCAACGACTTTGTATGTCAACGCAAATGCAGGTGAATTCACCTCGATGTTCGTGTCCTGGGGTATTGGGCTTGTGAATTTTTTGTAAGACATGAGAGACACAAAATGGCTGGTTTCCGGTGCTTATGCTGGCTTCAGATTCGGCCTCCCCGGATTTTACTTTATCGACCGTGCTGGTAGAAGGCCACTTCTACTCCACCTATACCCACATCTTGCTTGGACAACTCTTGCGGCTGCAATGAGCTATTACATCCCTGAAAATGATATCGCTCGCTTGAGAGTGATTATCATGTGGGAATTTCTCTTCGTTGCCTTCTATTCTCCAGGCCAAGGTCAGTTTCGCGGAAGCGATCCCTGCCGCCTCCATCTCTCATTAGCCCGTCGTATCCGCCTGATTGCTCGACTGACGTTCTCTTGCAAGGACCTGTTCCTTTTTTATACTCCGCAGAATCATTCCCGGTAACTCACCGTGAGGTTGGCATGAGCTTTGCAGTAGCGGTGAGTCTCGCGAGTGAATTTTATACTAATGCACCAAAACGTCGAATGTTTGAGACGTTCGGTCTTTCACTGTCTTCCCTTAAGCTTACCCTCTTGCCGCTCGCTAACTGAAGCAGGTCAATCTATTCTTTGCGGGAATTTTGACTCTTCTGTTTCCTCGAATGGATCATGCTATTGGTGCTGTTCGTTCATTGGCCACCTTCGCGTAGGCTTTACCCTCTACTCTTTCCCTAAAACTGTGGCCATGGGTTGACGAATACATCACCAGGGGACTGAACCTTGTGGCTTGGGTCCTGATATTCTTTTTGGCCCCGGAAACAAAAGAATACACCCTTGAAGAGCTTGATTCCGTCTGTAAGTTTGAGTATTTAGCCACAACCCCTTTTGAACTGACGGGACCAGTTGGTCTCCCTACGCGACAATTTATACATCACAAAATGGATTACATATTCAAACTCATAAAATCTCGGATATTCCGGCAAGAGGTTGTCTTCCAAGATCTTTATATTGACAGAAGATACACGTAGGGTATGTAATTGTGGTCAATATTACAAATCGAAATGGACGAGTTTGGGGCGTGAGAGACAGCTAACAGGATTTAAACGAAGACAGCAGACTGTCTCTGAGTTGTTCTTATTGATAACTCTTCGATTAATTGAGCAAATCTTTGTATATCTTCAGCAACGGCTGGGTTGCGAGCGAGAATATTCTTACTGAAGACGGCAGCTCTGCTCTCAGACGCGGTCGAGCTCATCAAACCTGCTATTGCAAACCTTGGAGTCGTCGAGCTTCTTCGAACGGGAAAAGAGGTCTACTCCGAAAGCGATCCTCAGAACACTGAAGGACTCTCACGCAACAGTGCTGGCCCAGTTAGACAGGTGGTAGGTTGGTTGATGTCTTGAGATTTCCCTTTTCCTAGCCTACTACGAATGTTGTAGGTAGAATATGACTCTGTCCGTGCTGCGTTCCGAAGAGACTTTTGGCCAGGAGAGTGACTGGTCCAGATCATGTGGCGGAGCTATGATTGACAAAAGACTTATGCTCTTGTTCCTACCGAACCCCTTCAGCACATTCATCAGCGTGAAGGGCAGCTCAGTACTCGGGGTCAACATGATTGGTGGCGTTGCTTACTTAGCTTCCGCGGGGAAACCCACAAACAGCAGTAGATATATCAAAAGTTCTTGGTGGTTCCTCGTTGCTCCAATTTCTATGGCTTTATAAACAGCTGGTGGCAGGCCGGTCAGTTTGCACGTCCGACGTGATTGACTCTCGTTCTTTAGCAACTGTCAGATCATACTAACTAATGTATGGACTCCGGTAGAGAAGCTAAGGCCATGATATAGTGGAATGAGATTACACGGCCCATGGTATATGTACATGGAGTGCTCTATTTGGTCACCACGTAGAGCGTATCTGACCAGTCCAACCACAGGGCCGCATCAGCTGTAGGCTTCGCCAAATTAAGTTTAGCGCGTCAAGAGCTCACCGCCTAGCTACGTAGTATTTTGTCCGTCCAGCCCATCCGTATGCTCCTGAAAACGGAATACGAGCCAGCCGGACTTGACAGGCAAAGTCTTACCAGATGTGACGTTCAAGAGTTCGGAGCCTTGGCTGTCGGACAACAAAGATGCAGGATTACCTGAGCTGGCAGCAACACTGCTGGGGGGCACCGGTCACCTGGCTCATAAGGGCCAAGGGAAAGGCAATTATATATATCAGCTCGATTCAGCTAGGTGCGCCCACTCCTCTATCGTCGGTGAATCATCCTCTCAGTGGAAACGATGACTCGCATTTTCAACCCCTGGCCATCAAGTCTGCTCCTCTCTCTCATTATCTCAGTACACGCCATCAACAACCGTCATAGTCACGGCTCTGGACTCGCAACACCAAAAATCGACACTCACTCTCATATCTATCCCGACTTCTACCGCCAGGCAGTGATAGCTGCAGGATGGACTCCAGGTCCAGACGGCAACCCTGCGCCGCCCGTATGGCCATCATCCCTTTCGCTGATATTGCTGACTCTTACAGAATTGGACCCTCGAGGCACATCTCAGCTTCATGGATCACAATAACATCGAAAAGAGCTACGTCAGCTGCTCCAGTCCAGGCACTTTTCTCGACCCGGAGGACCTGGCTGCTGGAATCTTGTTGACTCAACAGTTCAACAACTTCACCGCCGATCTGAAAAGGCAACACCCAAATCGTATCGGATTCTTTGCCTCCCTCCCCCTGCCATCAGTTCCTGACGCACTCAATGAGATCGACAGAGCATTAGCCCTTGACGCCGACGGTTTTGTGTTCCTGTCCAACTACTATGGCCTTTACCACGGCGATCCCAGGTTGGAACCAGTTTATGAAAGGCTGAATCAACGAGGAGCCGTCCTTTTCATCCATCCAACCACCCCATGCCCGCGAAATGCGCCCGATGTTTCTGGGACGTCGAGACTCGACTATGTTGCTCCACTGATGAATGTCTTCTCGGCTCCAACACTAGAGTTCATCTTCGATACCACCAGAACCGTGGCCGATCTCATCCTCTCCGGCACCGCTGCTGCACACGCAAATCTGAAATGGATCGTACCTCATTGTGGCGGTGCTCTGCCGTCCGTGCTCGACAGATTCCTTCGAATATCCAGTATTCTTGGCGCAAAGCCTGGCTCAGATCGACCAGCCGTTCCCTACAACATCACAACCGCAGTTGCGCTAATGAACAGGCAATTCTGGTTTGATCTTGCCGGGTTCTCAATGCAGGATCAAATCTGGAACATGAAGAGGCTCTTCGGAAGCGACAAGTTCACATACGGCAGTGATGTGCCTTTCACAGCTTACTCAGCTGCAGTTGCTTTGACGGGGGATATGAATGCAACTCTGCCGCAGCTGTTCAGTAAGCATGAAATCGAGATGATATTCCGGGGAAATGCTTTGAAGTTACTGTCGAAGTAGCACATTTTGAAGACGAGAAGGAAGGGAAAGGACATATATTTAAAATCGCCATAGTGTCTCTAAGATGAATCCAATGTTCTCCATTCTGATATTCAATGGATATTGCCCGTTGCGAAACTCTTGCAAAAATTTTAGAGGTGGTGCGGAGTTGCTGGCGCCGCATTGTCAAACAGAAACAGCTCTTGTGACCCTTCTAGATATCAGGATCAGATGTATGATATAGCAAAATAATGCTGAGCTTCTCCTGATTCTAATAATATGAATCACTAATGATATGTATCTTAATTGACAGAGTTGACTTTTTACATAATAAATTCTACTTCTTCGAAAAGAATTCTCTATATTTTAAATTATATCAGAAGAATCAAAAGAATCTCAGTATTATTTTGATATCTTAGTTATATAATATAGATCCATAGATGACCCTCAAGAGCTGTTTCTGTTTGACAACGCAGCGCCAGCAATTCTTGATATAACGCTAAGGATTTGCAACACTTTCGTAATGCACAATACTTACTGTTAGATACAGGATGTCAGCTAAGCGCTGTGATTGTCAGAACCCCTGCGTATATGATACGTATCTGTTACGTATTAGCATGATGATACAGGGGTCCCCGCATGCGAAACGCACGAAACGCTCTTGTAACTTTTACGCCCTGTTATTTATGGCAGTGAGCATTGCTATACGAATTGAACGCCAAATGCTGTTTCTGAGCTGTTGCAGTAATGCGCTTCCATAGCTATTAGTGTGAGCAAATGCTCCTCTTGATAGGAGTAACTCAATCAATTCAATTGGTATCTCCGTACGCTATTTGCTACATCCTCTAACAGTGATAGACTGCTAATTAGTAGAACGGCTTTGCGAAAGTCTGCAAATTGATATAGTAGACCTAGTCAAACTAATTCCTATTTCTGATTTTGCTGGTGAAGTATACTAATTAAATCTCCTAAGCCCTTTATTGGCCTATACGCGTGAGCGATCGCTAGTAGGGATCATAGTCTATGTGACGAAGGCTGCGTATCTGATGATCTTGGGGAAGAAGTGGATAAGGTTTTACAGCTGTACTCTAGATCCTAGAGACCTGTTAGTAAGATTCATAGGATGCTGTGCCTTTGGAGAACAGTCTACGTCCTAGGAGAACAGCAAGTCCTGACCTGCGAGGGATCAGAATGATGAGCCGAGGACTGAAGGGCAGTCTAGAGAGGAGAAGCTGAAGGGAAAGCCTCTATAAGTGACGAAGATTCTTAAGCGTCCTGAAACCGCCCCGGCTGTTTTGCGGCCTTGACGCCTTGTTAGGATAAAGACAATTTTGGGTAGCAGAACGACCACTGTTATCACGCAGAAGAGGAAGAACCGAGAGTCAAGGGCAGCTAAGCACTGCATAGGGGCTGTGAGCATCTCTGCGTTCGAACGATTTTCTGCCGTCCCTAGTACGGAAATGTTCGCTATCACAGTAGAGGACATTAAGGAACAGTAGAGAAATAGGCTGCGCTAGAACCAGACCTATAGAGGTTTTGCCAGCGGAGCTTCAAGAATTCGCGGACGTTTTCTTAAAGGAGACATCAGATACTCTTCCTGAATGTAGGGAGATTAAGCTAGAAGACGGTGTAAAACTGCCTCGGACGCAGCCTTTGCGTAGGATGAGTCCAGAGGAGCTTAAAGTGGTTAAGAAATATGTGGAGGAACATCTAGAAAAAGGGTTTATTAAGTCTAGTAGTGCTTTATTCGCGTCACTTATTCTTCTGGTAAGAAAACTGAAAGGGGAACTCTGTTTCTGCGATGACTTCTGGGATCTGAACTCTGTGACAAAGAAGAATAGTTATAATATCTCTAGGATCGATGTAATAATAAGTCTGCTAGAAAAGCAATAATATTTTATAAACTAGATATTCGGCAGGCATAAGTATCATCACATTCGGCTGGTTACAAAAAATATTGTAAACTCATCATGTTTAATACCACTTATGACAATTACTAGTATAAAGTTATCTCATTCGGATTGACCTCTGCATTAGCGACTTTTCAACGCTTTATAGACGAGAGGTTTATAAAGGTGCTGGGCAAGTTCATAGTGTTGTACTTGGATGATATCCTGATCTTTAGTAGCTCGTGTGAGGAACATGAGGATCACGTACGAGAGGTTCCAAAAATCCTCCGTGAGAGCGAGATCCAAGCCCATATTAAAAAGTGCGAGTTCAATACGCTTTCTGTCAAGTTTCCCGGTTTGATTATTGCTCCGGAGGGCATCAAGATGGACGCAGACCGAGTACGAGTCATCAGGGATTGGGAGAAGCCTAAACCCGGTGAGCTTGGGGTCGTACGAAGGTTCGTTGGGTTCATTATCTTTTATCGACGTTTCTGTTTGGGATTCAGCAAGGCCTTAAGGCCGTTAAATGACCTGCTGAAGAAGGATGCTGGATGGATTTGGGACGACCGCTGTACGCAGGCATTCCAACTATGGTTGTTGGTACTACTGCTGAAAGCGTCAATTGAAGCATTGTTGATATGGCTGTTATGAAAAACAACGCCTGTTGAATAAGTAATCATGATGATTGATGGCTTTGAAGCTGACAGAAACGAAATGTGTTGCGAACGGGGCAGTTGGCTCAAGACGCCAACACTGCGTAATAAGTTGCCTCAGAAGCTCAGACCTCACGCGATCGACCTCAAGAACCTCTGCAACAATCCGGGTGGTCCACCTCCTGCTGAGAGCGAGGACTGCTTTATCTCAATGTGCTTACCCCTTCTACCCTTTCGCCTACCGGTGGCAGAGCTGTCTTGTTCTAGGTCTATGGTGGGGGCCTTCAGTGAGGACATGCATCTAGCCTTTGGTACGATGGCACTGTTCTGGCAGCATTTCAAGATGTAACTGTTGTCGCTGCTAATTATGGAACCAATGGTATGCCACTCCTTTCGAGCTTATGACCCATTCGAACCTTTAATGTCTGCGTAGTTTTTGGCTTCTCGTATTCACCTCAGTTACCCTTGACTTCTCGCAACGCTAGCTTCCTTGACTCACGGAAAGCTCTTGATTGGGTTCAAAGGAATGTAAGAGCTTTGGCGGTGATTCCAGAAAGGTGACACTCTGGGATGATAATAGAGGATTTGGGACTCACGTGGACGTAATTTGAGTCCGCTCTCCATGTACTGGAAACTGATGATGCTATCGATGAAGAGTCAATATAAATATGGTCTCATGTGTATTTTGGTATATTTTTGCGCTGTCCTGGATGAAGCTATCCAACCCAGGATCGAGCCTGGAAGATTCGACATCGCTGCGTTGTCTATTAGCCTTTTATTTCAGTCTGTCTACGCAGAAGCCCTACGCCTTCGCGTTGCAATCGCCAAACTCCACCAAAGCGAGTTTAGAGATTTCACACTCGACAAACACTGATTCCCAAAGAAGAGAATAATGATATTGATTAGCCCTACAGCAGCTCTAAGCCAGGAAGCTTAGTCCGCTCGCCTGGGAATCATTGAGGAACCTCTTACAGAGTTCTTTACGGATAGATATCTGGTGTATCCTGACAACGTGGACCCAGCCCCTGAGGACGGGAGTAGTGCGGAGGAAGCGGCCGCCAAATCGCCCACCAACTAATACCATGGCAGACACGAAAGCCAACAGAGTCAGGGAATCCGCAGCCGCAATTTCTCTCTCGAAGGCTTGGCCAGTTGCTGGCTTCCGTATGGTGGAGGCCAGCGCATGTGTCCTGGTCGTCATTTTGCTAAAACCGAAATCATTGGCGGACCTTCGATTCTTTTCTATGGGAGGGCTCCCGCGGATCAGCAAAGTTCCGGTACGAATCAGGGAGAAACCGACTGCAAGACTCGAAGTTTAAGTATTAGCGGGACAGGCCCTGGAAGTTGCCGCCCCATGTTGTAACATTAATTAGAAACCCGGGGCATCGGGCAACGGTGCTATTCCTGGGGTAGCGCGCCATCTTCTTCTGAATCCTGCTTGGACTTTATCATCATCTTCCTATTCCGTCGTCCACTGAACCATAATTGTGTTGTGGAATGGGAAACAGATCTCAATTGATTTATGGTGGCCCAGTGGTTTATTTACTTAGTCTTGCTGACTCCGTTCAGTACTTATTTCGCTCGTAGTGTAGCTAGGAGGATAGTTCAACGCTGCCAAAACTTCAGCTAGGATAGTGGACTACCAAGAATCATGTGAGTTGATCAATTGATTCTGAGCCTCAAAATGCCTTAAGTATAGTCACGCTCATTACAGGCTGTGATTATTGCCTTGGATGAATGAAGATTTTGCATCGAAATGATTGAAAAGTCCATTTGATCGATTTTGGTAATGTGAAAACCACTGTAGTATATGTCAACCCCTCCCCCCCTTTCCACATTCTTTAGGCCTGAGAGTACTACACCACCTAGCTAGCACACTCCCGAACGATATTATGATATTTGTCGTTGGCACTCTCTAGACTTGTCTCCGTGGAATAGGTCTCTGAGTCCAACTTGTGAGCCCTGTCAGACATGTGACTAGAGCCACCAAATATTTTTTTGACGCCCCTCAGACTCAACCTGGTCAGTACTAAAGTTGAAATCTGCATTGGTTTGTCCTCTGAAGTCTTGTCACCCTCGCTTCTTGAAGAGTCTTTAGGAATCCTCAAGCGAATTAGTAGGTACTGGAGGGCGCGGCTGATGGCAGCCCAGGGTGAGCTTTGTGCGACGTGGTGGCTTCTGTCTAGGAAGAAAGCCCGGACCACCAAGAGCGAAGACATGGTGACGGCGATGCAGCCCTCGATGTGTAACAATAGAAATACCCATGTCATCATTGTCATGTTTAATTCACGGCCGGTGCTAGGCCTGTGGATGAGTCCCCCGATCATGCCAACCAAAGAAACAATAATCATGGCAAGCGAGATACATAGAAATAATGCTAAGCCGATTTTTTGATTCTTTTTCATCAAGGACTTGCTGAGGACGTAGATAGGTATGCTGATGACTGACCTGACTAAGCGCGTGTTTGGACAGGAAGCGTAGGGCGGAGCACTTACTCATAGCATCAGTTATGATATCCAGCACTGCTGCAACTATGCTCGGCGCCATATTCTTTGCAAGCGAAGGATTTCGATAACAAGTATTGACTACCACGGATGGTTGGGTTAGAAAACTAATGTTGGGATCAAGCCCACTTACCTGCATCTAAGCCAAAGTTTCGGCACGGGATGAGTGGCTGAAGGAGGAAAAGGATCCAGCAGCATATAGTGAAAATGACAGCAAACCAGTAGTAGATTAAGAACTTTCTGGCCATACCGAGGAGAAGCGGATGGAAAAAGGAGAAGAAAGCCAGCTTGATGGCAAAGATGCAGCTCCAAGTCAAGGCAACGTAGATGTAGACCCATTTCATGGTGTTAAGTATGGGCATGATCTCAGTCCTCGTAGGGATGAAGCCCTCCATGCTCATTGCTTGGACGAGGAATAATGCATCGCACCAATGATACAGCACACCAGTGGCCGCACCGAGCGAGAGAACTGCGAAGAGCACTAAATAGTCGTCCCGGTAGAGAGTTCGGCGACGCATGGCCCGGGCAACAAGGCGAACAAGGGCCGCGACAACGGCAACGCCGCAGAAGACGCCAGTGATAACCTGGGGATGCCATTCAGCAGACTGTAGAGCCTTTGTTGTACTGGGAGGATACTTGCCTTGAACGATAACTTGTCGATCTGGCCAGCATGGTCAATCATGTATTGCCTAACAGGATCATTCGATGGTGGAGGAAGATTACCGAGTCCTTCCATTCTTGGCGGTAGAACAATGGAAAAAAAAAACTGTCAGACGAAAGGGTTGGAATGAGAAATAACAACAATGTGACGTATAAAAAATGACTAAGTCAAGACGGAGAAGAAGAGAAAGAGGAGAGGAGGAGAAAGAGGAAGAAGAAGGCTGCCATTATAGTCTGATCCTGAATCTGAACCCCCCATTGATGTCACACAGATTGCCAGCTTGATTTGGATGCAGCAGCAGCAACTGTATTGATAAACGATTTTCAGCTCACAAACATGAGGCTGGGGTCCAAGGAGATAAGACAAACAAGTAGGTGGAATGGACAGGGTTTACTACGGTAGGAGGCATAATGTTTGTCACCTGCGTACTAGTAACTGTTTGTAACGCCAAGATAGAACGCCACAAAATCGCTCGATTAGGACTAGTCTATTTTTCTCAGTATCGAGTGTGCATTCCTTTGGCATCAACAACTGCCTTGCATCTTGCTGGCATTGATTCAAGCAGCTCTAGAAGGTAGCTCGCTGGTACAGCATTCCAAGCAGCTGTTATAGCCTCTCGTAGAGCATCATAACCTCTAAGATTGTCATCATAATGCTCTTGAATCCAATCCTTCATCTAATTCCAAACACTCTCAATTGGATTCAAATCAGGAGAATATGCAGGCCAATTGATGCAAATAATGCCTCTCTCTTCAAGGTCTCAAATAGTGCCTTTTGCTGCATAAGCAGGAGCAGAATCTTGCATAAAAACTAACTCTTCGCCTTCGTTTTTTTTGATTTGAATCCAACCGTCAATTATAGGGAGAATCTTTGCTTGATAGCTCTCTTCTTTAATTGTACCCCAATCTTTCTCCCAAAACAACCCAGGTCCCTTAGTATTGCCATGAAAACAGCCCCAAAACATCCACCCTTTACGTCGTTGAAAACGTTCGATAATGCAAGTAGGGTCCCATTCCTCGCCAGCACGCCTTGTTACATAGGTCTTTGTATGACGATCACCATTGACCCATGTTTCGTCGCTCCATAGAATCTTCTTCTAATCATCAAAGGTCCAATTGAGATGTTCAGTTGCCCATTGGAGTCGAGTAGCTCGAATTCGTTCGGAATATAGAATCTTCTTCCAATCATCAAAGGTCCAATTAAGATGTTCAGTTGCCTATTGGAGTCGAGTAGCTCGAATTCGTTCGGAAATAGGGGGCTTTCGACGTGCTACACGGCGCGTAAAGCCTGCGTTTCGCAGGGCTCTTCGAATGCAGTAATAGCCAACACTAAGCTCAAGGATAATAGGGATTTTGATCTAAGGGGTACGTCGATTAGCCTTAGAAGAACAGACCCATGTAATGATATTATTAATCTCTTCTTATGTCAAGATAGAGGGTCTTCTAGAGGACTTTCTAGGCGTAATTGGGTGGCTAATAGCATATCGCACTTGACGAAGAGTAAGATTGAGTTCTTTGCTGATTCGGTCTTGTGTTAAGCCAATATTGCGTAGAGTCTGGACTTGAAGACGTTGATCACGAGTAGTATTTGGAGGAGGGAGGAGGAGGAGTTTGAAATCTATTAGAGCTATTAGTAGAATTCATTGAACAAATAGAATTTGCGAAATTCTTAATTGGAATCTTAATTGGAGTCAAATCCGCAGAATAAATAGAATTCGTAAAATTCGTAGAATCAGAACGAATTTGGTAGAATTCGTAGATGGCGCAGAATTCGTAGATGGCGCAGAATGAGATACAATCAGTAGAATAACGCGTAAAATCAACAAAACGCGCGTAGAATGGCGACAGTGAGCATTCGTACAGAGTAACAGGATATCTGTATGAGCGCTGTTAATGACGTTACTTACTAGTGCGCAGGTGACAAACATTATGCCTCCTACCGTAGTAAGCTTTAGTGTGACGTAAAAATTATGCTACAGGGGTAGAGCCCTAGAGCTGCCGCTATAGTCCCCTTTTTCTGTAGATCCTTACGGCCCTCTTTAGGTTACTTGATGTGGCTCGGCAGTCTGCGTTAGTTAAACTTCAGCGATCCGCCCCTTCTAATGATCTTTACGTCTCTACTGACTACCACCACTGTGCTAGCACAAGAAAAGCTAGCTTCTATCCATCCTAGTAGCGTATATTGATGACTTTTGAAGTACGACTCCGTACTCTGTGCCGTTGTAGATAGTTAGCCGTGTGAAAGGGTCTGTCAAACGTACAGAGCTATTGATTGGCCGTATGAGGGATTGCTGTTGGTGGTCTGTGCACTCGCAGCGCCTTTTCGTTTAAAATCCTTCATTCCTGCACCTTTTGAGAGAGAAGAGAGCGATTTCTTCTTAACTGCTTGACAGGATCTGTGCCCAGTTTTCGCCATGGAACCTGGGTCTAGATCCTCAAGATAGCAACACTAGTCTACTTAAGGAATCTTGGCATCTCAACCAGAACCAAATGCGGAACTAGTACTACATCAATCTCAGCCTTAGTTGGGTCGAAGAACTCAAGTGCTAATTACTATGGTACTATGTAGAGATAACCACCTCTGGCAACAGCCTCTCAATGGCCATAATCCAAGGAACTGGCTCTTCCGCTAAGTCGCTTTGTAATTTAGCTGTGACCGAGTTGTTGGTGCTGCATACGCGGTTCACCTGCTTCAGACCTAACTTGCCATAGGATATCTCCCCACCATTTACGGTCTATCAGCCACATGGAGCCTCAATGCGATACGAGAAAGAGTGAGGGGTACTATGGAAAAGCTCATGTAGAAAACAGAGAGGATCTGGGCCATCCATCGTGGACTCACTCTATCACTGACAGTATCCTTATCTCGCTACATTCATCGCATTTGCTGCAAGGATGGCTTCAAGCACTGAATCATATATTTACACAGGTATGAACCTCTTCTCGTAAACAAAAGGGCTCACTCGAACACGTCAAGCTAGGACCTTGGGTCAACTGGTCTCATGGGCTCATCCGTGGTGCTACCCTCACCCTTCCAAGGGATTCTGGTGGCCTGCTTATAGCCTTTCTTGCCCTTTTCGTGGGGTTGGCAGGCAGTTGTTTCTGGTACATCCTTTGCTATTTCTTGCACCAAAGCAGAGCCAGTCGGGAAAAGAAAGATGCATTGCACCACCAGCAGCAGGCCATCATCCGCAATAACGCCGGCCCCGCCGTGACTGCTTGGGAATTTCTGCGCCTCGGATGGTACTGGCGAAGTGCTGCGCAGAACCCTTTCTGGCGATCACTATCCTTGGTGGTTCTGGCGTCGCTCAATCTTTCAGTGTTCGGTGTCGCTAGCATATACTCATCAGAAATCACCAAGGCTGCCGGCAATGAGTCGCTGATACGGGGATCCACATGCGGTTTCTGGCTTGCTAGACCCGATGGTTCAGTAGAAGGAGAATTTGGTTATCGGAGCAAATCTCTCGGTGATGCCATTTCTGCCGCGTCCTACGCCAGAGCTTGCTACAATAACACTCGACACATACTGGAATGCAATCAGTACGTAAATCAACAGTTAAAATGGTGAGTGCTATCCTTACCTTTGTCGCTACTGTCCGCCAATCCTACAGGTAGGACCGTCAATGCAAATGCATCTTGTCCGTTTGCTCCTGGACGATGTATGATGGGCGCCAATGCAGCTTACGAAATGGACACTGGCCCTATCGATAGTCACCTAGCTCTAGGTATCAATGCGCGAGAGAAGGATAGAATAACCTATCGCAAAAGAGTAACTTGTGCCCCCATCTTCGGGCGGGATGTGGGGCGTTTAGAGAACGCGACGGACCAAAACAATGGCTTTCCTGGTGATCAGATCTTGCGCTATTACTTTGGGTCGACCGGAGTTGCCAATCATACTTACCAGTACAATACCCGTTCGCTGGTCGGCAGATGGGATTATAGTCTGTAGTGAGTTCGAACCTTCTGATACTTTCTGACTTTACTCAAGCTCACTGTCATCTCTACAGCAATGTTGAATCAGGCGACCCTTCAACCGGGCAAGGGTGGCAACCGATTCCCCAGTTGAGTCGCACTGATGCACAAGTCTCCCTCTATTTCCTGAGCGCAAATGCAATAGAATACACTGCTCCGGTTGACGATCCTTGGTTCTCGGCTCATGAAGAAGTTCTCTTTGACAATATCACTCTTTGGGCCCCAGACAGTGCTGTCCGTGTTCTTGGCTGCATCGACCAGGACCAAGTCTGCAGCGCCACAGATTCTAAGCAATGCACTCCGCTCGGAATGCTCGCGTACGCAGACCTCAATGCTCTTAACCTCAACAGTGCGCAGCTGGAGACTGCACGGCGTGTTTTGTTAACCATCTTGCATATAGGCATTCCGAAGTCTACGGACGGACGTGGCGGGTTGGCTCTCAGAGCCCAAGAAAAGGTCTCTTTGGGTTTTGGACAGCCTCTGCCCAACAACCAATGGCAAATCGAAGTCAGCCACTGGATGGGGATTAGCATGGCCAAGCTCCAACAGAGCGTCGTTGAGTGGGCTTCCGGCCCAACCAATCTCCCAGCCGGCGTTGAAGTCTTTCTGCCAAGCGATATTTCAATTGCCACCTGCCTCAACCAGAAGGTGCGGCACAGTGGAGACCACGTCTCTTTCAGCATCGTTGGGATGGTAATAATTTTTGTTGTTGGTGGCGCCTTCATCCTCCTCAGCCTCGTCATCGACAAAATCGGCGGCTTCCTTCAGTGGCTGAGTGGCAGAGGCAGGCATCGTCGACTTCAATGGATTGCGAACGAGAAGCTTCAATTACTGCGACTCGCCTATGAGGGGGCAGGCAAAGGCGCATGGTCCGGTGCCAAGGATATCGTTCCGCTCACGGAGCCGGGTCAGTTGTTCGGCACCCTGGAGGGGGAGGATATGGACGGAAGGAATCAAAGGGTGGGTCTCATGACGGCGAGCCAGCAAGGAGGCCACGAAGAATATCCACCGGATCCCAAATGGAAGAATGCAGTGTCCCATGTGGCAGAGGTCTCCCTCTAGTGCAGTGACGGAATTGAGTGGTTCTAGGACTTACTGATTACTAAGCTAAAACACAACAAAATTGTAAAAAGGGAAACAGAAGTAAATAAATAATAACTAAGAATAATAAGAGTTAATAGAAGAAAAGTGTCTTCCTGATTATGTTGAATTACTTGCTTCTTCTGGCTATCTAGGGAGCATCTAGTCTATTATAGACTACCGCTAAGATATAAGAAGAAGTGCTAAGAGCAAGGGCGTAACGGTGCATAATGCCCTTACAACAACATGTTTATATATCTGAACTTTAGTTGAATTCTAGCCATGTTCCAGTTGATCCTACTGCCAAGCTTAACCCGAGTGCTTGGCTACAGCATCTTATATAACATAGAGCTTCTAGGGGGCGTGACCTTCAATGGACTTAGCCACCAACCAAGCCATGACGTAGCTTAGCTTTCACAGAAGTTCTTTCTGAACTATATCATTCAAAGAAACGCTATTGTACCCATAAAACCGCAGCTCGCCATATCCCGCGAGGTAGAAAGATGGTTGGAATTCACAATGCTACGGTAAAGCTGGACTCCTGGCTTCTAGGTCTTGGCGGCGTACGCACGATCACGACGGTGTTACCGCAAAGCCACTGAGTTTAGAGTCCCAAGAAACTCGACGACGATTCTGGTTCGGTCTTGTCCTTCAAGCCGCTATGAAGCAAGCCATGACAAGACTGCTTGAGGTCAGCGTAGTTGTAGCTCAGAAATGGTGGTTTAGAAGCTGCGACGGCAAGGCAAGCTGCTCATACGTAGTAAATACTGATCTTTGGTACAGGTGTTAGCAATCAGATTGTCGTGCAGAATGAGCCTAAAGCCTTGGACATTTTGATTGGAGGAGAATGGTCGAGCATTTCTCGCGCCAGCAGTGCTCCAAGTTTCCAGGACGCGACACACCAAGTTTCACAGTTGTCCCAAAAGATACATGACATCCTACCAAACAGTACACATTTCAACTTGCGGCTGTTTGAAACTCACTCGATCAGCACAATGCATTCACTAATGGTAGCCAATGCGGCCAGCCTGGTAACAACTAGGATGGCATCAATCGTGCCAACAGCATCTCTTTACACTCACGTTCTCAAGGTTCCGAATTCTCGTGTTTTAGGATCTGATGCGGCTTCAGACGCTCCCCCTGCTTGGCCAATGCACGATTGTTGTTTTCAAACTGTTGTCCGTCTGGAAATCGTCACTAACCCTTGAATGACTGCGCTGAAAGTTACCAGCTAATGGCACCTGCGATCAGGACCAATTGTTCCGTAGAGACCTCAACATAGCCTACCAGCCTGCTAAGATTTCTAGCACGCGTCCAACAACAAATAAACAACTCGACCGCAATACATTGCCGCACAGCGATCGGCTGCCAGTGTTGAATGGATCCAGCTGTTGGCAAGAGCAAAAAGGCATTAAGCAGAGCGTAAGCATAGCGCTTCGACATTATTGCAAATTTTGATTTTTGGATTGTCAACAGCGATGGACAACATTCAGAACGGTATCACTGGTCGATTGAAGTCGATGTTCAATGGCCGGTCAACGATCTCGAGACGGAATTCCCCTCCCCTGGTGGTCTCTCCAAAGTCACCTGCGCCTCGACTGGGACTATCCATTCTATCAAGTCCTACCATTGACTTACCAGGACTCCCCTCTCACGTTTCGCCGTCCTCCCGAGCCTTTATATCACCTCGATCCATTCATAGACTTACCCCTCAAGACGGCATTACAATAACTGCACCTCCCTCCGCAAGGTCTGGGCAGTCCCGCTCCGCGGCACATTCCGTATTCCCGAATCCTTCACGGTCAGAAGTAACCTCACCGCGGACAATTTGGGATTGGGAACATGTTAGGGACCACTCGGGCAGTATACGAAGGCGGAGGCGAAAAAGGGCAATAGGGCAAGTTCGGCCTCGGCACGGGGTGAAGAGTATACTCCAAGAGAAGGCTGGAAGATCGAAGTTGATCCGATGTTTCGGTCTCGGTTTGCTTCTTGCGGTAGGATTGACTATTTGTAAGTCTGGCCCTTACTTTTGAGGGGTTGTCTTCTCACATTTTCCTCCAGATCTGGCGCTAGCATTATCAAATGTCATTAATGGCCTCAACGTGCATATTTTCATGATCGTCGTTGGCCTTGTTCTGGTCATGGCATTTGCTCATGCCACAGTCCGGCTCTGCATGTACATACTACGGCCTCCGCAATATCCGATTAGCCGTACGAACTCAAACGCGACGGTAGCACCGGGGGAGCCAATCCCGGTCGTTCTGAGGAGGGATGAAGAGGACTTGTCTGAAGATGAGCCGGAGGGTATTCCAAAAGACGCCGTGCTACCGGCACCGCCTCCTGCTTATGGTCTTTGGAGAGGCAGCACCGTAAGTGCAGTATTCAACTATGTGCTCTGACCCAGACTTACAGTTCATAGCGAATGAATCCCAATCTCATGCACTGGCGCAGAGTCGAAACTTTGCAGAGAGAAGAAGCTCCACCAGAGAGCAACAACCGCAACTCAGAGCAAACGTCATCACCAAACCGGCCTCCTAGTTATGCTACAGAAGACAGAGTCAGATATGTAATGGATGCGGAGCTGAGATCCGCTATGCCGGAAGCGGGTTCTGGGGCGTTGCCGGTTCATCCTTCAGAACGCGGACGCATTGCCTCGGGGGTTTTATAGCTCCTCATCTTCTCCGTGGCAGCTATCTCGGCCATGGGTACTAGCACCCATCATCGTTGTAACAATTTTTGGCCTTGAAAGCCTTGGCCATGGTTTCCATAGTCTCAAAGGTTACTTCCCCTGGCTCGGCTTCATTTATCTTTTTGATGAGCTTGCCTATAAATCGATCGATCATGCCCACAACATGCGCTCTTCCAGCACTCTCAGGATGCCAGACCATAGGATAGATGCTCCCAAACCCATCTTCGTGCACAAAGCATTCGTTTTCCCATAGCCAATCAAATCTATCCCACCACATCTTTTCTACCACATCAACCGCGACATAACCCTGGGAGTTAGGTGTATAAGGATAAAACCCCAAGGGAGTCATGTCCTCGGTGTACCAACTGCTAGGGATTTCTATAAGACCGTTCTTCGCCTCGTCCGTACCTGCTGCTGGCTCCTGGGGAACACTGCTTGGCACCATCCAACTGCTTGCTCTCTGGCTATAATCTGGTATCCTTGGTGGTTCTGTGGGAAATGGGTTTGGTAGGATGTATGGCAAAGAATCATGGGCATTCATGCTGCTGTCATAGAGGAAGCCATTCTTCTGGAGTAGCTGTACCGTAGTCTCTTGGATCTGATACAATGGGGCTCGATACCCGACCGGCTTTTTACCTCCCTGTAGCGCCACCACTATTTCAATGCACTTCATCAAGACTTCTTCCTCCTGCTCTGGTGTCATGGCATATGCTCCTTTATGGCTGTATCCGTGCAATCCAATCTCAGCGCCACTCCTCACAATCGCAGCAGCCTCCTCAGGGAACGTCTCGATGCTATGGCCGGGTAAGAACCAAGATACCTTGTTACCAATACCATATTTTTCGAAGAGCTTGAGGAGACGCGGTACTCCTACACGGGCGCTGAAGATACCGGCCGAGTAGTCGGCCATGGTATTTCTAGGGTCATGGCCGGTGCCAAGATACCCACTAATGGCGTCAAAGTCAACAGAGAGGCAGATATGAAGGCGTTTGCTTCGCCTCTCATCTCTATCGGAACCGTGTAGGTCTGCCATGACAGTATTTGGCTAAATTGGGGGAATGTAACGCTAGACAGTGTGTTATTGGCAGGCCACAAATGGTACGGGCTCTCCAGAAACGAGTCCAAGCTGCAATCTTGTGAGGTGACTGTCCTGCCGTCTGGAGGTGGACCCGGGTATAACCTGCAGTTGCTCAAAGCGTGAGAGGGTTGACCTTCTGTTCATAATACCTAGTGCATGGATGAACGTTTGACTAAGCCGCAAAGCTCGTCTGAGTAAATTCAGGTACCTATGAGGATAAAATCGGGAACAAAGACCGCCGAATCTTTCAGTCTGGATGGCTGTCGAGGTGATGCCCAGATCCCGGGTCCATGGTTCGGGTGGTCTCGGCCGAAGGGCCGAGGCTCAGGGAAACAATTTACTACGTACGTAGTAAGTCGCTGGGAGCGCTATCAACTCAAAATCGTCAAGTCTGTGGGTGGTGAGTAGATAACTAGGACTAGTCGCTAGAAGTCTAAAGTACAACTTGAAAGTTTGGATGGAATACTTACTAGCTCCGCACACGCCAAGGGCCACATCGCTCTTCCACACTGGCACTGCAGCAGCAACGCCCATTGTTCCATCGGGCTTGGGCCAAGACTAGGCAAACCGCAAATCCAGACACATAACTTACGTAGTACGTACTACGGTAGTACATACGGTAGTACATACTAGGTCCTCGGTCAGACCTGGTACAAGGGCTCATTTCCCACAACTTCCTCGCTTATATTGATCCTCTGCGCAATCACCAAGGAGTATCCCAGACTGTGAGCAGACGACTTGCATGAGCCCATCTTCGGCCCACCCACTTCGAAAAGTCATGGTGCCCCAAAATTCTGGCAGGTGGCACAGCATGCTAGCCTCAATTGCACAGACTACTTGCAGGTGCCTGCTAGTAGCTGGCTATCATCAGCATGGCCAATCTCTGGTCAAACCTTGCTACTCCTCTGAAGCATTCAACCACTTAAATGTGTCGGTTTCTTCGAGTGGAATCAAGCCCTAGGAGGAATCGTGGACTTATCTTGTACTATGTAGTCTCATCACCCAGTTGAGAGGGATCGTTAGAGCGTGACAACTCGCTTATGCATGCATGGATGAATGGTCCCCAATATAAGTTCCGCACTCCAAAGTGTTGTGTTCTTTATCAGTTTCCTCCGTTCTCATGCGCGACTTGCGCCCTGATCTCTCTAGTTTCTGCCTTCCTTCCCAAGCCTCGATCTAATCATGCATTCGTTAGAAAAGAATCGCAACGAGAAGACTTCTGTGGACCAGGTTGGCGATCACACCAACTCTCCACACGATATCGCAGTGGCCGAACTCATCAATGCATCTGGACACATCCAGGAGGTTGATCGCAATTTTGGACTTGTCAGTCTGACAGGTTACGGCCTTGTGAGTGGCAACGTATGGCCAGGGTTAGGCGGTACTATTCTGGTAGCGATATTTAATGGAGGTCCACCTGGCACCATATATGAATTGTGAGGCTTCCTACTAAGCTAGCAACCCAGACCACCAATTGACCCGTCCAGCGTTGCCGCTTCCATCTTCTATTTTATGATTACTGCCTGCATAGCTGAATTCGCGTCTGCCATCCCCTCTACCGCTGGAGTGTACCATTGGGCTTCCGTGACGCCCGGGAAGAGATACGGCCGCGTCATAGGATATTATGCCGGATATTGGAATTATCTTGGCTGGATGTTAGCCAGTGCTTCCGTGTGTGCCGTTGTTGGCAATGTCTGTGTCCAGATGTATGGAGTCACGCATCCCGAATATACTTCAAAGCCATGGCACGTCTTTCTAGGCTACATCATAATGCTCTGGAGATCGTGCTTGTTTGTTTGCTACGCCAATAAGCTCATCCCTCACTTGAGCACCATCGGCATTTTCTTCATCATTGTGGGGGGTTTCATCACCGTCGTTGTTTGTGCTGCTGTGCCTGGACATGGAGGCCGTCCAGGACACGGCCTCTGACGCCTTTGTCTGGAAGGATTGGGTTGCCGATTTGGGTTATCCAGACGGGTTTGTCTTCCTGGCCGGCATGCTCAATGGAGCCTATGCAATCGGGACACCGGACCTTGTGTGCCATCTTGCAGAGGAAATCCCACGCCCTCATGTTAATGTTCCAAAAGCCATGGGACTTCAAATGGGCATCGGATTCCTCTCGGGATTTGCTTACCTCATCGCCATCCTGTATACCATCAACGACTTTGACGCTCTGTCGTCCTCCACTTTCCCAGTCGCCGAAATCTACGCCCAAGCTACTGGTTCCAGAGCAGGCACAATAGGCCTTCTATTCCTAATCCTGGTGGTGTTCGTCCTCGGATCGGTCGGTGGCAATATTACCGTCGGAAGAGGGCTCTGGTACATAGAGAAGCGGCTACATTAGTACAACTAAAGCTAATGGTGAAATAGGACCTTGGCCCGAGACGGTGCAACTCCGTTCTCTGGCTTCTTATCTAGAGTCTCGCCTGCGCGCGGGATGCCGCTCAATGCAACAGTAGCTTCCGCAGTCCTCAACACTTTGCTGGCTTGCGTCTACTTAGGTAGCACACCTGCGTTCAGTGCATTAGCTAGTGCGTTCGTCCTTCTGACCACTGCTTCATATACAGCCGCAATCCTGCCCAACCTTCTTACCGGCAGGAAGAATATCAGGTTCGGCCCCTTTCATATGAAGGGATGGCTAGGCTTTGCCGTGAACGGCATCGCTTGTACATACATGATCGTCTTCTTTGTCATCTTCTGTTTTCCCTACTATCTGCCGACAAATGCAAAGACGATGAACTATTCTTCTGTCATCTTTGGTGGTTCAACAATCATTATCACCGCGTGGTACTTTTTGGGAGGAAAGAAGGGTTATACAGGGCCGCAGACCATTGGGGGTAAGGTCTACGAAGCCGACCTGATCAAGAAGGTAGCAATGGTTGTTCCAAAAGTATGAATTGCATATCGATAAGATGAGCCGTTCACATAAACTCTAACTACTTTGCTTCACCCTCACTGTCTACTAGCTAGGGAAAGAGCCCAACCTTACTTGATCCAGTCCAACTTGCTCACGGGGTCTTCTCCTTCCGCCACCAGTGCAATTAACCGTCATCAAGAGATGACTCTGGACTTCAATGCTCCATCTGGTGTTGGAAGCAAGACAGCTCAAAGTCGGCGGCGTTCTATACCCAACCCATCTTAGCTCATACCCCACAACTTCATACCAGTAATGTCACCCCTCAAGGCTGAAATACTATACTCTTTCCCAACCTGACAACCGGCTGCGTAGAGACAAGCTATCTGGAAATATGATTAATTTCTCCCAGCAATGAGGCGTTGAGCCGGCAATTTAGTTGACCATAGAACGGTTGGTTCAATGGTGGTGATTGTGAAGCGATCTATCGGCGGACAAAAGGAATAGATTTCGACTGGCTCAATAACCTAGGGTGCACGTATGAACACTTTCTAGAGGACCGTATCGCCATTCTCCGTTGTTCGGAAATTCGAGATCTTGGGCTTAGAAGTGTTGGCCAGAGAAGAGCATATTCTGCTTATTCAACGTAGTGACTGGTTGCTCCGACTTGTTGAGAAGTTGCTTGGCCGGGAAGAGAGGTGGCTCGCCTTTGTGGCAGGACTTTGCAGTTGTAGATCGGCGAACCTCGGTTTCGGGTGGTAGAGACTTGGTGATTGAGATTGCTTGTTAGGCCGCTGTAGATTTACCCTATTCTTACGGCATGGGAGTAAGATATGGCAGAGGCCTCCTGGGTGCGAACAGAGATAGGCAGGAACTAAATTGAATATGTCAAGGCTGTCTGTGGCCACGTTCAGTACTGTTTTTGCTGTATCCCTTCACCATTTCTTTTCAGATAACGTGTGTGTCTCAATGACATAATGCATCTGACCTCCTCCATTGGATAAGGCTGGTTCTATCTTGTAAGCCTCTTCCTCATCCTGGGCATCCTCTTCACCACACTTCCGCCACTTGATTTCTCCTTCTCTATTCTGCCACTAGCACTGCTTATACTCTTCGATCGTCCTTTGTCCATTAGCGGCAACGAGCTAGGGTGACACTCTTCCACCAGCATTGCTAGATTGGGCGTCCTTCTGGCTAGACATTGCAATCGTACTAGAGCTTGACGTTGGCGTCTCCGAAGGGCAAAGGAAGGAAGGGCATCCGAAGGATAAGATGTTGTGTTGAGGTCCGCCATGCTGAGGTCCCACAGCGAGGGATCGAATGTGTTGTCACCCAATGAGGGAGTGTCGTGGTGATCAAGTTCAGCAAAGCCTTCGTCAAGATCGTCCAATTCGGTGTTTGGTGTGGATACGTTGGAATATGGGGGGTTTGAGGTCGAGAAGTCCGGCGAGCTGTCGAGGACTTGAGATTCAAACCCGGTTGACAAGGCGGTGATAGAGGGGTGTCGAGGGACGTTGGCCTGGTTCAAGCTTGGATGGATATTGAATCGATTGTCCCGCTGACGATACGCAAGAGATGAGAACTGCTTGTAAGGCTGCGGTAGTGGTGAGGAGCAGCGAGAGGACAATGGTGACACATCCGGCGATGATGGAGCTGTATCGTTCGAGGTGCAAGACGACGGACTTGTGGTAGACGAAAGGAAGGAGAAGTTCTCGTCGAACATTTTGGCTGAGCCACTTTGGATATGCGGAAGCGGAAGGAGATCGAAGCGCAGCGCAGAGGAATACAGGAACAGGTGGGGGCGAGTGCTCTCTCGGGGTATTGGTTGTGGCAAGTAGTACGGTCTTCTCCGAAGCTCGTGGCCTTCAACGATGACTAAGGTCTAGACTACCCAAGGGCTCATGGAAGCTGTGGAAGGAGCGGGATGGTTCATATATTGGGGCGGAATGATCGAATATATCGGCCCCGCGGACCAGAATCTGGTGGTTGCGTGCTGAAAGCGAGGAGCCGGCCTCTCCACAGGGAATCCAAAGCACGACTGGGAATTGTTGGCACCAAGTCACGCCGAATTCGCGCGGTTAGAAAATCCGGCAGTCTCAACGATGCATCTAGAAGGGCCGAAGCCAATTGGCATCGTAGGAGAGCTAAAGCTAATGTCGAGCGATATGCAGCCCTAATCCACCAACAAGGCTGTCAATGTTCGGGAGAATGAGAAGTGCGAAACGCACGAGGGATATAAAAACCGAGGACAAACCTTACGTACTGACTTAGTACCGTAGTACGCAGTACATTTGTACTACGTAGGACGGAGCCGGAACCATCCACCAACACAAATGTCCCATTGCCAGGTCCACATTTCCCTCGCTCTCGACGCCTTTGCGCGACGGCGCCTTGCAAGGTCTAGACCTACCACCAACAGGCGCTCAGTCTTCAGTGTTCAAGTGGGTGATGATATCTATGCGTCCATTTCTTGCTCTCCGCTTATCTACTCGTGTCTTGGTCAATTGATCTGACCTTCAAGTTGTGACATCGTCCCTTTTCTGCCGCAGCTACACCTGATTATCCCCGATCAGATCTTGTCGATTCGATACCCGGGTAAGTGACAGCGAGAGATCGGTATTGGTACCTGACTAGCTGAGCCTGTGTGCAGCTACACTGTCATGCAGCCTAGGAGCTGGTTTATCTGTAGGTCTCAATGGTCTGAACGTTGCTCAGCTATAGACCAAGATACATTATTAAAGCTTTCAGCCGCCTCCACTGTTTATTGAAACTCGTACTCCGTACTCGAGTGCTCTTGACTGGCGGTGGTGGTCTAGACTTCGCCTGTTTCACCCAGTCAACCTGTTCCTCCTGCGAATCTCTGACCATCGCGTCAGCTTCCCCGCTTCCAGTATACTGATCTTGCGCGTCGTGCCGCTCGGACGACCTAGCACTACCGGCTCCCATCCCGATCTAGTTCTCGTCATGTAATCAATAGTAGGCCGGGGGTCTGGAATCATTCGGACCACCCGGAAGCGGAAAAGAACCGTAGTCAAAAGCAAAGTCAAGCCCAGTAAGACTCCAGCGACAACGCCGGTCGCTTGCATTGCTCCCAGTCTCCGCTCCACTCGTCCGCAAACGCCTGTGGCAATTGCTGCAAAGCAGAAGCTCAGAGTCTGACTGACCGCAAATCCAGCACTCACACGAGGGTAACAAGAGAAGTTGGTGCGCTGTTCACGCTCCCTAGAAGTCGTGCGGCGAGTGGGCCGGCCGATCATACCAGGCTGCAGGTCCGAGGTATCAAATGTTTCCATGATGAGACCTTGGCATTCAGCGATGGCGAGGTTTGAGAGAAAGCCAACGCATCCAGCGAACACTGTCGGCAAGGCTACAGAGATTGTTGGACCTCTCGAAGCCAGCGCGTAGCCTACACCGGCAAAAGGTAGGAGCAGGGTGAATATGACACGACGCACCAAATGAGAAGACCAGACAACCGATTTCTGGAAGGTCATGCTATCCGTTCGCTGTCGATGACGTCTTGCGCGACTGAAGAATGAAGCTTTTTGGAAGGGCGTCGCTAGCAGGGCCCCAGTACCAATGGATAGCACGCACAGCCCGACGTGGACAGGTCTGTACCGGTACTGCTTGGAGGTTAGTGCCCCCAGAAGCTATTATGTGTTAGTAAAAACACAGTTGTTTGACCATCTCGAAGCATACCATCAAGATCAGAGTAAAATGGGAGTAAGTCCATCCTATGTAGACAGCCAACACTGCGAACCCTGGTTGTCGAAACATCTTCCAACTTAGCTCTATCCCAGCTTTGACCTCTTCGCCCCACCAGTACGGGCCGGCAGACTTCAAGTGCATCTTGACCTCGCCGCGTGAGACACGATTTATGTGGCCTCCGTCACGCATCACCTCTGCAACTGTGCGGCGATAGGCTGATCGTCGGGCTTCCGGACCAATGACGTTGAGCAAGAGGACTACCATCATGAGCATGAGAGATATCCAGAAACCCCATGCTACATCTGCATTGTCGACGACAAGGGTGCCAATGAAGAAGCCAATGCTGATGGAGCCAACAGAGCACCACGACCACAACCCAAGCCATAAACCCATCCCTCCGCCATGGCGACGAACATCATATAGATCTACTATCTCTTGATGTGGGTTACTGCTTTGCAGCGATGCTCCGAAGAGATCAAGCAGCGTAGCCTGCAAGTTGATGTTCACAAATCCAAGAGCAAAACCGGAGACCGCTCTGGACAAGAGAAGTACTCTGCGGTAGGTTGAGATGTGTGGAGAACGGAAATCCGAGACTGCAATGCCCTGCGGAATTTGTAGGCAGAGAGCTACTGCGAGTGCCATAATGGTATATGGCTTCCTTCCATGCATCAGAGGTAGGGGCCAGAGAAGAAGGGTCGGAATGGCAAGGCCAATGTACAGGACTACATTGCCCAAGATTGTGAGATGACCAAGGTCAACGATCATATACTGTATAGCCGGCACTTCTCCAGCGTAGATTCCAATAACGACACCAATGAGTAAGGTATTAATGCAAGCAATGGTGGCAGCGAAGCGTTTTCGAGAGATTTCCCAGTCACGAGCAACTGGTTGATGCTTCCATGTATGATGGACGTTGAAATCGTGCAGCCCTTTGACGTCCACGTGTCTGCATCCATTCAGATCGATGTGCTGTGAGTGCTTCGGTCCAGCTGGCGGGCTACTACCATAACTCGATTCAAGCCCAAACATCTCCTTGAAGCGGTCGGCTGTGTCGACATCACTGATTGGACTGGGATCCCCGTGTACAGATGCAGCCTCTTCTTGGTGCCTCGACATGTTTTCAAGCTCCAATGCGGTTTCAAAATCATCTTCACTGCCTTTAAGTCGCTTGTAATGTCTCGAAGTCGATCGGGGGAGCGTCGGTATATGGATAGACCTCCTAGCCTTCTTAGCCACCCGATTTTGGCGCGGAAGGTCTTGTTTCGATGCTTTGCGACGCAAAATATGGTCGAAAGGCTCCTTCAGGCTTACAGAAGCTGACGTAGGGGCTGATAGTCTTGCAGGCCCTCCAACCCTTTGTAAAGATTTACGACGGCGCAGGGGCTCTGCCCAGTCTCGTTGCATGACGTACGGTACCTGAGGATTGGCAATCGAAGATTCTAACTCCGGGCTTCCTGGGTTGACAGGGCCACATGCCTTGACAGGATCTTGCTTGTTGAATTGTCTTGAACCGTCAGCAGTAGTTATGCCTTGTGGTACTGAAAATAGCTTGTGTGATGGTACAGATGGTTGTCCTCCAGGATCAGCCTTCACACCCCCAGTCTGCGCTGCTAGATCGTGATTCTGAAGAGGTGCCGAGGCATCAACAGACTGTGGTACAGTCGTGGGAAGTTCAGCTTCATCATGGTCATCGGCGGCGACTCGAGCAATGTGCAATGCTTCATTCAGCAACCTTTCGAGATCCTGAATCGTTGTGGAGAAGATTGTAGAAGGACTTGCCTGCACCTGGCTTGGGGGCGAATGAATATGCAGCACGCTTCTAGTTCCATCCTTTGCGGTCTGCAGAGTTGCAGAACTATTCTTCTGAGGAGTTGTCGAGGGACTAAGGGGCCGTTCTCGTGCAGTCGCGGCACCAGATAGTCGCCGAGGACTTCGGGGGCTTGCTTCGACTCCTGCTGTTAACACAGAGGCAGCCGAGAGACGCGGGGTCCTCGTGAAGGTGCCATCATGCACATCAGGAGGCGGGTGTCTCTGTGAACTCGGCCTTGATTGTCGTGGAGGACTGTGGTCTTCTTGTGCGTTCACAGAGCGCTCCGTCATCCGACGCTACCAGAGATCTTATTATAGAGGGTGTGGTGCTGATAAGCCCGGCGTTGCAATTTGGAAGGGCAAGAGCAAGAATAGCACACGTGCTCGTCGTACTGTGTTGCTGCACACTGAAAGAAATAGGTCAAGACAAGCAGAAGAGAAAATGAGTCCTGCTCATGGAAAGGAGAAGATGAAGATTAGGTTATCAGGTGCCATAGACTCATAGTAAACCATAGATACGAGAAGAATAAACAGCAACTGAAGGACTCTGTGTAGTGAAATAGTACGTAGTATGTCAACAGCACGGAGCTCGCTTTCCCCAGAGAACTGAATACGACTCTGGGATATCAATCAGGTCATTGGAACCTTCCCCCTCCCCTCAGGCCACCAGCGACTTCTACCTGAATGTGCAGAGAATAGTCTTGCAGTTTGGTTGACAAGCAAGAGGCTCAGCTGTACAAAGCCCAGTAACGCCCAACACCACAAAGCGGGCCACCCCACAAAGCGGGCCAATTTCGGGTTAGCAACAACACCAAATTCTACTGCATTAGAGATGCTATACTCATTCAAATTGGCTAATTTCGATAGAAATAGCTTCTATAGGCCTATTCTAATGTAACAGTACGCAGAATTCG